GCGCTCGCGCTCATGAGCGCAGAGCGCGAGCGCAGATCGCAGAGCGCAAAGTGCGCTCTGCCCATGTATGTTGTATTTGAATGGGGAGAATAATAAATAACAATATAGCAAAATTTTTAGTGACCTAGTCTAGCATTTAAAAAAAATTATTCATATAGATCTCGCCCACAAAAATAATGCTAGACAAACAAATTGAGTGGCAGAATCCTTTAGATCTTTTCTTAACCAGATTCTGCTGACATGTTATAAATAAAATTTGTTTTTCCCTACTCGTCGCGTCAGCACTATAAGCCGCCTAGTATGATCATCTACTTTCAAGAGTTTCCCTTTCATCGCGCTTACAATCTAATATGCAAAACCGTGAACGACAAAAACAATAGAGCAGCGCGTTTGCTCATGAAATAGGATATCGCAGACCGTGACCGAAACTGGTAGAGCCATTTGTTTTTGAATAAAAACAATTTAATTTCCCTTCGGCAGGGTGCACTTCCAGAGGGGTGGAAAACGGCCGCAGTCACTCCTATTTTCAAGAGTGGGAAAAAGTGCTGCCTTGATAATTATCGCCTCATAAGTGTAACTTCATTAGTCCGAAAATTTTTAGAAAGGTGCGTGCGAGACAGGGTTGAAAATTTTATAAATGAGAGCAAAATTATTCCCGACTGTCAACATGGGTGTACACAAAAGCGGTTTTATCGTTCAAGGCTTTGTAGTTTCTGGTCTTTACAATGAAAGATGAATCATCTGCGAACAAGATATGAGCGGTGACAATGATTTTTAAGGGCATATCATTAGGTAGGAGGAGTAGCCAAAAGGGCCCAATACTGTTCCTTGTGGAACGCCAATCGAAACATTTTCCATTGTTGACTCAAATAATTTTTGCTCGCCATTTTCACCCCCACACCAAAAAGTTGAACAAGTTGTTTTCTACCTGTAAGAATAAAGGACTTAACCATAGGAGGGATACACATCATCAATTCCAATTTTTTTCAGTTTTGCAAGCAGTATTTCGGGAACAACACACCCAAAGGCATTAGAAAAGTCATACAGAATCACATTGATTTTTTCTCTATTTTCCAACGAATCGTAGATTTCGGACACTAACTTAAAAAGTGCAGTCACTGTGCTCCTGCCTTTTCGAAAACCGTGCTGCTCATCAGCAAGGAGATTGTTTTCAGCTTTCAATTCTTTTTAGAGGAAACATTTCTCAAATACTTTTGCTACAGAAGATATTAAGGCTATTGGGCGATAACTACTAGCATCGGATTTCTCACCCTTCTTTTTATACAATGGCTTGATTACAGTTAATTTTAGCACTTCCGGGAATTTAACAGTGCTATTGCATTAGACATATGTAATATTAGACATATCTCCAATTTGTCTTTACAATAAGTCAATAAAAACAGCATTAAAAAAAAACATCCAAAATTTTTCTAATGTAACATTCAGTAATTGAGGGATCTCGCACGCCATTAATAATTTGGCGGGGGTGGGCAAGCATTTGAATAACCCTCCTCGCTTACTACAGGGGAAAACCAACCCCGAAATCCCTATGGTTGAGGTTCACTGTGTTAAGTTTAAGCACTTAAATGCGTCAGAGTGAATGAATCAGTTTGGAGAGGGCAGAATGAGAATTGCCCATCTTATTATTGTTTACGCCGAGAAACTTCTATATAATATAGTCTAAAAGCAGATACGATCGAAGTGACCGCCTGCGTTTCAAATTTAAAAAAAAAACGTTTGCTCTCTTGCTTTTGAAGAGAGGGCGCGCGGTTTGAGAAGACAATGATCAGCTCGGATGCTGATGCCGCTTGAACAAGCTCCCCAATGGGCAATTCAATACAAATTGTCTTCAAGCTCTGCCCATAACTATCCAAACATTCAGACACGGCCCATAAGGCACGCTTCCCAGCCGGGGTCGTAATATCTATATAGTTATATGTCCGAAGGAAATGTGATGAGACTTTCCCTGATCAGCGTTCGATAAGCACCGTCCTATTATTCTGGCTGGCGGCTCTCGGCGGCAGATGACCGTTGCCGCCGCCACTGAAAGCCCCTGATCGTTCTGCAACCCCGCATTGACGCCAGCCTTGCTCGCAAAACCTTATGGCCCGTAAGTTTCCGTCGCGGTGCACACATCGGTACGTCCCCCTGCGGCACTACCTTGTGACTGAGAGAGAAGGATGCGAACGCACACGCTCGAATGGATGAAGATTAAATGCAGCCGTATCACGCATTTTCAGGACAAATAAATATTGTAGAGCTCTTTTTATGGAAATGAAGAGATCGGGCTTATCCCCCTTCGCAGAAAATTGTTTTTTATTCAAAAACAAATGATGGCTCTACCAGCTTCGGTCACGGTCTGCGACCCTATTGCATGAGCAAATACTCTGCTCGCTGACTTATACAAGAAAATTAGAAAAAGATGGTTTTTATTTTATTCTTGAGGGAGGAGCATTCATGATTTCTGTTTAAGGCAATTTGGAAATGCATTATCTAATGGTCTAACGCTATAAATTTTGATCATAATCTGATAAACTCCATACTTGATTGTGATGTAACAATTTGGACAAATAAACAACAATAATAGTTTTTTGAGCATATGGATTCAATGTTATATTGTTTTTCTCTTCAGTTTTTACTTTTTTGTACTTGCAAATGGGGCGCGTCGCAATGAGTAACTACATCGTGGCGCCGTCTCATAAGTCAATAATAATAATAACTCCATAGCTCAAATTACTTGCTACTGAGCAATAAAAATATCTTTCATGCATGTAAAACCGCCCCAGATAACAATGAGTAGTATTTTGATAAACTTTTAAGGAAGTATGTAAAGAACAAAAATAGTTTTGATCTAATACAAATCGATCTAAGGTTATTTAACTTATTTATAATTTTGATTTTATTAGTTGGTCCTCAAAGGAAAATAATGGCTGCTGGCTATGTACGATACCTTTTTCCTGTTATCTTTGCTACCTATATCTACACTGAAAAATAAACTTGACAGATTAAGAAGTCTTAAATTCAAATACAAAAGAAAACAGAAGTACGTTGGCTTTCTCGTAAATGATGCAGTCCAAACTCACAATGACGAGAAAATGTTAAAAGCCTCTAATAAGACAAGTACGGCCTGGAAAATTATTAACTGCAACTTGAACCAAGAAAAACACGAAAATGATATTAAACAAAGTAAATCTTAGTAGTGATGAGACCTTTGCTTTTCTCTACATATTGACTCATTTACTTTGGTTGGATTTTAATTCATTTTACCTAGATTAAAGAATTTTAATTGAAAAAATGCATTTAAAAACCGCTATATCATCATAAAACCTGTTTCGTAAATTGGCCCGTATGAAATTTGCTCGGCAAAGAAGAGTTATTAGACTATACGTCAAAATGTTTTATGACGTGCAAGTTTTGTAAAACTGGCAAAACTGGTAAACTTCTGGGAGTAAAAATAAATGACACACTTAACCACTGTGATAATGTTGCTAACAAAATGAGAGGAATATCTCATATGTTTACTACACTGAAATACAAGGGTGTCAGACAATATTCTTAAATTGATCTATTTTGCACAAGTTCAAAGTCATATAATGTCTGGAATTTTAATTGGGGGGGGGGGGGGTTCCAGCCATTTAATGAAAGTATTCAGAGCACAGAAAAGAGCGTTAAGAGCCATGGCGGGAATTCCCTATTGGAGATCTAAAGAAGCGTTGGATACTTGTAAACCATTAATATTACGTTGATCTATGCGGAATAAATATTATCTAAATTTGTCAAATATAATATTATGATTGTACCATCATTGTATATACTCGAGTGTTTAAAATTCTTAGTGCAAAACCGAAACCTATTTCGGAAATATAGTGATACAAGCTGTAGATACGAGGAGAGTGACTAGACATAATCAGACCAACCTCTGCTGTGATGATATGGTTGAGAAAGAAGTTAAGCTTAAGAAATCTGTAGAAATCATGATTCCCAGAATTTTCAATGCATTACCGAAATCTCTTAAAATCCTCAAAAATGACGAGGTTCTTGTAAAAATGGTGAAAGCTTTTGTATTAGAACATAAATTCTATGACTGGAACGAATTTTATCATTTAAACAATGATTTATATTGACTTATTTTAAAAAGTGGTTAATACTATGTATGTTATGTGGTATATAATGCTTAACAAAATAAATAAATCTTGTATCTTGAGATCTTGAATAATTTATATTGTGTAAAATTTTGTGAACTGTATTTTTTTTATCTATTACATAGATTTGGGGTGGTGCTGAGAAGGCTTTGGATGTCGTTTTTGTGGAGCAAAAGCGACTTGTGCGGGCGATGGCGAGCTAGGTGTATTAGCGTGGTCCGGCGCCGTTTTGCTCGGCGAGGCCGCTCTTTGATTAATCTGCAATATTGCCTATGTTTGTGTCTATTTGCTTGAAGCGTGCAAGTTTTTGAGAAAGAGTCTGAATTATTTTGTGCGCACTTCACAAGTGCACGATTATGTTACTCCCGGCCGCCAGATCAACTTTTGCAATTTTGAAGCAAAATCCATCGCTGTGCATGTGTAGCTCAATTGCACAATATAGGTTGCCTGATTCAATACTGGTGATTTGAAAATTTTGTTCGTCGCTGGACAGATTCTAGCATGTAAAGAAGTTTTATTCTCTTTGAATATTGCGATTATTTGGAACAGTTGTAAAATTGTAAATATCTTTTAACATAGTTGCAAACAGGTGAGTTGTGCTGAGTGCTTACTATATAATGCAGTACCACGCTGTACATTATTATTATATGCATATTTTGATTTACACCAAATAAATTTTATATTGAATCTATGAAATCAATGAAATTTACTTTCGAATGGAGAATAAATAAATAAATGATGCATTTAATAATACTAATTTCCGCTAATTTCAATTAAGTGCAAATCGAAACAGCCGTGAAATGTAAAAGTTTGACATGTAAAAATTCAATTAAAAGAAATTTAAAAATTCGAACTCACCACCAGGATGCTTCGACGGAGTTGTGGTACGCTAGGGAGAGGATGAGGAAGGCTAGGGCGAGCGCCCTGATTTTCCTGTGGGAGACCGTGCACTGGCAAAGACCGTAGGACGCAAAGGCCGCTTCTCTGGTCGGCAGGACCATGTCGCCGTGCGCCAGCCGCACCGATTGACTCCTCGAACTGATCTGCTCGCGCCCAGCAGGATTCAGAGCGAGAGCGCGGCCGGCGGCAATCTGAGAGCCGCGATGGATGCCTGCCATCTCCCCTTGGCCACGCCAGCCAGCGCCGAAGGAGTCCTCCTATGCACGCACTCCCTATCCCCGAGTCTGCAATCTCTCGTCCACCTTCTATTTCAGCACTGCCTTTTTCTCTTTTACATAATGAAACCGGGACGAGCATCAATTTATGATTCAGATTCAGAATTATTTGTATTTCATTAAGTCGTCAACGCATTGAAAACTTTAAAAATACGTCATTCACATAATCGTAAGAGTTTACAAATCAAATTTACAACTAAAAAAATCGTTCATATCATAATACTGATATTTATGTACAATTTCTCTTATTTTACAAATAAACTCGATACTTTCCACTATCATTTTTACACTAACAGGTAAGGAGTTAAATATTCTTGCAATCATATCATAACTACCGGATTTTGGTTTAATATATTCAAGTGATTTTCAATCTCAATATAAAGGTCATTTACACAGTGCTTACTTTTTGCAATTTTTGTTTTTGGACACATGCAATTTGGAATTTCTGTTTTTTTTTACTCAATTTTTCAGGATTCTTCTAATATATATAGAGAATATAGACAGTCAATATACCATATTTAGCAAACAGTGGCCTACATGTATCAAGCGCACAATTACCTTTCCAATACCTCAGCCCATTCATTGCTGTAACTACAGGTTTCTGCGCGACGAATACGTTTTGCATGTGAGGTGATGCGAATCGATAGTTCCATTAATCGGTCCAATTGACCGAAGATTATGAACGAAAAATCATTCTCCGCAAACCAATCGATTTTGCGCATCATCATGCGCAATTTAAAATGAAAACAAACAAACTTCAGATCCGCGTTTTTTTTCACACAATATGGTAAATTAGAAGTAAGACCAATGAATCCCATAAGCTATCTCACAATTAGCATGATATGTGTCTGTAATCAATTCCTCCTTTACCACATACCTGGTCAACATTGGTCAAAACACTTTTCAAACTCCATGTTTTTTCAATATAGCGGGTTTACCGCTGTGGGTCTCTTTTGATATCGAGCGTTTTAGCAGACATCTGCTAGTTGCAAATCCTTTCTTATTTTCTTGACTATTTTTTTTTAAATTTTAAATATTTGAATGGACTGAGAAATAATAAAACAACGCAGCATAAACCGCATGTTAAGCGAACTCTAAATTTCTAAAAATTTCTGCCACACCCCTAACTCTGACAAATGAGTGTAATTTTTCTTATATGGGTAAACTGCCTAGAAGCTTGAAAATTAACATCCACTAGAACGCATATATAAAGTCGTCGGGCCGTGCGAGAGCATAAAAATTTTGTTACGCGCGCCAACGCCAAGGAAGAAGAGGCGACAGGGGTAGGGCAGACGTTTTTAATGGCCTACCAAAGAAAAGGAAGAATGATCTTTCCCTTACTAAACGCTCAATTTTTATTACATCACTAAACTTTTATACTCCTTATACTGGGCTTCCAATATATATGTTGTTAACCAAACGCTCTGAGTTTAATGAATGCATTTGGTCTAAGCGCGCCTTGGTCTGAATGCATCCGGCCCAAAAACGGTTGGTCCGAATGCATTCAGTCTATATAGACCAGACACGATTTACATCTTTCCAGCGCGTTCGGTCCAAAAGCTTAATTTTAGACCAAACGCATATTTATACTGCTAGTTGTAAACCCTTTCTTCTCTTTTTCCAATTTAAAATTTTATTATTATTTATTCTACTCAAGTCATTTTGTATTGACCGAGAAGAATAAATAATAATAATAATGCTCATTGTCAGCGTTACCAACGTTTGGTTCTTTTTTCAATAATGTCTAATTTCAAGAAGCACGGCTATTTTTATTTATTTATTTTCCTTGATTGGGCAAAAGCGTTTGATAAAGTGCCCCACGAGCGACTGCTGTCAAAATTACTTTATTACGGATATGAACTGCTCTATTGATTTAAAAGTTTTCTCACTGGACGTACGCAATACGTAGTGTTCGGCGGCGCCAAATCGGCCCCCAGCATTGTGACCTCAGGGGTTATTCAAGGCAGTGTTCTGGGCCCAATGCTTTTCAATATTTTTGTGGCGGATCTTCCAGCCGCAATAAAAACAAATTTATGTCAGTATGCAGACGACTGCAAGCAGCACAAATTAATTGAGAAAACCGCAGACTCGGCCGCTCTTCAGGACGACCTGGACAGTGTGGACGCCTGGTGCGCAAACAATGGCATGTCCTTAAACGCCAAAAAATGCAAAGTAATGGATATCACCCACGCTAGGACAGTAAAACATTTAACTTACACTGTTAGTGGCGCTAAATTAGACTACGTTGATACTGAGCGACTGCTCGGCGTGCACATCTCGAAAGATCTTAGATGGAACCACCACACTGGTGTTGTGCGCGCAAAGGCAGCGAGAAATTTAAGTTTCGTCTCGCGCAATCTGCACGGATGCACTCCGCGCGTGAAAAGGGTGGCCTACCTGACGTTGGTGAAGCCTATTCTATTTTATGGCACGTCAGCCTGGCACCCCGGAACAGACTGCACAGTTGAAAAACTCGAGCGAGTGCAATTGATTGTATTGACTTGTTTGGAGAAAAATAAATTGAATTGAATTGAAAGCGAGCCCTACATTTTATTCACGGAAAGCATCTCCCCCCAGTTAGAGAACAAAAAAATCATGCCCGTGGATATGCAGCTCAGAAATTTTTTTTTTATTATTTACTGATTAGAACTTTTTTAAAAGATGTGACTCGGGAGTTACCGACATGGACGCGAAAGCGCGCATTAATACGGGCATGCAGCTTCGCGGCGATTGTCAAAGCCATCCGCGGCTGCAGCAGCCGGACGCGAATACAAAGTTTGGACGCGAAGCTTACTCATACCGCGTCGTCAAACCCTGGAATGACTTGCCACCCGCAGTAATGGTTCACTACAATAGGCGCGACATATGCACGCAACGCCTGTGGTAGGTCGCGCCTCTTGTAATCGACCACTACAACAAGGCGCGACAATATAAAATTAAGCAACTACAAAGAAATCAATATTTTAAAAATAGGAAAATGTTAAAAAAGCGAAAATAGCGAAATTATATGCACATCACGAACCAGCAAAACACCCCACGAACCGGCAACTCGGAGGTGGGTAACCCCCCAAGATTAATTTTTGCAAAAGCCGTGAGCGAGGGATGGAGGCGCAGCGAGGTCGAGGACGTGCATGAATATTTTTTGTGTAAAATTGTGTGAACTGTATTTTAAATTTAGTAAGCTGTATTATAGTTATAATGAGATGTATTGAGCTGTATTACAGTGACCTATTCCAAAGATTATTTCTGTACATATATGTTGATCTATACGGAATAAATATTATCTGAATCTGAATCGTGGGGATGGCCATGCGGAGGGCGAGGACAAAAGGGCGGCCCTTTTGTCCCGCCCGGAGCCGGCCTTCACCACGTTCTCGGGCGAGCGCGCCTCCAGCCCGAAGCTCGCAAACCCACAACGGAGTTGCTTGCAAAAGGAATTGTCTGCAAAAAGGGCTTAGAAAGCAAATGTCGTGCCCACAACGCCCTTTGCAAACAACACCTTTTGTCGGCATCTCGCAGATATACAAAATTATTGCTGCCTGACAAAAACATGCGCGCCGGGCACATGGAAAAATACATGCAATTCGATTAATTATGGGCCTCAATGGGACCTACCTGGGGTGAAGTCATGAGCGCGGACTCGTCAGCGTGGTCTCCGCGGTGAGAAAATCCATTTTTCTTCGTGATTCGGCGAATGCGGTTTGATTTCTGTCAGTTTTGCCCGATTTTTCTTCAAGCGAGAAAATTCTGGACTGTCTGGAATCTGGAAGACACGCCGGCGCTTGTTCTTGCCGGCGAGCGAGAAGGAAAATAGGGAGGGTGGGAGGCGCTCGGCCGGTCGCCGCCACACACTCTCTCGCTTTTTGCATTCCTCTGCCTTTGTGTGCTCAACACACGTCCTTGGAAAGGAAAAATGACAAGTAAGATGAAATTATTCAGGAATAATTGTGTTTATGAAATTGGGCCCATGAATGATTGTCCCAACGCACTAACCACTCAAAGTAGTTGTCACGTAGCTATTAAAATTTTATATTTTAAAGTCAATGTAATTTTTAGTAAATTTTAACATCAAAAATAAAACTTTGAGCTTTGAATTTATTTCAATGTCATTCATATTAAATTTTTTGCTGTATTCATGACTCATGACTGTATCGAATGGAGAATAAATAAATAAATATATATATTATTCAGGCTTGTCCACAACAAGGCTGTCTGTAGCTGGCCGAAATGCTATTCTTATGGGCCCGCTTTCCGCCAGCTAGCGCTTTAACTGTGTTTGTTTTTCAATTCAAAAGACTTTTATTCCATTTTAGATCAAATATTTACAACGATCTATGGAATAAGTCTTATTATAAGTGTGGACACACGACACACCTTTACCTAGTTGAGGGTATGAATTAAAAATTTTAATTAATCATTCTGTTATAAAAATTAAATTGTGATTTTATTTAATTTAGCATCTAAAGCTTTATTTATTTATTAATTTCTTATGGTTATGTGCAAAAAGAATATAAATTACTATACAACTTTGAGTTTTACAAACTCTTATCCTAAAATTCCTAAAGCATTTTGTTTGCTACTCAATTTTTTATTGTAATTAGTTTCACAGCGTATAATTTCAAAATTCTCTTGAATTTTCTTTAATTATATATTGTTTGAAAAAACTATGTGTAGAAGTTGGAAGCACGGAACAAAATTTGCGTTCGTTTTAACAATAAGCTTTTGAACCGAACGCACTGAAACATGTTTAATTCAGAGTAAATAGCTTGTGGTCTACACTGAATATGTTCAGACCAACGAGCGTCTAGAACGAACGGTCAACTCAGCACGTCCAAAAAAATTGGATTTATTGAGCCATTTTTCTTGAAAATTATAATGAATAGTTCATCAATCAAATAAAAAATAAGATACAGACTTGATTGGTTATATTTTCATTTATTTTAAAGTATAGTTTTATCATATTACATCTAAATGAGAACCAAGCAAGATGGAGCAGATCAAACCTCTTTGTTACGAAAAAATTGAAATAAAAAAAAAAAAATTGGTATACATTCTAAGGCAAAACGTTCTAACAAATAATAAAATACAACTAAAGTGAAATATACACAACTAAACTGGGCTGTTTGATGGCTGAGTGGTGGCAATCATGGCCTTGACCTTGGCTAGGGCAGTCTCAAGACCCTTGTGGAGCACACTTGAGCAGCCTTCTCTCTCTATGCTGGAGAAACGGTACGTGTGGGGCACATTGTCACTTGTGATATGGGTCACAGCCTCCATAAGTGGACAAATGATGAGTTTGTTGTGGTTAGAGAAATTAATCTGCAAAAAATGTATACAATAATTAGCAAAGCATAATACTGCTATCAGGATATATGTACCTGCAGGGTGCCATTGGTGAGGAACATTATCACACAGTTCCTAGAACGGAACCAGTGGCACAAATAGGGCATCCTGGCCATGGAGTCGGACTCTCTTGACACCCTGCGTCCTCCAGCCCGGACAAGGTGTTCGACCATGTACCGACGGAAGTAGTCGAGCAGCTTCATCTTTTTGGTGAGGCTAGTTGGGTAAGTGGAGACCTTGTGGTAGTTCTCCTTTCCATCACGTTCAATGTACTGCAAGTCAGTCTCATTGGCAAGCATGATCAGCTTGGTGCCATCGTTGAAAGCCACAGCCACGCTGTCGTCACATAACTGGTAGCCAAAGCCGTACTTGTCTGTGTAGTCTACCCAGGTGGAGATCCAGAAAAGAGCCTGGGCAGCTGGATCCTCAGCCTCACCTGATATCATTATTTTTATAATTGGATATACTTAGACATTTATTATTCAAAAATTATTTTATTTGGTATCCATTTAAGGGTATCATTTTAGAGAAGTTTCATTTTGTGGACCATCACATATTCCGCAGTCATCAGTCTCAAGTAATTATCACTTGCATATTTCACCATGTCAGAGTTTGCTTCTACTGATTTTTCATTTAACTCACAATCAGAGGCAGTTGAGCCATCAGCAAATATAATGTAGCAATTATAATAATCAAGGGGGAGGGGGGGGGTCAACTGAGTATTGATTACGCACTAAATGAAAAGGGAGCCCAGTCAAAAACCATGCAAGACTCCTCTATTACTCTATTTATTCTTTTCAAGTTCTACAAAATTTAAATGGGAAAAATGAGCAGAAAGGGTATCACAACCAGCAGAGGTCTGCTAAAACGCGCGACATCAAAAGAGACTTGGTTAATCCACTTCAAATTTATTATCAAGGAGTTTATAACTTCTTCGATTCATTGAGGATTCTAAGCTTTGCAGTTTGTACAACAATCTCTCAGTAGTTACTATAGTGATCTTAAGGGTTTGTACAATAGTACAAAATTACGTTACATTTTCTCTCTTATCCAAAGAGTTGTTGGAATACATTTGTAACCATGTCAAATAGGGTCTAGTAACTGTTGAATTATTATTATTATTCCTCTCTTTTGTTGTGTCATAAGTGATATTACTCTGTCGTAATCCACTTATTTACAACAGGGTCAAATGAAAGATAGAATTAGATGAAACTAAAGAAACATATTTAATTTGTTGATTATTTTATAAATCCAAGCTTCTGGTGAGGCACAAAGTTATTTTTCTCATAATTTTTTATATAATTGCATTAAGAACTGTTTCAACTAACATAAGAGCGTGGGTTTACCACGGCGGCCAAGTCTCTCTAGATGTCAGGCGTTTAATTCAATTCAATTCGTTTTATTTCTCCACAACAAGTCAAAGCATCTGAGTCAAAAATTTACATTACGGAGAAATAGGCTTACAGTACTAGTGAACAACTCACTGAAACTCATACATCATTGAACTGAGACAAACAAGAAATTTGCCTCCGCCCTCAATACTCGCCGTACTGCAGCCGTAAGCAAAAAAAATTAATCTGACATCACAAAACATTTACACAATTTGGGGAAATCGGGGGCCGGACAAGATTTCAATTTTAGCAAAAATGTTTAGCAAACATCTTCTAGTTTTTGTTAACCCTTTCTTCTCTTTTTCCAATTTAAAACTTTTGTACTGACCAAGAAGAATAAATATAAATAATCATCTATTAAGAAGTCTTTGTGAAAATGAAGAGATCGGGCTTTTCCTCATAGCAGAAAAATTGTTTTTTATTCAACAACAAATGGCTCTACCAGAATCAGTCACGGTTTGAGAGTGAATTTGGTCGCAGACCGTGACCGAAACTGGTAGAGCCATTTTGCGGTATTCTTTCCAACCCAGAGGATGGGAACATCCTCTGGGTATACCAAACTTTATTCGGGACTGGCACAACACCTGCTACTAATGAAAGCTTAAAAAAAAATTAGGGGGACAAATATTTTTGATCCGTTCTAAAAATTAAATTATGACATAATAAATCTTACCCAGGAAGGAATTATTGGGTTTGACCAAGTTGTGTCTGCTGAGGAGTTTGGAAAGTTGGTCCTTGATCATAATCATGTACTTAAAGCTGTTCTCCATCACAGTGGGGCCTGCAGGCTGAGACTGGGATTCAATCCAGTCTCCACGTGCATCAATCTGGTTGACTTGAGTCAAAGGTCTCCTATTTCCAGCAGCAACCACAGGAATACTGGAAATTGCATTCCTAGTTGCGGCAGCGCTCTGGTTGTGTTTGGCAAGGACTGCAGGGTCAAATCTTGGTTCGATTGAAAGGCACGTTGTGGGCAGCTCCTTTGGCATGTATCCTTAAAATTTAAAAATAAGTAGGTTGCTAAAAATTAACAATTAAATCTACCTGAGGTGAAGAATGGGTCGTCCAAGAGCTGCTTCACCGTGGGCCGAGCCTTGGGGTCAGTTTGCAGCATGCGGCGGATCAAGGTGACAGCTTCGCTACTCAAGGCAGCCTTGCTCAGACTGTACTCGCAATTCCTAATGCGTTGATATGTTTCCTTTAGAGACGAGGTCTCAAATGGTGGACGACCAACCAGCAGAGTGTAAAGGATGCAGCCAATGGACCAAACATCTACTTCAAAGCTGTGACCAACCTTGTTTAGCACCTCTGGAGCAATATAGTTGGGAGTTCCACAGAGAGTCCTGGCAAGAAACAAGGTTGATTTTAAAATATTGTAATTTTTTGTTACATACTTCTTCCTCTCTCCCTTGAACTCAACCACTGTTGCAAGGCCAAAGTCTCCAAGCTTGACCTGCAGGTTGTCATTCAGGAAGAGGTTTCCTAACTTCAAGTCTCTGTGGATGATATTGCGCTCATGCAGATACTGCACCCCCATTAAGAGTTGGTGCAAGTAAAACCTTGCCTCTGGTTCAGTAAGCTTCTTACGACGTCGCTGCAGCTCCATCATGGACTATATAAATCAATTAGAATTATTAACATGTTGTTCTTTGTTGCAAATGGGGCGCTTCACAACAATTCGTTGCATCGTGGTGACGCCTCATAAATAAATAACAATAATGCAAAATATGACAAATGTATTAATATTATTGTTGTTTGTGATTTGAATTTGAATTATTATTGTTTTTTTGTTTTTAATTACTTTATTATATTTCAAATTGTTGAACAAAACAAAACAACCCAATATTACGAATTTGGCTAAAACTTCCATGGTTAATAAGACCCCATATCCGCCGCAGTGAGCCTTGCTTGAATTATAAAAGCAATACTACAAGTTTTAAATTCATTTTGCATCATAAATATTTCTAAGAGCAGAGGCAATGTACTCTGCGCTACGATGGTTTTCCCGATTATGTGGCGATTTTAATGAACGCATGTGCCCTAATTTAACCCGTAAAAATAATAAAATTGTACCCGTCTTTTGCAAAGCTCCAAAATGATGTAAATGTTGCCATTGTTCTCAAAGAAACCGTGGAAACCAACAACATGCTTGTGGTTGAGGCTCTTGTGGATGTTGATCTCTTGCACCACCTTCTCTCGGGCATTGTGTTTCAGCAAAAGTTTCTTGGGAATAACTTTGCCTGCAAACACCTCATCCGTTTTGATGTCAGTTATCTCGTAGCACTTCGCAAATCCACCCTGGAAATACACAAAAGTTTGTTGTTAGGCTGCAGTGCGGCATACATGCATGTAATTTTGGTAAATAAATTTTTGGCTATGAAGTTGCTCCCTTTGTAGCACCGTGTGCTCCCAATCTTTCTTCCTTTTGAAAATTGAATTAAACTTGTTGGAGAGAAGCGAATAATTGAGACAATTTATGAAATTCTCAAGGAAAAGTTCAGCGTTGTTTGAAGTTCACAATGTGCTCGGCAATTGTAAAATCTTGAAAAATGTATGATAACTCACTTTGCCGAAAAATCGGCCTCGCTTGTACGTGTTATTCGGCGTTACACTTGGGTCGATGATGATCTCGGGGACGTCGCACACATCAGGCTGCTTAGTAGTCATTTTTAAACGCGATTTCTTTCAAAAATATCTATAAAAATCAGGGCCATCAACAGAAGACACCTAACAATGCAGTCGACGACACGGATTCGGAGAGTTTGACAACGGTGAACGGTTTCCTTTTAAATTTTTCGTGTTTAGCCGTTGAATTCGTTGCTTGGAAACAGCTTGCTCATTCCACCAATCAGAGATCACATTCGGAAAAACGACTACAAAGAGACCAATCAAAATGCGTTTTTGTCATGACGTCAGATATTGGTAGGTGCGCCTGCGCTTGCTACGCAAGTGAGTCCATCGGGACTCGGGAGCAAATATCGGTAGTAAATTTTACTCCCGACTCTCCCGAGGAGTCCCATTCCCGGGAAAATTCTCGTTTTCCCACCCACTCCCGGCGAGTTCTGTTTCAAAAATATCTCCCGGGAATTCCCGTTCCCGAAAAATTTTTCCTGGGAGTCCCGGTTATTACTATTTTTAATATAAAAATCTTGTGACGATAATGATGATTCTGATTGTATGTAGTACTTCCGATTCCGATACCGGCAGCGCGTGAGCGCGGCAGCGCGTCGCCCAACAACGAACCGAACAAGTGCTGTGCTCCCTGCTCCCCAGTAGAGGTCGACTTCTTTGCACACAGTTGGATAGCATAAGAAGCCGACGATCTCTGACATTGGCTGTTGCCATCAATAGTCTCCATTCCTATAGGCCGGCTCACGAAACTGCAGCGAGTGCAGCGCCATGCATGCTACTCCCGGATATCTTCGTGTGTTACCTTGATTTTTGATTACATTAGAAGCTGGATTGGTCGAGACGCCATTTTTCGGTTTCAACAGACCGGGCGGCTTGGGGTGCATAAACCAAAAAATGGCGTCTCGACCAATCCAGCTTCAAATGTCCATAATTGTGATGGAACGCCAGCGTCTCACCCCACTCTCGCCTTCACACACCCTCTCATGATTTTGTCAGTCTCCATCTTTGCCGATTGTAATTCGTTTTTCTAGAGATTTTACGTAATAATTTGGCAATTTTAAGTGACCAGAGACAATTTTAAGGTTTGTTATAAACTCTAATATGAACTTCGACTATTGATTAACTGTTCCGGGTCTGGAAATATTCAATTTTTGTAAGATAAATTGAGAATTTTTAAGGAAGTGTCAAATACATATTATGTACCAAAAGTCACCGGAACAAGAACAATATTATTTAAGCTGTCTTATTAGCTGTACATACATATCGCTATCCGTCCTTTTCCGTCGGCCTTGATGTTGTGTTTTATTTTGTTCATTTTAGTATTTAATGGGTGAAAGAGGAGGACCAATTGTTCGTGGCCGAGGCATGATGAGTCGTGGAGGCCCCAACAGGGGACGGGGAATGGGCGATCGTGGTGCTCCCAGGTTTGCATTTTAATTTTACCCTTAATTTTTTCAACAAATTGTCTAAGTTATTTTTAACCTGACAAATTTAAAAAATAATTATAACGAATCAGTGTTTTTTATATAAGTTAATACCGGTTAATACCTACCATGCATTTTTTTACTTCATTAATACCCCACAGATTATAGAATTCCACTTTTTATTCATTTCTAAGTAAGATTGAGTAAGATTTTGTTAACGCTATATTATATTTTTAAAGTACTCTAGCATCAAAGCGATTGCTTTGTAAATGTGATTGATTTAACATGTTACATATCTGTTTTTCCATTTCAGAGGAATGCGTGGGGGCATGAGAGGTCGTGGTGGTCCTCCGCCAAGAGGAGGTGGCCCTCCTAGATCGGATGGAGCACCTTCTGCAGAGCCTCAGCAAATCAGCCCTCAGCAAGGCGAGGCCATCCCTACAACTGCTGGCCGTGGAATGGGAGCGCCAAGGGGAATACCTACACGGGGTAGCTATCCTCCTCGTGGAATGATGGGTGGAGGGATGCGAGGCCGCGGTGGTCCTGGACGAGGAATGCGTGGCATGGATCGTGGAGGCCGTGGTGGTGGCGGCAGTATGAGAGGCCGCCCTGATTTCATTCCTCGTGGACGACCTGAGGGTGGATTTATTCCTCGAGGCCGAGGTGGAGAAATGCGAGGACGAGGTGGAGACTTCATTCCTAGAGGAAGGGGCGGGCCTGTTGGATTTGATTCCCGGTCGGCCCCACCTAGAGGAGGTCCTGGTGGATTCCAGGTATGTTTTTTTTCTTTCCTTAGCCAACAGTATGCATTAATGAATGGTATATATTTGATAATTAGATCAAATTTAGCCTGAAAACCTCTTCAAAGTCTCTGGATGGTAAATTGTCTGTGAGTTAATGAAAAAAAATTGAAAGCAGTATTTTGATTATGGCGATTCATCAAGAATCATTGTATCTTGCCTACCTCCTGGTCATAAATATGATAACTATTATAAAATGACATACATGGGTGCGCTCAACAATTTTGCGCTCGCGCTCGCGCTCGCGATCACTGGCAACAATGCGCTCGCGCTCTGCGCTCGCGCTCAAGATTTTGAAAATGTTGCGCTCGCGCTCTGCGCTCGCGCTCAAATTTTTAAAAAGTCTTGCGCTCACGCTTTGCGCTCAAAAATATTTTACCCAAAGAAAAAGTGCGACTTTTAAGACAATTTTTTAATATAACAAAAAATACACCGGCAATTGTAAATGATAAAGTTTCAGTTAAATCACCAAAATTGGGATCAGTTTTGAAGTTTTTGGTATAAAAACACTGTTTTTCATTACAATTTTTGATCAAATTCGGGAATTTTTACTTTTGGTTTGAGCGCAATTGAGCGCTGCGCTCAGCGACCAATGCGCTCGCGCTCTGCGCTCGCGCTCACGATTTTGAAAATCGTGCGATCGCGCTCTGCGCTCGCGCTCATGAGCGCAGAGCGCGAGCGCAGATCGCAGAGCGCAAAGTGCGCTCTGCCCATGTATGTAAAATGATAATTTTGATTATTGTGGATGTGTAATTGTTTTAGCCGCGCGGTCGTGGTGGCTTTGATCGTGGTCGTGGTGGAGATCGTGGTGCCCCGAGGAGCCGTGGCGTTGGACAGGGCTTCCAGCAGCGCAATGTGTCTGTTCAAGATCAGGCACCATACAGACAACAGCAGGGTGGAGATTACAGAGTTGGATACCAGCAGCACCAAGGAGATGGACTAAAGAGGCCTCCAATGGGAATTGCTCCATCAGGAGCTCCACCTAAAAGGGGAAGATACGACGACCAGCAACAGGGTGACCATTATCAGTCGGGGTAGGTTAAATTTTTACTTTTTATTTTCACGTGTCTACTTCTCTTGGGAATGGCACCAGTTGCAACATTCAGGCCAAGAAATCGCAAGTGCGCTTTCAACAAAATCTCAAAGGAAGCTTTGAGGTCCTGCAGTCCAGGAAAGTCATTTTTGGCGCGCTTTCCTTCTACTGAAAATCAGTAGACATCTTCTGATTTAACCTAATTTGTCTTCATATTGCTGAAAGAATTCAGAGAGTTGAGTCTTGGAGAATGCCTTCTGCATTCCAATTAGTACTGTGGGGGCGCATAATGCAAGGACATCAAACACATCTCTATGGTGAGGGAAGTCCTTGGACTTACCTCACCCTCACCCTTTTTGCACCATTATTTTGCAGATGACCAAAGAATCTCAGGCAGAGCAAATATATGTTCTAACATTAATTTTACTTCAACGTCAGTCATTTTAAAAGTTTTTAACAGCATTTTTTGCATAAGTTATTTACAATGCGTGCCTTGCATGGTCTTTTATTGCACCGTCTGGCGTCTGCAGTAGTTGATCATCAAAATTTCAGAAAATGCAAGATCTGGATTTTCGTCCAAATTTCCAGTTTTGAACATATTATTAATTTTTATTATCCTTATTTATTTCTAGATACTACAGACAAGGCCAGCAGGGTGGTTATGATAACTACCAGAATCAATCTGCCAACAACTACAGTAATGGTAATGCTGTGGACTACAGCTATTCACAGAGCGAAATGGCCCCTCAATCGGAATACATGGCGCCAGCCCAAAGTGCTCCACCAGCTTACGGAGGCTCTGACCCTTATAATTCTTATCAGATGCCTGGTACTTATTATTATTATTTTTTTTTTTTTTAATTTGTAATCATGGCTAACTGAATTAAAAATGACTGAGAAGAATATATAATAATAATAACCATATAATTTCAGCTCAACGATCTGATCAAAGCTGGGGAGCTTCTGATCCTTACAGCAGTGGCTCTGGTTATGGAGGTGCCTCTTCAGCAGGTTATTCCCAGTCTTCTGGAGCTTATAATGGACGTGGTTATAATGCTCCTGCCCCTGCTTATGGTAAGTACCGAAGCTGATTTTGGGGAATGTGAATTACATACGATTCAATTTGTCGCATCATATTATTGGATCTATATGCCCAGCCACTATAAAGAGATTTTATTAAATCAATGGGAAATTTGGAAAAGAAATCCTGATCTTGCAATTTCTGAAATTTTCATGATCAAACTGGTGCAGACGCCAGATGGTGCAAGGCTTGCATTGTAAATAACTTTTGCTAAAACTATTGTTAAAAACTGTTTAGAACTTTTAAAATGACTGACGTTGAAGTAAATTAATGTTATAACATATATTTGCTCAGCCTGGGATTCTTTCATGCATTACTCCCTGACTTACATTTCAACTTTATAAAATTTGTGATTTAGGACTTTATCACAACACAAATTAATTGACACCTGCCAAAAGTGTGACAAGAAATATCAAGCAACCAAAATTGAATTTAATGAAATATTAAAAATATGCTATATTTTCCAAAATTTTCCAAATTCCATCCTCATTGCTCTTAGGACAAGACAATCTATCATCATTATTGTTTGTTCCAATAAAATGAAGTAGAGAAAGATCTCTTAAGAAGCGTTAGAACATAAAAGGACACTTACAACAAATTTTCAAATTTTAATGCACCGATGATGAAATAATTGACGAAGTCTTTAAGAAGAATGGTAATTGTGCAAATTAAGCCATTATGACACAATAATAGCGAATGAATAATAATAATAATAACTTATTCTCAGCCATTTTGGCATCTCTTAATTATGGAATCGAGATCATTTACAAGATCTTTTAAAAGAATAAATAATAATTTACGTTTTTATTCTATTTTATATTTTATGAGAGATTGATTTCTGACTAAGAAAGAAAGTTCTTTTTGCAAAATTTAATCTAATTGCAAAATGAATGGAATGAGGCTGATGATTTAAAACATATAATTATTTACTTCGGATGAAACTAAAATGCCATGACATGTGCCATAAGGTACATAATTATACAAACCACAACATTCTGCAACTCTGGGAATTTTATTTGTTAGTAATAGTGGCTGATCGAGTAGACTTTGGCATATAGATCCAGTGAAAAGATATGGAATAGAAAAATTTTGTGGGGTCGGGTGACAAGAGGTCAATTCTTTTTGTGTGGCAGGAGGGAACGCAGGAGGTGGCTACAGCCAAGGCCGCGACTATGACATGGATCGCAGATATTGAGCGTGACTCTAAAACAGGAGTGTGCAACCGATCTTTTTTTATATTTAGTGCACAAGCCACTAAGCCACCTTTTAACTTTAATTTAACAATGCTGTACGAAACTTTTGCGAGAGCGCGAATTTGAAGTAAAAAAAATGCTGATCGTCTCTTGAATTTTATACTTAAGTCGTATTATAATCATGCTAATATGTAACTCTAACTTTATCCATTCATTACTACTCTTCAATTGCGTGTGTAGACGGAAAAGAAAAAAAAATAAAATTGCAAATGTTGATGCATCTCTAGTACAGTAAAAACAAACTATTCCTCGTTGTCTTTGACTCAACCTTTATTTTTAAGGTAGATAATAATTTTAGACGACATTATTTTCTATTCAGTTTCTCCAGTTTCATTTTAAATTTGAATCATTCAAATTCTGTAAAAGTGAAAGCAAAGACTGAAAATTTTAGGTTTTTTGCCTAAAAGTTTAACAAGATCCCTTATTTTCCTATAATGGGGAATACAAATTAAATTTTGTAAGCCAAGTTAATCAAACAATTATTTATTTCTTGTGCCGCCTTTCAGTCAAACCAAATCTCAGGTAACAATTCAGTTGAATTAAATATTCGTGTTGATCTAGGGGTTGTTCGGTTCCTCAAGGTAATTTATTTATTTGAATCGGCCAATGATCTTTGACAACGCGACGGCGACCGCGGGTGGGCTTGATGAAATTTATATAAATAGGAATGAAGCAAAAAGAGCAAGATGAACTAGTGCATCGTTGCTCGACCTGAGAAGCGCTTGACAAATGAAGTCAGGTTGCTTGCAAGTACCTAAAGGTAAAATAAAGATTCACATTTCACACATGATTGACATGATTCACTTTGCTTCAAAAGAGGAAGAGAGAGAAGTTCTTGCGGACGCAAATACAGAGCAAGGCAAGTGTTGCGCGTCTGGGCACATGACTTAAAATCAAAAAATATAAGTTTGCCTGAATTATTACATGTGAGATTAACCAAGCCCGTTGGCCCAGTGGTTAGAATGCTTGCATTCTAATCAGTGGGATCCTCGGCCGTCATGGGATCAATGCTCAGCCTGAGGCTTTTTGTGGAAACAAATAGCCTCTGGTATGCGAATCATTGATAAAATTTCGGCTGACACGTCGGGAATTTGGGAGGTATGGCATGGCGCAAGTTGTACCAACCCGCACTCACAAGCTGGAAGAACTCGGATTGCGTGGCGAATGCCTCCATTCATTCCAAGTCCTTCGTGGCAAGGCTGGGGCAAGGTCTCAAGGGGGTGGGGGGTCATGCAAGCACCACCAAATTAGCTAGAAAGCCCCCGAAAAAGGGTCAGGCGTCAGGTTGGTTGGGAGGTACAAATGTGCAAAGGGTGCTTGACTTTGGCAAGAGACCGACCCAATAGCCTAACAAGCTCACGGGTGCCATAAGCAAAAAAAAAAAAAAATAATAATATTATTCTATACGGAATAAATATTATCTGAATCTGAATAACGAGAGATTTGGTTGACTGAAAGGTGGCACGCGGGCTATTGCAATATAATATTGAAATAATTTTTTGATTTAATTGTCGTTACAATTGAATATCGACTAATTATACGTTATTAAAACCCCCTCCTTAATCCACAAAGAAATCAATAGAAGGATGAAAAATCTGGCGAGACGAAAATCTAATCATCAATCAAACGCTAAAGCAGGTACGAAATCAGGTAAAATGAAACAAGCGTGAAGTCTGGAAAGACAATTAAATTCTTTATCCATTTCACTGGTGTTCAATTATAATCTTAAGAGCAACAAAATTAAAATTCATAAACGATTAAAAGTATGAATGAACATAACACCAGAATAAATTTTCATGGTTTAAGGCATAATTTCAGGAGTTGACTGATTAAAAAAAATATATTATTACTTATTTAATAGGAAAGTATACTTTTATTTGTTTTCTATTCATTTTAGGATAATTTTTTTTATCAAATGCTCATTAGTTGATCATACTTTTCTGGAGATTGGAAATTTCTCTAAACCTAACTCCAAGTGGAGGGAAAGTACTTTAGCCGTTTGGATTTCTATAATTTAGCTAAGCTCCTTTCATCACAAATATGATATTGAATTTTTAATCCACAAAGTTCTTGTTCCCTAAGAAACACCACTGCACTTGCTATTTTTATTCTACTGGTAAACTTAAATAATTAAAATCATGCATAGTTTTATATTGCGAAGCTAAGGACAACTCACTCGAATCATCCTATCACACATACTTGTGTGGGGAATCAGCAGGTTGCCTTTCAAGTGCAGCTACGCAACTAGTAACGATAATTGAAAAGGAATTGGCTGCAATTTGTAGCTTAATCGTCATAATGTGTAAGTATGAACCCACAAAATAATTTACTCTACAATGTCGAGTAATCGATAATTAGGCAGGGCTGTTTCCCCGAGAACAGCTGATCAATTTCATAAAATAAGAGCTGAGCAAAGAGTCTAGGCAAAAGGGCTATTCACATTCATGAATGTGCCGAAGCATGAATTGTCGATAACATAAAAGAGCAAAGGATGGTGATGAAGATGGATATGCGACCAGTTTAAAATAAACTAGATAACCGACCGAGAAAGTTATAAAAATGGGAATGAATATTGAAGAATAAAAAAAATGATAATATTAATGGTAATAATAAAAAAACACCATTTGGATTGTGAAATTAAGGGCAGATTTAAAAAAAAATGTGCTCATGCTGAAAATACAAACATGAAGAAACTGCGGCGACTAAAAATAAACCGTAGGAATTATGTGCTGTCATAGTCTAGAATCCATTTGGAAAATGGCATGCATATTGTTTATGGATATTATAATTTGAGGAAAGTGATGCTACTGGCCAGACTCTTTGCATATAAACAAACTTTGTATTACAAAAAAGTGAACATGAATTACATTACATCTGTCTAAATACAAATATTTTGAAATCGTAATCGTTATTTTTTGTGCGATTTGTGTATGTTTGTGTGTTGCTGACAAGAAGCAAACTGTGGACAAGACTCGACTTGTCCGAAAGCTTTTGATCAAGATGCAACATGACATAACCCTCTTGAACAAGATGCAATATCCGACTTTGAAATTTAGCTTCTTGTTTACGTTTACTTGGACAAGAAGCGACTCGCGCTTCTTGGTCAAGAAGCAAAATAAAAGCACTGCTGTAAACCATAATCTGCAGGATTTTATTGAGTATAATAACAGAAAATTTAAAATGCTACGAGCTGTTTTTACCGTGGCGGCTGAGTCAGTTTAGATTTCGGGCGTTTTAGCAGACATCTGCTAGTTGTAAACCCTTTTCTCTCTTTTTTTCCAATTCAGAATTTCTGTATTGACCGAAAAGAATAAACAACAATATTAATGATTAATAATATATTTAATATATAGAAAGTTTATATTTAAAGTGGATTATTTTTATGCTTATATTTCCCTGTAATTTGAGTTAAATTTAGATTAAGTAATGCATTTTTAATTTTTCTTTATTCATTACTTGTAACTTTTAACTCAAATTACATTAGATTAAGCACTGCAATGGATCTTAATTTTGGGAAAGAATTTTGTAAAAATATTTTTTCTGAAAATTATATAAGTAAATTCTAATTTTTAAGATTCAGATAAGTTATAAATTATAACTTGTAACCAAGTTTTTTAATTACAAATTTTATTTATCATTATTATTCATACATGGGCAGAGCGCACTTTGCGCTCTGCGCTCATGAGCGCGAGCGCAGAGCGCGATCGCACGATTTTCAAAATCGTGAGCGCGAGCGCATTGGTCGCTGAGCGCAGCGCTCATTGCGCTCATTTTGCGCTCAAACCAAAAGTAAAAATTCCCAAATTTGATCAAAAATTGTAATGAAAAACAGTGTTTTTATATCAAAAACTTCAAAACTGATCCCAATTTTGGTGATTTAACTTCAACTTTATCATTTCCAATTGCCGATGTATTTTTTGTTATATTAAAAAATTGTCTAAAAAGTCGCACTTTTTCTTCGGATAAAAATATTTTTGAGCGCAACGCTTGAGCGCAAGACTTTTAAAAAATTTGAGCGCGAGCGCAACATTTTCAAAATCTTGAGCGCGAGCGCACTGTTGCCAGTGATCGCGAGCGCGAGCGCAAAATTGTTGAGCGCACCCATGTATGTTATTATTACTTATTTTTTTCCAATGCCGAAGGGTGACTCATTAAATTATTATTATTTCTAGCTGTCCAGTGGTGCGCTTCTTTTCCTTCCCTGTTCAGGTCTTCTGGCAGGTTGTCTAACTCTATACCGCTCTATACTAAGTAAGGGTGACAGATTATGGTTGACAGCGGTGCTTTAAGAAGCGCGGGCCATTTCTTGTCTAATTGTAAGTTAACTTAGGCATAAAGCTGTTTAAAAGTCAAGAGTTCCATCTCGTCTAAGATGTTTTGGCCAGGTTGCAAATGACACTCGAGGAGGCAATTATAGAAGTGATTAAAATAGACTTTTACCCAGTTGAAAAATTTGTTTTCTATTCAGTAAACAAAAGGCTCTACCAGTTTGGGTCATGGTCAGCGACCATATCTCATGAATAAGAAAAAATAGAAAAAAATCAGCAAAATAGAAGTAAATTTGTATGTTAGTTCTTTTGAAAAGATTTTTAAGTAGCTTTAAAATCATTGGATAGCACAAATGATCCACTCAAACCTTAAGAATCGTTTTTAAGGATTGTGGCATGTAATATTGCTGTAATGAGGAGTCTTTGATAATTTTTATTTTCCAGGATACCACCCACGATGAGCGCTCAAGAGTTGTGACCTCCTAGCTTGCCCTCAAGACTGAATATGCAAATGACAAGAAGTGAATATGTGATACCATTTATTGATTTATGTTTACATAAATAAATGGCTTAATTGGAACTTTACATCCAATTAATAACAAATGTAACTGCATGAAATTTAATTGCATTGTTTATCACCTATTAACACCAATTACGGGGCATTACTATTTTAGCATCTAGATAAGAACAGCCAAGATTAAAAATACTTTTTTATCTTTTGTCATTTCTTTCTCTCCTTGGCTAATGCCTTCAATTTCCTTTCAAGATATTGCACCCGCTGAACAAGTTTTTCAATTGGATTAAATTCCATGTGCGGCACCTGGAGCACTTTAATGCCTTGTGCCTGCAGAAGTCTTACAGCCAACTTGTTGGGACCTGTGGGTTCACTCACTCTTCGACAAAGATCATTATACTCCCAGACCAGCACTGCAATTCTGTTGATATTTTCTATTATTAGAGAATTATTAAAAAAATAATAATAATGGCACATACTTTGCCATTTTGGTCTTTGCTGGGGGTGGCTTATCCAAAGGGAGGGGGTTGCCTTTGGCATCCACTTGGCACTCTGCGTCAACCATGAAACCCATACCAGAGTTATATTGTAAATTAAGGAATCCTTGGTTGGGGAATAAATTCTGAAGAGCATCGACGACGTTTTTGATCTGCAATGGAGAGTTTATGAGTACAAATCTGTCTAGAATCCTCCAAAACTCACTAAAGTTTCTTTGCTCCTCGACCTCTGCAGTATATTCTCAATCTCCAACTTTTGAAGTCTTTGACCTTTATAGTCTTTCAATTCCAGTTCAGCTGAGGCATCAATGTTCAACAATTTTAAGTATGCTGATGGTCCAAAAGCAGAAGTTGATCTGAGCTGCCCGAGAAAACCAGCCTCAAGAACAGATGCAGCTTGTGAAGCTTCAAGACGTCCTAATACAGTGAGGGCCCAAACTGTTTCCAGCCATGCTAGTGCTGATGGTAATTCTTTCGGAGAGGAGAGACGCCCCAGAACCACTTTAAGTGCAGCTTCAAAATTTGAAGGTTCATATCCAGTGTTTGCTAAAGTGAGTAAAAATGAGACAAGGTCTTGCGGGCGGCACTGCTCACTGTGTTGAACAATCCACTCAGAAAAAACGTCCAAAAGAGCTGAAATGATAAGAGATTCAATTATTTTGTAGGCAATGTATCAATGGAGAAAAAGAGAACAAGAACTTTAAAAAGATTTAATTTATGCTTCCGGCTGGACAAATTTGACGAGTTGGTTGCACAAAAGGATGGACAAGATCGCAAAAACGCATAATTTTTTTGAAATGATAATCGCGATTACGAAGAGCAGTTTAAATGCTTAGGCTGGAAGAAAAACTTAATTTCTGTTCATTTGATAGAGAAATTTCCTTACAAGACCGTACATTTATGAAGTACATTTTTTGGGGACTCCTTGTTCTGAATAATTGATAAATAAAATTTTGAGATCGCAAAGTTGAGATATTCTCCATCCTTGCTTGCACAACCTGTCATGAATTTCCAAAAATGAATTTAATTGAGATTCATGATAATGAAGTTTTAGTAAGAAGAGTCAAAATTACCTGCATCTCTGTATCGCAAAATACCTAAGCTGGTCAATGCAGAGCCAACAGGTGCGGGGTGCTTATTGCCTGCCAAGTTTTCTTGCAAACCTTGCTGAATTTTATCCAAAAGCCCCTACAAGTAGCAGTTTATTGATAAATACATACTTTTTAACCATGCATGAAAATTTACCTCATCTGGAAAATTTAAAACTGCTAAAGTGTACAGCAAGTCTGAAGCCTGTTTTACAGAAAGGTTTTGCTGGTTTCGACATAGGTTTTCAGAAAGTGCCTTTAATAAGGGTACTGTTCTTCTTTTCTTAGACGCTAAGGATGACATCACCTAGAATTAAATCAAAATAAATTAATACCGTGGAGACAAAATAGAAAAATGCAATACTATCAAAGCACAAAAATTGAAAAACAATTATACTTATTTATATTTTGGGTAATGAATGACAGCTAGTTCATAAAGTTAAATAAATAATAATGATCAAATATTGGTTTAATTGATGGGTTTACTTTTATAGTTTGCTCTGTTGTGAGCGACTGGGCCATTTTTGCCGCTTCATCATCGGCGGCCACGCCAAGAACAGTGGCCAAATCATGCTTAGAAGCCAATTGCTTGTTGCTTTGCTGACCAAGTATTCGACACAGTCGCACAAATCGAGGATCTGTCTCAAACTTAGCCGCAGCCGCTGGCCCCTCGGCGGCCGCTCTCTCGGCCAAGGCGGCCACAATCTTCAAGGCATGCTCTCGTTGCACCCCCGAGTCAGCGGCAGCGACCAGAAGATTTTCCACAGACCTGCCGGCAGAGGAAATCTTTTCCTCAATGTTGGGCTCCAGTTTGGCAAAGGCGGCGGCAACCATACGGCTGCTCCGTGGCCGCTGGTTTGGTTTTGGTGACCGCTCTGCTTCCTCTTCATTGGCAGGCGCAGGTGTCCCACTGAGCACACGATTTCGTACAGCGCAGGCCAAGGCCCGCGCTGCCAGCGGCCGTAACTGACCACCTATCATTGCAAAAAAATTGCAATCACAATTTTCAGCTGTCTCAGTAAGGACCTGTGCCTTGTTGTTGAGGGCTGAGGGCCTTAGCAAAGAGTATACAGCGGTTTTAAGTGAGTGATGGGCAGGCGAGAGGCGAGAGCCGAGGCTGGCGAAGTCTAAAGTCAACGCCCCCCTCGGGAGGCTTCAAGGAGGCTTATTGCAAGGCTGGCAACAATGGGAATGGTATAAAAAAATTGATAACATTGTACCCAAAAATGTATACCAGCGTAAAACATAGTGGGGTTGGGGATGCTATGTTCCATAATATTTATTTTACTATTATCTACTATCTGTAAGATCAACCGACTTGTCACCGATATACGGCTAATTGTAAGGATGTTGCTAGGCCTTTTGGAGTTTAGCCCTGGATTTTGGCAGCACTGGCAGAGAGACGGGCGAATGAAACAGCCGAGCCGATTAGCCGAATGAACAGCGCTGCTTGAGCGCTGCTGAGCGGTGCTGCCAGGCCTGCCAGCAGTAAGTTGGATAAATAGTTAGGAGGGGCGAAGGGGCGGGACTGTCTAGGTGACCTTGGGCCCAGGCCTATCATAATAACATTGAGCTGGGCCATATGCCACCTCCTCTTCGCCTCTCCTAACCTATTTTACTCTCCTTTCCTTTCCTTTAGCCAGCAGTTCAGTTAGGTCTTGGGTCGAGGAATGGCTGCATCCTCCAGTGAAATATTGGAGACGACTCTAATATCGGTAATTCCTCTACTGTTGCTGAATGAATTTGGTGTGTTTTGCAGTGATTTATAACTGAAGTGTGTTGAAATTTATTCGAACGCACACACGTATACAGCCGACAGACGTGAAACTAGCGTAGCCCGGCCGGACAAAACTGCACAGACTTTTCTCACACTCTCGATTTTGCGATTCTAGGAGCAAATTCTTCAAATGGTCAAAGATTGGTCACTTAATTTGCTGGTTCTTCGTGCCACGTGTACCGAGGTAATTAACCCGTGCTCTCACCCGAGCGTTTATTAATATTATTATTTTCGAGTATTGTTCGCTTTAGAGTAGAGAGTAGATCTATAGCTAATAAAAATTTTCAAACTTTGTGATTAATTTTTGTAAACACAGAAAAGATAATAATTTCGGCGCGCCCCGCCCTCTTTCTTGCTGGTTTAACCTTATTGAACGGCCTCAAAGTCATTGGCATAATTGGCAGTGCGCCCATTAATTGTAAATAATGTATGTAATCGTGCAATTACATAGTCCGATTGTGCTGCTTTCAATACGCGCAGGCCCTCTTACTCTTTAAAAGATTTGGCTTAGGGTCGAAGAACCCTCAAAGGCATGAAATTACAAAATAACACTGAATTATTATATGTGAAAATTTAAATTCCTGTATTTTGTAAAGTCATTATTCAAGATTAAAAAACAACTTAGAAGCCGCCTACAATTTTTTGGTTAAAAAAATAATGTTTTTTTCAACAAAACTCCTCAGTTTAAAAATATTAGTTAATTTTTTATGAATTAATCCACGCCCTTTCTCTATCTCTATTAGCACACAATCGTCATAAAAATCTTATTTTGCTTTTTCATGTATGTAATATATTTTGTTGCGTGACCTTTTTGTTTACAGCTGCAGATTTAATTTGATCCTGTGCTAAATAATCTCTCAAAATCCGCTGATTTTAAACGCAATTGGACATTCAGCATTTTAAATAATGGTCAGTTTTAACAGGAAATAACAAATAATACTGTATATTAGAATTTTATTGCTTTCTCTGTATTGGTGAACGGTAATTTTTCTTCAATCAATCAAACTACCCATGAATCTTTTTGTTCTTCATTTTCAAAAACTAACACACAGCAGCCCATATTTTTTCATGTTATCTCGGTCGCAGACAAAATACTCTCAAAGATATTTTGTTTTTAAAAATAACGTAATTCTAATATGTCATCACTCAATCACGTGCAGCTTCATCCTCATCTGCATTTAGTAGCATTATATTTTTCCCTTCTCTCGTCACCTTCTGAGTGATTAATTGTTTTTTCGTATTTTTTTTTTAATACAGTCATATCATCAGATGAAGCGGGGAAAATAACATGGGTCTCTAAAGCTGTCCCCAACGTTGGGAAATCGCCCCCACGCCATTTACTGTTGTTTACTTATTGACTCTATTCTTGCTCTCGTTTTCAATTATCAACACTATAGCAATTTCAATGCCCTCTGCTATTTCAATGTCGCAATTCAAATGATTCAAATTTATTTATTTATTTATTTATTCTCTCAAAGATAATCAAAACCAATCAAAACTTTTTCGGAAAGGCATGTGAGATACATCATTCGATTGAGCACGTCAAGGAGATGCCAGAAATATATATTTCAAAATCTGACATCACCAAGCCCGGTGGCTCAGTGGTTAGAATGCTTGCATTCTAATCAGTGGGTTTGCTCGGCCGTCACGGGATCAATGCTCAGCCTGAGGCTCTTTGTGGAAACAAATTGTCTCTGGTATGCGAATCATTGATAACATTTCGGCTGACACGTCGGGAATTTGGGAGGTATGGCGCAAGCTGTACCGACTCGCACTCGGAGGTTTGCCATGTTTCCTCCGAGCCACAAGCTGGAATAACTCAGCTTGTGTGGCGAATGCCTGCGTTTCATTCTAAGTCCTTCGTGGCAAGGCCAGGGTCAGGGGGCAGGTCTGGGGGGGTGGTAAGGGCTTCCTATGCAGAGTGTCTACTCTTCATAAAAAGCTCCCGCCAAGGAGTGAAGGGTAGGGGGAGTAACCAAACAACTCCTGCACCGTGGCATAGACCAACCCCAAAGTTGAAAAACTAAGTGGGTGCCATTAAAAAAAAAAAAAAAAATCTGACATCATGTTTTCAATTTTCAGAGCAGTTTATAATGAACTTTTTATACTTTACAAAAACTGCTCAAAATTTTTGAAAAATGATCAGATTTTGAAAAATAAAAATATTTCTAGCATCTGCTTGGCGTGCCCAATCGAAAATGATTTATCGCACATGCCTTCCGGGAACAGTTTTGATTTTAGCAATTTTTAGTTTCCAAGTAAAATATTTAAAATTTCAACTCGTACAAAATTCTAAATATGCCAGTCAAATTAGGAGAAAGTTGAAGTAAAGAACTCGAGCTTTTTCAACGAGGAAACAGCTCGATTTGCAACTCTGCAATTTTGTGACGGTACAAAAGTTTTTCTCAGAACAGGAGTTTCAAGAATTTGAAAATATTTTTTCTACTTGATTGACCCAGTTGTAAATGGGTGAATTACGTCGGAGAATAATTTATCTGTAATATCACCTCATGATCTATTCAATAAAAGCGATGCAATAATAATAGTTGGTAAATAAGTGTTGTGGTGTGCTGACTGTGCTGAGTATTAAAACATATTCTTTCGATTTATGAATTTCCTGCTTATATTTTGTAGCCAGAAATTCAAATATTAAAAAATCTTTAATCTTGAAATTTTTAAATACTTCTTGCCTCAGTTAAATATTTTTTGTTTTTCACTTGATTAAACAAGGATAAGTCGCGTTACCTGTGTGCGTTTTTATTCTATAATATAATTATGGACATACAGTACAGATTCACGGCTGCGCGGTGTCTGCGTCAGCTTGAGTGACGCATATGCCTCCATGCGGAGGAGCATGAAATTGGCACGTGTTGTCAGCATGCGTGTGCCGCCGATCACGTGATCGGTGCAGATCAAGGTCCCCAAGGTTACATAATATAACGCGAGCTTGCTTTTTCTTTGGTTGTGCACAATAAGATTATTGGTCTTATTGGTTGTGCATCTCTCATTTGTCGTGGAAAAATAGAAAGCACTTTTTTTCATACTCTGCCCCGCATCACTTATTGTTGCTGTCGTCAGCTTAAGATCGATCTATTCAGATTCAGTTAATATTTATTTCCTATAGATCAACATAATTAATGACCAGAGTGCGAGCCAAGTCAAGAAATATGTATTTATTCTGCATTGAATGGAAATATTAAAATTTTCAATTAATTTTATTTTACTTTTTACAAGTAAAAAATAAGAAGAAGTAAAAAATAAAAAAAAAGTGTGATGAATTTGGCGAAATGCTATTGATTCATTCATTGAAACTCGTAGCCTTGTGTTGACTAAGAAGTTTTTTTGTATCGACTTTGTATCGCATTTTTGTACCGACTTGATGTAAGATGTTGTGTATTTCATTGTATCTGAATGGAGAATTATTATTATTATTATTATTTATTCTTCTCGGTCTGTACAAAAATTTTATGGAAAAAAAAAGAGAAGAAAGGGTTTACAACTAGCAGATGTCTGCTAAAACGCCCGACATCAAAATAGATGGCTGCCGCGGTAAACCCACACTATCGAGAGAAAAAAAAGAACAATATCACAAACACTTAAGCATAATAAACCATGAGCAAGTGCTTTTCGCTAACCAACTTCAACCGTTCAACAAATTATTTATCAGGAAAACAGCACTATGCAACTTGCCCACAGCCCACAACGTAATTCGCATGCTCCGTCCAGTTTAATTTTTCCGTAACATACAACCTAAGAAATTTTGTCATTTGGGCAACACAAACCTCCTCGTTGCGATTTTTTTTTATATTTACAAAAACAGATGGCTCGTGAGAGCTATTTATTCTCTTCATTTCCATGATCATCTCCTCGAGTGTCAATTTCTTCAAGCAACCACAATCTTTATTGTCATGTTCATTTTCACTCAATTTTCCACGCTTTTGTCACCTTTTCTTTTGCTCATCCATTTAGCCCCCATTGTCATGCTGAGAGGGTGATATTTTATCCTAATTATTTTTTAATTCATTTTCACTAAACATGCAAGTGATGGGTGTGTGTGTGTGTGTGTGTGTGCGCGCGGGCTCGCGCGTTTGTATGTGTCTTTTTTTCTCTTTTTGTATTCCATTGCCTCTATTTATTATTCTTTCTTTTATTCTATATCATCTCTGTGCGTGGTCTTAAAAATTGAATTCTCACTTTTTCTAAAAATTATTAAAATTATCTTGTCTGGTAACCGTTTATACATGAAAGGCTTTATATGCAAAAGTTTGTGAACCTATTTTGAAATTATTATTGTAATTTAATGACTTAGTTTAAAGATTTATAGTTTTACATAGAATAAATATTTTCTGAATCTTAAAAAATCTAAAAAGACCATCTCCTCATATTCAAGCTACTGATTGCTCTGTTTTGTGGCTTTGGGAATTTTGCACTGCGCTTTTTCCAGTCGTGAATTCTCCTTTTAACATAATTCTTTAACGCTGCCATATGCATATTTCAGGGCGGCGGCTTTCTGAAACGAGCCAACACCGAGAAGCTGCATAATATTTTTGATAAGGTATAAAATTCTATAAAAATCCCTCTCTAGTGTTGTGTTTCTAATTTAGAATAATATTGCAGTATGCGTCCCAAGAAGTCAATGGGGAGAAGTACATGACCCCCACGGATTTCATCCGTGGCTTCCTCGGTCTCTTTCCTGATGCCAATTACAACGCAGATTCTGTCAGCTTGCTTGGCGGAATCATCGACACCAGCAAAGATGGGTTATTTTTAAAATAAGTTAACATCTTAAAGTGTTGTACTGAACAAATATCAAATTTAATTTCAGACTCATCTCATTTCCCGAGTTCCATGCTTTTGAGGGTCTGCTGTGTGTACCTGATGCACTGTACAAGACTGCCTTCCAACTTTTTGACACCAATGGAAACGGAATGGTTGCTTTTGGTAAAATTCAATTTTCTAAAGAAATTATTAAAATTCTAACTGAAATTTGCTAGATGAGTTTGTTGAAGTAATGAAAAAGACAACTCTAAATCAAAGAATTCCGTTTGACATGAATGGTGGTTTTGTTAAACTTTATTTTGGAAAAGAAAAAAAGAGAGTGGTGAGCTATGCAGAGTTCAGCCAGTTTTTACACGTAAGCCACAGATTTGTTTAATGAAGAAAAAAAATTAAATTAATATTAATAATATTTAAACAAAAATGAAATCAGGACTTCCATGAGGAATACGCTGTTGAAGCTTTCCGCAGGTTTGACAAGGATGGAACCGGTTTTATCTCTGCCCTTGACTTTCAAGACATCATGATCAGTATCAAGAGCCACTTGTTGACAAAGGAAGTTCGAGCCAATCTTGTTGCTGTATGTTGAGGAATAAGCTTTAAAGAGAAATTATTAACTACTTGATTTAAATAGGCCGCTGGAGGTGGTTCTGGTGGTCACAGAGTCAGTTTTCCATTTTTCATGGCCTTCAATTCGTTGCTCAATAACATGGAGTTGATCAAAAGAATTTATTTAAATGCCACTGGTGGAAATCGAAACACAGAAGTCACAAAAGGTAGTGTGTTCTGCTTTGACAATGAATTTCAAGTGAAGAAAACGGGCTATACCATTGTTGAAAAAATTAATTATTATTTAAAAACCAAATGGCTCTACCACCGGTTTTGGTCACGGTTCTGCAAACCCATTTCGTAAGCAAGAAAATAAATTAATGGCAAGATTGAAAAACCACTTCTTTTAGCACTTTTTTTGTTGGTGTTAAAAAAGTGGTTTTAATTTAGTGGATTTTTTATTTTCCTTGCTCATGAAATGGGTTTGCAGACGGTGACTGATTCTGGTTTTTTAACAAAATGTTTTGTTGAGGGCAAAGCCAGCTTTCTTCATTTCCATGATGTTCGCATGAGTGCCAATTGATTCTTCACTAAAGACTTAAATCTTTTATAACACAATTTCCAGCATTGTACATAAATTTCCGACTCCTGATTTTCGGCATTTTTTTGTATGCTTGTACTTTTTTATGTCGATGCATGATTCCGCTTTTTTTTGTACAGTGTACTTTTTTTTTGCGTTGTATGTACTATGAATGGAGAATAAATAAATAAATAAATAAATAAATAATTTTATCTGCAGAGGAACTTCTTCAATCAGCGCAGATGATGTCTCAGATTACACCCTTGGAGGTTGACATCCTGTTCCTCCTGATGGACCTCTTACATCAAACAGGGTAGGAATTTTTCTCATGATTTCAGGACTTCTTTTATAAGTAAGGAGGAAATGGGTTTAAGTCTCAATCCCTTATATGATGATTTTAATATAGGGACCCATGCAAACTGCAGATCGAAAAATGACATGGGTCGATATTTTTTCCATGATGACCACTTGCCCATAGGTCACCCCCATTAGGTTCAAAAAATTCCCAAAAAATTTTTTAAATTTTTATTTCCAAAAAGCTTCTGAGAGGAGGACAGGTTGATGACTTTGGTGGTTTGTATTTTTCTTGCTCATGAAATACGGTCGCAGACCGTGACCGAAACTGGTAGAGCCATTTGTTTTTGAATAAAAACAATTTTTCTGCAACGAAAATCCCGATCTCTTCATTTCAACAGACTTTGGCTTGCCATTATATTATTTTTTTATTAATAATAATAATATTATTATGTTCTTTCAAATCATTCTAAGCTTTTGACTAATTTGAGTGTTATTAACTTGTGCATTGCAGTCGTGTCGTCTACAATGATTTGCAAGCAATTGCACCTGAACAGTATTTCAAGCAGATTACCAAGCGCCTGGCTGAAATAAAAGCAGTTGAAGTAAGTTTCGCGCCTGTGACTAAAATTTCATGGTCATAAATTTTTAAATTTGATTACATTTTGTTCTTGCATGCCTGTTTCACCATAAAACAGTCCATTCATGAAAAATATCAAATAACTTCATTCATTCTGCGAAATGTAAGCAAAAGCATCATTTGTTTTTTAATTTATGATTTTTGCGAATGAAATTTTGAAGGAAGGACGAAGTTTTTTTCTTTCTAAATTTCTTGCTTGTTTTGGTCAATTTTAAGCTTTTTTGCTTGAAATGATTTTGCATTAATAAGCAAATAAGTAATAATAACAAATTGGCTCTTCCTCATTAATTTTTAATGAAAGTATTGTTTTGTGTGGTTTTGTGATCCTAAATCATTAATTGACTGGTTTATATTTAATATTACTCTAGTATAGAATTTGCTCATTATGATACTTAAAAAATTCCAGAGGCCTGAGGATCGTGGTATTCTAACCATGTTTCTGGAAAGTGGGTACAGATTCATTCTTGGCTCCATCGGTGGAGGTATGAAAATAAAATTAAAGTGCATCTGTTGTTTAAATTTTAAGATGTCATGAAAATTATTTTCAATTAGCGGTCGGAGCGACAGTGGTGTATCCAATAGATTTGGTCAAGACAAGACTGCAAAACCAGCGTGCTGGATCCTTCATAGGTGAACTCATGTATAGAAACAGCTGGGACTGCTGTCGGAAGGTTATAAGACATGAGGGCTTTATGGGATTGTATCGTGGCTTGGTCCCACAGCTCATGGGTGTAGCTCCTGAGAAAGCTATCAAGCTTACAGTGAGTTCTTTCATTTTTGATGTTATTAATTTTCTTTTTATTTTATATGGATTTTTTTTTGCAAATTTATAGATGAATGATTTAGTGCGAGACAAGTTCATGGACAAAAATGGTAATCTGCCTTTGTACGGAGAAATAATTGCTGGTGGTTGTGTAAGTAATTTTTTATTCAAAATAAATACTGGCTTAACGTTTTTGAACATTCAAGGCTGGAGGCTCACAGGTCATCTTCACCAATCCGCTCGAAATTGTGAAAATTCGTCTCCAAGTGGCAGGTGAAATTGCCACGGCTTCAAAGATAAGTGCTGTGTCTGTTGTCAAAGAATTGGGATTCTTTGGGCTTTACAAAGTAAACTAAAATGCAAATGTTTGAATTTTGGTTTGAAATTTATGCTTTAACCTAGGGTGCAAAAGCCTGTTTCCTCCGTGATGTACCATTTAGTGCGATCTATTTCCCTGCCTATGCTCATATGAAGGTTAAGTTAGCTGATGAAAACGGTTACAACCATCCTCTGTCTCTTTTGGCTGCTGGTGCAATTTCTGGTATTCCCGCTGCCTCTCTTGTCACTCCAGCAGATGTGATTAAAACTAGACTTCAGGTGCGTTGATCTTAAAAAATTATGAGATCAAGATTCAAGATTTGTTTATTTTGTTAAGCATTATATATCACATAATATACTTACAATTAGTAATAACAGCTTTTTAAAATAAGTCAATATACATCATTATTTAAACGATAAAATTCGTTCAGGTCATTTATTTATATTAAATTATATACCCAGGTTGTTGCAAGAGCTGGCCAAACAACTTACAATGGGGTCCTTGATGCCGCCCAAAAGATTTACAGAGAGGAGGGAATGAAGGCATTCTGGAAAGGCGCCACAGGTATGCAAAACTAGCTCTAGGTTTTTTATTTTAATTTCTTACAAAAAAAATTAATTATAATTAATGATGAAGCAAGAACAACCCTTCTGGGCCTCCCTAGTCTGATTTTCTTTTTAATAAATAACTTTGTTTCAAGGGCGGTTGCAAAGGTTTAAAAGCCCCATTTATTTTGGACTTTGGACCAACTTAATATTTGTTCTTGTTTCCCGGCCGCGCGCCCTTTGTCTGGCCCTTTGCTCCGCCCTTGCCCTGTAAGTAAGGAATGCAGTTGGTTGTACGATTTGCTCTGTTTTTTCAAAAGTTAACAGCCTGTTGCAGCAGCTCCATGGTTTTCCATCAAACACACATGAGTTGTCATTAAAGGCATTACCCATCATAATTAAATAAATAAATTACATTATGCTAACAGACTTCTGTTATTAGACGTAATCTTGAAGGATCGTAATAATTATATGAAGGTCACATCCATCAACCCATCTTAGCCCATTTATCTCTATATCATATCATTATTTGATTACTGGTTTGTTTTGCTATTTGAATTTTGTTTCATTTCAAGTATTCTCTCGCAACAAGTCATTTAAAATGCAACTCTTTGCTAGTTTTGAAGTATTTGTACTAATTTCTTAATTTCAGTCATCAGCTAGGGACACAAACAGGAAATTTTGTTAACGCAAAACTTCAAATTTTCAGCCCGAGTGTTCCGATCCTCACCGCAATTTGGTGTCACTCTGCTGACCTACGAAATTCTACAACGCTTGTTCTATGTCGACTTTGGCGGATCGTAAGTGCAAGCAAATGAATTACACCTAATTTAAAAAATTCATTTCTCTATTTGAAATCTGCTGGATATTTTGGAATTTATTCTAAAAATTTAATCCCAGGCGACCTACTGGCTCAGAGTTGCATGTGCCAACTGGCAGCCTGGCTGATGAGGTGCGCTCAACAAATCCTGACCATATTGGAGGTTACCAAGTTGCTTTGCCCATCTTGACTGGCATTGAAACCAAATTCGGACTGTGTCTGCCAAAGTTCCGAGTGGGTTGAGCCAACTGCAGCGTGTTTAGGGTCTATCCACAACATCGCTAATATGCAAGCTGGCCCATAAGAAAAGCACTGCAGCCAGCTACCATCAGCACCGTTGTGGATGAGTCTTTAGTATTAAGTGTAGTGTCACTTTTTGCAAACCTAGTGTGTTAAAAGGAACTATTTAGTCAAAGAATTGATCAAACTCTTAATAGAAATCTGCATATAATGCGGAAAATGTTATCAAGAGGAGAGAAAGAGAGGTATCAATTATCATCATCCCATCCTGCACAAATGGTAATTGAGACAAAGAAAAAACCCTCTGACCTTGTTTTTATGCATTCACACTCACAAAAGTCAAACACAACACAAATAACTTGTACAAAATGTAACGTACAGGAAAAGTGAGAGCAAAGCTTCAAAAGAGTTCTTCTCTTTTTAACAGCAGACACATATAACTCAACACTTATATTTATACTGTTGAGTAAAAAGATATTATTTCTTAAAATTTCATAATTTGTTTCAGTAAAAATGATCACGTTTTCATGTTGTGTGATAAATTCTTGCTTTTAACCTGCTTGCTGACCAAATAATGCAGAGAGATTGACGTGAAGTTACTGTGGTTGCATAACAAATTTTCAGTATGTTTATTTCAATAGTTTTATGAAAATGAATTTTTTTTTTAAATTTTCCAAATTTTAATAATCATTATCCTTGCCCTTGGGACTGCTTTTATAATAAGAAGAAATAAATAATACCTAACTTGCATGTCATGGAAATCTAGAGAAATTTAACAGTAAATTTTTTGTTCTAATGGAAAAATTTAAGAGGCCTCTATTATCATTGTTTATTCTTCACAAAGTCATTTCTTTGAATCGAAAAAAAAATGTGAAGAAATATTATTTTATTTGAAAATGGACAGTTCAAGATTTTTTCCCCCAAATAAGCAGCTTATATTCTTAGAAGGTTTAAATTAAACAACTGCCTGCATGTCTTACGTAGATGCAACACTGTCTGTCATTTGTTTGTTTTAAAAAGTGGCCATTTACATAGACAAATAAGCGCCCTTTGTTTACTTGCCAACAGATAACCTTGGAAGGTATTATGTAAATACATAATTGTTTTTGCGTACTTTCTTTCCTTCCTATTTGAGTGCTGTAATCACTATTCTCGACAATTTTCAATAATCATTGTTTCTTGCTTTCGCTATTCCTACATAAATTATTATAATCTGTTGCAGTGCTAATTTATTTTGCTTCTAAAATGTCATTTTCTTAAATTACTGGATTAATAAAGAAAATTACACGTTTGTTTTTGCCTATAAAAGTTTGTCGCGAGAAACATAAAAATGTAAAAAATGCCTGCTGAAACGATCTTTATAGACGCATCGCCCATGGCGAGTGTAGTATAATGAGTGGGAAAATTGGGAAAAATAATATTTTACTGTTACACATATGAGAGAGAGCTAAATTAATCACACAAACAATATAGAACAAAGTCATCAACTCAACTGTGGTTTGTGGCTTGGATAGGGAAATTTAATTTGTATTTTTCTGAGATATTTGAGCTGAGGAATTGATCATAATAAAATCATGAAATAAAACTAGCAATATATTTTTCTGTGATTAACATTAAGCCTCGTAGTTGTAGTGGCACGCTGTACCAGCGAATAAACTGTCAAATCGAGAATAAACATTTGTATCAAATTTATTCAATTAGATTAAATTACATCTCAAAAGTCATTGCATTTGTCCATTAGACGTACATAGGACATCCTAATTAGCCTTTACAACCCTGGACATTATAAGATAAATTTATAACCAATACATCTATAATTTAACATTTAACACCAAGTGATTGCGATTAAGGTTAGCCTATGGCCGTAGCTTTTTTATTGCGGAAACTAACTTTTTTCTTCACTCCCAAAAAACCACGCGCGTGCTTCCAACCTTTCCCTGATGGCGCGGAGGTTAATCCTTTAAATCTGTCCCGCGCTCTTCGGTTGACCGCGGACGCCGCGGACCATGGGTACGTTTGGAAACGTCCTAGACAAGGAGCTTGTCCGGCCAAAACCGACTGTGACGTCATTGGTCGCAACAACCACACCCTTGAACCACACACTTCCACCAAGAGTTGTTTTTATGACGTCACGAAAACAGGCTGCTACGCTACATTTAAGAAAGATGGTTTTTGATTGAAGTACGCCGGTCGTATTCGTAATCTCGCAACTTCGACAATTGTTCAAAAAACATATGTGGTAAACTAGCAATTCGTGACGCTGTGGCGCTGCGGAAGGGGGCAAACTTCCAGCAACTACCTAGCATCGAGACAGGGTTAGCAGGAACCTCCTTGAAAAAAGCAACAGTCCTTGTTGCAACAGTCCAGACCTGCTTTTCTTGTTTTCTGGCTTATAGGCCTATGTCGTTAGCGCCAACTGGTGGTTGAAATGGCGTACTACAGCCAAAAACCATCTTTCTGTTCGAAATGTAGCAGCCTGTTTTTGTGACGTCACAAAAACATCTCTTGGTGGAAGTGTTTGGCTGTTGCGAAAAGAGGCGAAGGACCAAGGAGGAATAGGCATTTAAGCCAGAAAACAAGAAAAACAAAAACAGCAGTCCTGTTGCTTGCCTGTTGCTTTTTTTCAAGGAGGTTCTTGCTATCTCTGTCTCCCCGTTGGTCTCCCCCTTCCGCAGCGCCATGACGTCAAGGATTGCTAAGATTACGAGCACATTTTACGAAAAATTGTCGCGAGTGTCGAGATTACGAATAAAACTATCTCTGGTTTCAGCTCAGCTGCTCTACCTACCCCTCACCTTTTACTCTGCTGCTATCGTCATCGTCAATCGACATCATTTGAATTGGTACACCCATCTTTTTCACTTTTTCGGTTTTTCGCTGCATCCAAGACCGAAAAATCCAAAATGCAGGGCATGAGCATTGCTGGAATGAAAAAACACCCCTCTGTAAGTGTTCATGAATGACAATTTGAGCGGGTTTAATCGGTATATAACTTATAAAAAAAGAGATTTCTTTGCTAAAGATGTCTTGAGTTTGAGGTCACGAAAGTCGCGGAGTAGATAATTCAGTGCAAGCCTAGACATTTTATTGCAAGGTTATTGATTAATTAAATGAGCTTTTGAACACTGAATCTCCCAGTATACATGCATTTGAAAGATGAGTTATATCGTGTAATTATTAAATTAAAAGATACTGTATGTACCTACCAGTAAAGTATTACTCAACAAAAAATTCCTGAACAAAAAATGTGTTTGCATATCTCTGAAAGTAAGATCAAGTCAAGACATATATTATCAATATAAAGATCAGTAGTAATATAATAATAATCACGCAAAAAATATACTTAAGCTCTATATCTATAGATTTGCTTGATTTATAGATTAAAGGCATTAAATTTCAGTAATAAATAAATTTTCATTAAATACAGTTTGTTTAACAATTCTTATTAATTTTTCATCATTTTTTTTAACATTCCTTGTGGACAGATTTGATATTAATTTATTTCAGCTCATCCCTCTCTTTGTCTGTATTGGTGTGGGAGCTGCAGGGGCACTTTACTACACTCTGCGCCTTGCTACCCGCAACCCCGATGTCACTTGGAACAGGACAACCAACCCCCTGCCCAACCAAGAGTTTGCCAATAAGCAGTACAAGGTATACAATCTAAAAATAATTTTTATCATCTCTAAAATAATGTTTATCTTTAGTTCTACTCTCCCGTAAGGGACTACTCGAAGATTGAGAGCCCCGCTCCTAAGTTCTAAATTTCTGGGAAGATGGAACAACCATTAGTTCATGATCATGAACTAGATTTAAAAATTTCCATGAATCTTCATAGTATCTGGAGTTGTAAAAAAATCCAAAGCTAGAAACTGAGTAATATGTTGAACCTTTTTATTTCCCAAAAGTTGTAAATAATAAATAATTCTACTGTTTGGCCATTATTTGGATTTTTCTTTACTTAATTATAGTGATTCTAATTTCAGAGCAATTTCAAGAAACTTTTTATTTAGATATATAAATAACTCATTAATTTAAGGTTAACATCAACGAAGTTGTGGAACTTTTTGGCACTCAAGTCATTCACTTTTTGATGAAATAGAAGTTCTGCTGCGTTTTTATTTCCAAGAAAATACATCTCTTGAATTAGGGTTGCAACCGAAAGCAGATTTTCTGTGTTGTATCATGCAGAAACTTCTTATTAAATTTGCAAGGAAGTCGGATTTAAATTAATACTAAAAAAACTACAATACAATGACTTGAGTAGAATAAACAACAGTAATTTACTTCAGAATTATAGTATTTTAACGTCAGAATTTAATATTCAACTACATTTCAATTTGATCAACATTATTGCGTCAATTCTTGAGATTTGGGAACTTAAATTTACAGATTCATAATAAAATAAAAATTCGCTTTTCAGCAATATAATGGGTGACATTAACTTTAGACGTCCTTCGGGGATAACCATGAAGTATAGTTAGCCAGGGAGGATATCTGTAGTGAATGTCCCCCAATAATAGTTCTGCTTCTAAATAGATGCCGATCATTATGTCTTACTCACAAATAACAAGTTGTACTTTTTTTTAATCTTTACCTGCTCAATTATTCTAATTTAGTACAGAAGTTACAAATTAGTTGACAAAATGCTATTCTCTTCAATACTCTCTGGCCAAGATCGTGCAAAGATGAACTGAAGGCAACCGAATTTGAGGAGAGACCCGTGCTTAAGGATGGCTGTGCCTTCCCATCCTGGCCCTTGTGCTTTCAGTTTTTCCAAGCGTTTTGTGTTGCAATTGCATTTTTTCTGTGGCAAACAAGAAAAATAATTAGATTACACTTCTCCATAAGCAAAAATCATAACAGTTCTTACTTGCAAGGAACTTATTCTTTTCTTGATCCTCAGCTCCTCAAATTCTTTATTTGCATTTTCATCTGGCAGTTCTTCGTAATTAGTAATAGGTGATTTCAAATTTGCCTTTTCAGGTTCTTCTTTCAACGCATCATTTGTACACTTCCATCTGGAAAATAGAAAGCTTAAATGGCTTCTCTTTAGTGAAATAAATAACTTGCCTACGCCTTCTTGCAGCCAAAATTTTCCTTGCGCCAAAGGCCAAAGGTGGATCTCGGGGATTGTAGTTTGGCTGAGGAGGTTGATAAACTTCAATCTGGCTCTCCTCAATACAATAAAAGATACTGTCTATCACTGTACCATGCTCGCTATAGTTCATCAGTTCAAATTCTTTTGTGCTCTAAAAAGAAAAAGAGTTGTTTGAGTCAAGGCTTTGAAGATATAAAAATTTTTACGTTATCGTAGAAAATGAGAGCGTGTAGAGATGATACAAAATTACAGTGGCCGTATCTGGAGAGATCGATGTCAACATTAGAGCCCAATCCAATAGAGAGCTGTTGCAATGCCAAGCAGTGGGCAAGTTCTTTAATAACTTTACAGGAAACTACAGGGTAAATTGCAGCCTTGGTTGCAATATTCTGTGGGATGTATATGGATGACAGCGGCAGTGATATGCAAGGGGCGAGTTGGGCGTTAGGCTTGGCTATTGGCATGTAAGGAGCTCCGGATGTTAATTCTTGGAGTCGTTGCATGGCCAGTGCTCGTATCAAGGAATCATCTAAAAATTCCAGATCTGAAAAAAATCATAAATTGCAAAACTTAGTTGACATGGTTAGCAAAGGGAAACAAACCAGATTCCTTCCCTGAAAAAATGTTTCCCTGCAAGAGCGCAGCTAGCTTTCTTGACTGGTTTGAAGGGTAACTAAAGCTGTAATTGAAAGGAATGATTATTATTATTGTATAACTTAGAAGCATTAATCAAACATTTTACTATTTAAAGGTGACTGATACAGGCTTAGTCCTCGTTGGTAAAAATGTTTTCATTAAAAAACAGATGGCAGTTTTTTTTTTTTAATAATATACACTTATTTTGACAAGGACAAAGCCTGTTTTCTTCACTTCCATGATCGTCTCTTCAAGTGCTAATTTTTTCACTAACCTTTTGCTTTGGGATTTGTCCATGTCAACATCCAAGTAACCATTGCACAAACCTCCATTACTGTGTAATTGTGCATTGTTTTCAACTGGTTGCACTTTTGCATGATTAGATTTAGAGTCCTTGTGCTTGAGATGAAGATGTGAAGCAATGCTTGTTTGCAGGGCCATTACACTCATCAGCCACTGGGTTTACTTCTATGTAAGATTCACTATAATTAAACTGTAAGAGATAAAACTCACCAAATCTTGCTCCTCTTTGGTAGATTCCTTAGGAATAGTGTCAGCAGGAGTTACCATGGTAAGTAAAGGGCCCCCTAGGGGTACCAAAGGTTTTGGGTCCATGTAGTGCTGTCGTACTGCCTCAGGTATCTGTGAAGATTGATTGTTGTTAATAGATCTATTAATAATTAACATGCATCTAAAAACATACCTTTGCAGTATTTTTAGCGCAAAGTTTAACTCTAGGCAATCTTTTTCTATGATAGCTTTGAGAAATCCGTGAATGCCTCAGGAAGTTGATTTTGATGGCTTCTGGATCAATCGGAGCCACACAATATTGGTCCCATAATCGAAGCCTTTCCGTAGCCCCACTAGATTGAAGAAGTTTTTGGTCCTAATTACAATTTATTTTTGTGAAATGCTTTTATGGATTATTTTTTTCAATACCACAGAATGATTGGAGTGCGCAGGACACATCCATCTCCCACTGGGAACAGTGGTCAAAGGAGGAGTCAGACAATCCAAATGGAAAAGAAGAGGACAGTAGTCACAGGCTAAAAGAGGGGCCAACCGGCAACTCCTAACAATTCAATGATTGGAGGAAAATTTATTTAAAAAAACTATACTTGTGACATTCGTGACAAAGTTTGGCTGGCAAAGGGACCAATCCATTATCAAGCTCATGGGGTTTTCTTTTACTCTTCCCTCTCCTTAGCATGGCTAAATAGAAAAGTTAGGTTAAGAAGTTAAACAAAAAATTGTTTTTCACCTTTCTCTGTGCCTGGAAGAGTGATGGGTTCCATGAACTCATACGGAAGCTCAAATTCTTTAGGATTAAGCTGTGCAGCAGCTTGAATAAGCGTCTTGAGGGGCTGCAGATCCTGGTCAGCAGCTGGTTCTTTAGTCAAAGGTTCACTCTCCAACTTGATATCTACTAATTCCTTCAGTGCCACAAATTCTTCCACTTTGGTCATCTCCACCTCTGGTACTGTTTCTGCAACTCCTAAAGCAATCTCTTTTGCTTCTGCAGGACCTATCAAATCTTGCTCGGAATCTCTCCGCCAGAAGAGTCTACACAACTGGCCAGTTGTTTCGTTGGTGGCATTTGTGACTGAGAATGATATCGGTGTTGCAGATTTTGAAGTTGCTGGACTTTCAATTACGTCTCTCTTTAATTTCTCTATCTGTTTTGTAATTGGCGGGGCATTCTAGAAACATTTAATTAGCACAACTCCAATAAACTTAGCTATTTCCAATTTACCTGAGCATTATTAAATTTACAATTATGGCATAACCACATCCCTGTGGGTATATCCTCTTCATTTAAAGGAGGATCGCTGAAACAAACTTATTTAACTTTTTATTCAAAATGCAATATATTTTATACTGGCAAAGCAAGTGGAATGATGCGGGACACTTGTCGCAGCACAAAAGGTCTCCGCCCTCTCCGCAAGCATCGCAACAGTCATGATTGTGACCTTTGCCTGGCCTCCTATAGTACGGATGCTTTGTTTCTCTGCGCCTGCCCTTCTCTTCGCTAGGCGGAGGCGCAATAAGGGCCTGTATTTGCTGTGGCAAACATCCATTATAAACAGTGTTGTAAAAATGTGCAAATTGGCGTTTGTCTCCTTGTTACTAAGGGGTGAATGCATATTGAAAAACCAATATAGCAGCGTGTCAAAATATCATTAATTTCACTCATTATTATTTATTTTATGAAAACGTAGCAAAGGTTCAAACTCTACATGAGTACGGGGACCTATATGTATTTTTAAAATCCTTTTCCTCGAAATAAACTAGAAAAGAGAAAATAATTGTACATTTCTGGTTTCTATTTTGAAGTTGAAATTTCTGTCCAAGATTTTTAAGTGTTTTTGATGGGCGAGGAAGGCATAATGCGGCAAATGGAGCAAAAAACGCAGAATTCGAGCGAAAATTATGAAAATTCGGCCGCCATTTTGCCATAACAGAGGTCTAGATGGCCAAACTTACGGGCATCAGGCCTCCGCACGCGTCAAAATCGTAGTCCAACTTCTCCATAATTTGCGCGACGACCCGGTACGTCGGGCTGCGGTCGGTGTCGGCCGCCGAATCTAGTAGAAAAGAGCACAAAAATATTAATGACAAAAGGATGCTATTGCTGCCAAATGTAATGTATGTACCGGTGCTATAAAATATAAATATAACGTCGAACGAGACACGAGACTAAACGAGTAACAACGATAGTTTTTTATTTTCCTATAAACGGAGCAGTACAACGCGGCGTTGCCATCATAATAGTGCGCGGCTGCATGCGCGCATGTGCGAGATCGAGTTCAAACTTTTAGGTGCGAACCGCGAAGGAAGCTAGCTGGCTACGTATAATTTAGCTTCTGGTATTACAAATTTAGTTTATTGCAAACCAAAATGATATTAAGAAGTTGCAAGTAAGGGGTTTGCATATGATTATACTGACTGATTATTTAATTGCTTAATAAATTATTAATGGGTAATTGTTCTGTAATTTCTATTGTGTAAATTATTATGATTAATTTGTAATTGTTTAAAACAATGTAAGTTGGCTTACACACGGGCTTTATTGTATTCACAACAATTCTGGCTGGATAGGGTAAATTCACTGGCTCGAAATTGTCCGTATAGTGTCACTTAAAAATCAACAAATGGGAGCGGTGGTCCCTGGGTAGGCCGGCAGGCTGCCCTGGAAACGTCCTTGCTGGGAACCCGGACGGCTCCCTGCAGGTCGGCGGCGGCTCTCGGCGCGGCCGGGGCCCACGGCGTGCGGGTCTCTGGCGGCGGACGTTCGGACGCCTTCGTCCGAGCGCTCGCTGGCGACGTGCCACGTCGGCGCCCGATTCCTCGGACAGGAAGGAGCTGGGGACAAAAACAATGGGTCACTCGGCTGTACTTCCGTCTCACGTAGTGGTTTGACCTTTTGGCCAAAAGAAGGCCTCAGGGAGAAACAATTGTAATTTCTCTTACCTGGCAAAACTGCTCCGTACGGCTTCGGACGGCTCGGCCACACCCCGGACAGTACGATGGACACAGGCGTGCCGCTCGAGGGGCTCGGGACGCGGTCGGCCTTCCGGCTGTCCTCGGACGAGACAGCGTCGGGACAAGACAGCGGTCGGGGCCTTGGGACGGCTCGGACGAGTGCGAAGGGTTCGGACGGGTGTCCGAAACTGCACTGGAAGTCCAGGTGTCCTGCGAACAAAGAGCAAAGGGTTGAATGCTCTCCGTCAGCTGGCTCGAGTGTCGGAGCTTTACCTCGGATTTCTCTGAGGTCTGTCAGCCTTCTGCATCGAGCCAGCGGACGGAGCGCCTTTTATAGCGCGGGTAGCAGCCCTGGGAGGGTCGTGCAAAACCCACCCACCCATTTGATTTACATTGAGAACTTTCTAGATGCATCTAGAAAGTTCTGTGAATCTGCAGTTGAATTCTAAAATGCCTTTATAAATTCCCTTGAAGTGAATTGGAATCCCATGAATTCTACAAGCTTATAATTCCAATTGAATTTATACTAATTATTTGTAAATTTAAAGCTACTTTAAATTTAAAATAAACGCAATATTTATTTAAAAGAATTCAACTGAAAACAATTGCCAGAAATAAAAAAAAAGAATAATTAAAAAGAAAGCCCTTAAAAAATGAATTTAATTGTAAGCCGAAAATTAATTGAATAATAATAATAAAAAAAACAATGAAGTTCTCCGATGACACAGCCACAGTCAAAACAAACAAATTAAGAGAGGAATAAAATAATTATTCCACACCACTTCTATACTAAATAAAAAAAAAAAACTCGTGGAGTAAAGATGGTCTTGCCCTCCAAGGAGATTGTGGGTTCAATTCCCACTCAAGATGGATTTTTCTCGGGGGAACCTGAGTGATTTCTCATGCTGGGACTGCGAGTGAAGGGTTGAAAGTCGGCCGGGGGCCGCAGGATTTCGTGTTGAGAATAAGGGTTGTTTGCATTGCACCCTAGTTGTACTTGTACATAAATTCTACTCCGAAGTCAAATTTCTTGATTATCTCAAAAATTTGTAAATATGTTTTTATGTGTTCTCATTCTATCTTTCGTTTGACCCAGCAGTTGTAAATAAGTGAATTGCGACATGGCAGGTAAAAGATACTGGAACTCTCATATATTCATTAATACTAGTAACTTCATTATCATTTATCATTTAGTCTGCTGTTTTAAGTTATGAAAATTTACAATCTCCCTCAATTTTTTTGCTAAATTATTATGCGCATTATTATTATTGCAAAAATGGAAATTAAATTGCAACTCTTTTATTGGTGTGATATTACAAATAATGCACTAGTGAGCTCACACGTAATTCTTCACCCATTTACAATTGGGTCAAAAGGAAGATAGGAATAAAGTTAGAGAAATGCAAACATATTTACATAAATAAATTTACAAGTGTGCCATGAAATCAATGAACCTCTGTTCTCCGTATAAAATTTATGCATGGACACAAAAGTCCTCCTCTGAGCTTAGTAGATCAATATTTAAGTCCCCAGCCAAGATCATTATGACCACTCAGCTATATCTTTTTTTTTGCCTATTCACAATCAGTTTGTCTTGAACCACGACGAAAGAAAAACGGTATCACATCACATATATTTGATTTGTCTGCAGCTAGATTGCACAGAAAATTGCGGTCTAGGTCTAGTAAAGAAAACTCAGTGAGGTGCAACGTACGCGGACGACCCCTGCCGCACACACAGCAATTTAAAAACCTGAATAGCTCATTGTATTTCAAAATTTTATTGTTGCAAGAGGCAATTAAAAAACTTTCTCTACTGCGATATTTATCTTACGCTGGCAATTAGATAATTGAGAGTGATAATAACTTACTAGATTTTTATAGTGGAAAGATGCGCTCGAGTCATGCCGTCCACATGTCCACATAGCGCCCGCAAATACTTTAAAAATGAGGTGAGGGGTGAAATGAGTGAATCCGTTTTTTTTTTCATACATAAAAATTTCAAATTAAATTTTACAAAAGCTTTTTCTAAGGATCGTCGTTAACATTTGAGCTTTGAGCTAAAATGGAATAAAAATCTATTGAAATGACTTAAAAATTGAATTGAATTGAGGTAGCAAAGAATGTTTTTTCCCCTGATTTTCTAACTTATATTCAGGGGGGCTTTTTGCATATAATACACATTATACATATAAGCACGTTCCTGCAGAAATTTTGTTGTAAGTGATGCGAGTATACCTTTTTCAGTCTCACTGACTCACACACAATCAGTGTGTAGTAGAGCGACCATCATTAAGGAGAGTTTAAATTACTAGCCCGTGTCGGCCACATGGTGGGGTTTCCCTATAAGAGGTGCATTTGTTCTGCTCTAACTAGTGCATTTTTCAAAAGCAACACGAGTACGCCAATTTCTCGTCTTCTGGAAAATCAATTACAAAAGTTAAGTAGGTCTATTTTTATAATATTTTCTACCGACGTTATAACTTGGAATATTATAAATATTGGTAAAATGCACTTCCAATTATATTGGACAAACGGCACCACCACTAGCAAGAATTTCACTAAAACTTCCTAGATCAAACAGACCAAATCTGCCGCATTATATTCTATTTCATTAACAGTTCTTTTATCACAAATATTTTCAAAGAATGACGTTGGTGCTCCCTGCCGGTGATATGCTGAAGAAAATTCAGTCCGATCTGAACCTACAGGAGGGTCGTGAACAGGAGGACCTGTCCAAACTGAAGGAATGGCTCGCTTGCCAGCCGCATCTTCCTCAAATTGAAGGTACTCAAATTATAAGTGTACAATTATTTGAGTGCAACTTCACACCAATTAAAAAATTATTTTAATTTCCCATTGGCGAGAGCAGACGATCGTCTCTTGGCTGGCTTCCTGTACGGCTGCAAGAACTCGATGGAGCGTTGCAAAAAGGTGCTTGATATGCACTATACCGTACGAGGCGCTGCTCCCGAGTTCTTCAAGAACCGCGACCCTAAGAGTGCTGATATGAGGAGCTGTCTTGACTCTGTGTAAGATATATTTATTATTGTTTATTCGTCCAAATTGCTACATTCATTTGTTGAAAAAACAATTTATTTGATTTAAAAGAAAGGAATTGTTGGGAAAAACGGTACCACCAAAAGAATTTTGCTAAACGTTTTCGAGATAAAGAAAAAATTCCATCTGCCGTAGTGAGCCTGTATTTAAAATTGTGAATTATAAATAATTTTTTTAAAGTGTTGGGTAGATATTTGTAGGGATCTCACATCAAAATGATTGATTAAAAAGCCTTTGTCTCTCTAGTTACATTGTGCCGATGCCCAAGCTGACTGCTGAGGGCGCCAGGGTGACCATCCACAGCCTGCAAGACCCTTCCAAGGGCCAGTTCAACGCTTCCGAGTGCATGAAACTTGTCTTCCTTACCGGTGACATCCGTCTCCGCGAGGATATTTGCTCGGGGGATATCCTCGTCTACGACCTCAATGGAAGCTCTTTGTCACACTTGGCCCAGCTCACGCTGCCGCTTGTGCGCAAATTCATGATTTGTGGACAGGTATTATTAATTTTTTAACTAATTCAAATTCCCATATTTGCTGCATTTGTATCAAATGGTGGAAACGTTTGATATTTTTTTCCTTCATCAAAATTATAAAAAAATTGTACTTGTCTCGTTAAAGTCGGAGGCGAATAAAATTTTATTACATGGCAATTTCACATTCCACTAAAATTTTCTATAAAAATTGCAGATATTGAGATATTAATTAATTTAAAAAGCATATGCCTATGCTTTAAATAGCATCGGGTACACAAATATTTGCATTGAAATCGAAAAATTGCATCCACTTTTATAATATAACAATTATTTAAAATTTTGCAAAATTAATCCACAATATTGTATATTTCTAAGAACAAGGCAAGAAAAGTCAGGTGAAATAAATTATAGTGTTATCAGCCCGTGAACAATAAAAGAACAGTGTGCACAGTGCATGTCCTTTTCTTCCCGATGCTAATCACTGCACAGATTTCGTGTGCGAGAAACTCTGCTTTCCCCGGCCAGACGTTTCTGCATCAGGTACCGTCAACTATCAGATGACTCACTACCGGGGTTTGCGGAAAAAAAACGATTATTTCGCGTTTGTAAATTCCTTTCCACCACTCGGCTAATCCACTTTCTTGTTTTATACACTCAGTTTTTTAGCACCGCTGTGGTCGGATCATTATCTTTCCAGTACATTTTAGCAGGTCGTTGATCTGCTTTCTAATTACAAATCAAACCGCAAACCGAAAATTTTTTCCATCAGTTTTTAGGTTAATAAATATTTGTTTATTCTCCATTTATTGGAAAAACATATTATCATACTTTGACAATATGTGGTCATCAGGGGTGAAAATATACTTACTCTGATCTTAATTAAAGACTGATTCCCGGAGATTCCTTGTACATGTACAAGAAATAAATGCCGCAAAAAGAAAATATGAAAGACATTGATTTGCAGAGCGCCTATCCTGTCCGTTTGCGCGAGGTTCACTTGGTGAACGCACCCAGCTTCTTGGACAAAATTTTGGCTCTTTTCAAGCCCCTGATGAAGGACAAGCTTGCCGATAGGGTAAATCAAAGATAAAAGTTATTAAATTATTTTAATTTTTCTAATATCTAACTAAATTAGATCCACGTCCACTCCAATGTTACTGCCCTACAAAAATTCCTATCAAAGGACGTTCTTCCTAAGGAGTATGAAGGTGAAGCTGGAGATCTGAAGGAATTGCATGGTAAATAATAATTATTACTTATTTTATTTACTTATTTATTTATTTATATATTCTCCATTTCTTCTCTTTTTTCCAATACACAGTCATTATTTGCACCTGTTCTGTTAGCAAAGGAATTGGTCGCTCATTTTATTATTTACTCATTTGCAGCTTCATGGCGTGAAAAGCTGGAAAGCTACCGCGACTGGTTCATTGGCCAAGAGTCCGTTCTGGCCGACGAAGCCAAGCGCCCTGGCGGCAAGCCTGTGACCCAGGATGATCTCTTTGGTCTTGATGGCTCCTTCCGCCAGCTTTCTGTCGACTAAAAGACAAGCCCTACTGCTTCCTTCCTTTTTATACCTATTCTGTTATCAATCTAAATTCTAATTTGCAACTAAAACACATTTTAGGGCCATTTATAAAAGCCTAACCTGGCCGCCAATTTAACCCGCCATTGAATTTGGCTATAGTTTGTTTATGTAGCCAGGCTAGATTTAGTTATAGCCTATGGCCTGGTAATGCTTTTGGATTGCTATCATTATTTTCAACTATGTCAAACTTATTCTTGTAATTTACAAATAAAACAGCAATTTGTCTTTTTTCTTTTTTTTTAAAACTTTGTTTCTCTTACAAAGGAACCACCGCAATTGATCCTCCTTCAAATGCAATGAAAAATCGAAAGTTTGTAAAATGGGAGCGCTCAAGCAACGGGCAACGAACGATAAAATGTGCGAATGGCCAGCGACAAAGCGGCCAGCTAGCGATTTTGGTGGCAGAGCTATTTATCTATTTATTTATTCTCCATTCAAATGCATGAAATACACAAGATTCAAGATTTTTTTATCTCATTATATCATTATTTTATTATATAACATTGAAACCCGCAAATTTCTCAAAGCAAAGCCGAGAGTTTGGGCTGCCTTTACACGGAACAATACATTCAAGAATATCAAGAGAGTACAGATGAATTTCATACGAGGACGCGCTAAAACTGCCGATCGAAATACAACATGGGTCGATAATTTTTTTCAATGATTACCACCTGTCCATAGGCCACCCCCATGAGGTTAAAAAAAACCTCAAATTTTTTTCGAATTTTTAGAATTTTTTTTTCAAAAAACTCAAAAATCGAGTTTTTTATTTTTCTATGGGAGATAAAAGCTTATAAAAAACTTTTCTAGACAAATTTTGCAACGCCCGACATCTTTCCAATGGTGACCAAACGTGTACAAAACACTTTCAGACAAATTTTGACTTTGACTGAAATTTTCAAAATGAACGCCCCCTTCGATTTTTTTGCAGGTAGGAAAAAATGTAGCCCATCTAATTTTAAATCGATATGGTGATTTCCAGAAATATATTATTTTTTGTTTTTTTTTTATTAAAAGGTGAATAAATAAAAACGTTAGATTTTGGGTTTCCTAGTGAGGAGTGAAATCTCGGAATTTGCTTCGATCGTCCGATTAATTAATCTCGCGCTAAGAATTAACTTTGAAATATAATTTTTCTAGATGTATTTTTAGTTTTCCAAACATTTTTTAAATAGTGACCAAACGTGTACATTCACGTTCTAGGCCATTTTTAGACAAATTTTGACTTTAACTGAAATTTTCATAATGAACGCTCCCTCCGATTTTTTTGGTGGTGTAGGAAAAATTGTAGCCCATCTAATTTTAAATCGATATGGTAATTTTCAAATGTATATTATTTCTTGTTTAAATTATTTTAAAATTAAAGTAAACCAACTCCCGACCATGAGCGTATTTTCAGCGCTTGAAACGTACAAAACCTAATATTTTTATTTGTTCACATTTTAATTAAAGAAAAACAAAAAATAAAATGTTTCTGGAAATCACCATATCGATTCAAAATTAGATGGGCTACATTTTTTCCTACCTGCAAAAAAATCGAAGGGCCGGGCGTTCATTTTGAAAATTTCAGTCAAAGTCAAAATTTGTCTGAAAGTGACCTTTAACGTGTTTGTACACGTTTGGTCACCATTGGAAAGTTGTCGGGCGTTGCAAAATTTGTCTAGAAAAGTTTTTTATAAGTTTTTATCTCCCATAGAAAAATAAAAAACTCGATTTTTGAGTTTTTTTGAAAAAAAATTCTTAAAATCCGAAAAAAATTTGAGGTTTTTTTTAACCTCATGGGGGTGACCTATGGACAGGTGGTTATCATTGAAAAAAATTATCGACCATGTTGTATTTCGATCGGAAGTTTTAGCGCATCCTCTTATGAAATTCATCTACATTGTTATAGTATTTTGTATTTTCTGGGAAGATTGGCTTGGATTCCAGAGCTTAATGTACCATTTCCCGTAGTAAATGCCAGCAAAAGCGCGTAAGATTCTACTCTGGGCTACAAACACTTTCTGACTTATGACTTGATATCCACCCGAAATAAGACAAGATATGGCTCTGAACGTGGGCAAAGTAGATCATTTTCAAGACATTATCAGATACTTTGTCCTTAAACCTTGAATCTTGCAAGCCATTGTTAAAAAAAAATTGTGTACTCTTTATTATATTAAATAATACAACTTGATAAAAGCATATAAAAATTAACTATTTCAAGAATAACAATTCAATTCAATTCGTTTTATTTCTCCACAACAAGTCAAAGCATCTGAGTCAAAAATTTACATTACGGAGAAATAGGCTTACAGTACTAGTGAACAACTCACTGAAACTCATACATCATTGAACTGAGACAAACAAGAAAACAACATGCAATAACAACTACACTTCCGTGTGTCGTAATATTTGCTTGCTTTTGTGCGTCCCATTTAGAGGCAAAAAAAAGTGCAGCGCCAGCTGCAACTTTCGTCTCCTCGGCCTTCAACAATAGAGAAATTGCAGAGAGCCACCTTTTTATCAACGCGTCTATATCTTGGAAGGACATGATGGAGAGGAAGGTGCTCGTACGTTGATCCCTCTCCAGTTGATCCACATACCCGAGTGCGATTTTGGTAGAGAAGGGGCCACCGCTCCAAGAGAGCATTTCTCAGAGAAAGTCGCACCGTAGATCCTGTAGCTCCAACGTCAATCCCTTTGCATCATTCTCGTCCGGCGCAGCCTACGAACAACCGCAAACAAGTAAGTTTAATAATTTTTGCATGATTACCGTTATTTATTTATTATTTATATAGTTTTAGGCCCTTTGTACACCTGCATATAAGTTGAATATAAAAATTCTTCTTTGCTAAGCAAAGAAGAATTTTTGAAATTCAATTTCAAAGCCCTGAAATTATGATCTCGATCAATATCTTAAATACTCTTTCAGAGAGATTGAAACGAATTAATGATAGCAAAGAAATTGTTATATGACACGCATCAACGCGTAATAATAAATTCATTTTTTTGAATTGGAATTAGTAACGTTTTGCTTCCACTTTCTCTCATGTCAGTTTTTCGTGGATGCCCACCATTTAATTGGAACCAAGATTTTTCCTTCGAGATTATTATATATCATTACAATTATATTAAAACAATTATTTTAAAAATTGAAAACTTGAAATAAATTACAACTTACTATAGAGGATCGTGTTTACAGTTAATTTTAATAATTAAGCTGAAATGACAAAACGTAATCGGGGCATTATTTAGAAAGTGCGTTTGTGTTTCATGTAAAAAGTGCTTATTGAGAAAGCGAGGTGAAAAATATGAAAGGAATATCTCGGAATGACTCGTTTTAAAGGCAAATTGGAGATGTGCTGTACTAGAATAGATTACATTCAATTCAATTCGTTTATTGAATTTGAATTTTGAATTTTGAAAATTTTGAATTTTGAATTTTATTCTCTCACAACAGTTCAGACATTTTAGCATAACTAATTTTAAAACTGTTACTTTCAAATTTCAGTTTATTTAGTTTTGATTTAAGCTAAATTATACATTTTACAGTAGTATAAGCTTTTGCAAAACAAGTAAAAATAGAGATTCTACTAATTATTTAGAGCGAAGAATTCGCCCATAAACTATTATTAATATTTATTCATTTCGCGCATAATACACAAATATTGGAAAAAATTGAATTTGAAACAGAGAAGAAAGGGTTCACCGTTATGGGTTTCGTATTTTGTTAAGAGTGGACGGATTCTAGAGCTTTATACAATTTCCCGTAGTAAATGCCAGCAAGATTCTTTTCTCGGCTACAAACACTACTGACATGCGGGGTTGACGAGCGCTCTCAAAGAGCGCTCCGCTCGCGCGAGCGGAGCGCGAGCGTCGATTTTTCTTCATGCCGCGAGCGCGAGCGTTTTATCAAAAGAGCGCTGAAAAAGAGCGCTCATTTACGATCTTTTTGGTGACCATAAATTCGTGAAATCTTGCTCGTAAAACATTGAGAATTTTTCATTTTCCAAATTATCAAAAAATATTTTTATGAAACTCAATGGAAATAGGTATATTTTTAGACCAGACATAAAATAGCATTGAAAATAGCATTTGATTGTACATAAGAAAAATTGAAGAAGGCCAATCCAAATTTCATTTAAAAAATAGCGACCTCTGAAAAAGAGCGCTCGCGAGCGCTCTTTTGGGTAAAGAGCGCGAGCTTGATTGCTCGCGTGAGGAAAAATTGAAGAGCGGGAGCGCGAGCGCAATTTTCAGAAAAGAAGGCGAGCGTACTTAAGCAATCAGCGCTCTCGTCAACCCTGCTGACATAAGACTGGAGCCAAACCTAAATAATTATAGCATACAGTACAGGATAATATGGCTCTGAACGTGGGCAAAGTAGATCATTTTCAAGACATTATCAGATACTTTGTCCTTCAGTTTCGTGAGTTATATAAGTTACGGATCTCAATTTACATATACAACATGTTTACAGTGCTCCACTCAATTCAAAGTATCAGTAATATGTACGCCAAGCAGTTTACCAGATTTAACAACTTCAACTATTTTTTCATTAATATCGACGAATGGTGCAACTAGTTTTCTAGTTTAGCGCGCTAAAAAATATTTTCTTCTAAAAAAAGTAAAACAAAACCAGAAAACTTTTTTCATACAAAAACCAATCGGCAATTTGAAATAATATAAGGTTGAAACTTCCAAAATTGGTATCTGTTTTGAAGTTTCTTGTATACAAAAACTGTTATTCGTTGCAATTTTGGCTTGGTTTGAGCGCAAATGAGCGCTGCGCTCGCAATTTTGAAAATCGTGCGCTCTGTCCTTGTATGTAAATTTCAAATAAGCACATTGAACGTGTTCATTTCAGAATTTCACAAAAATCAGGCGAAGAAAAACATCATTGGGCTAGCTGTGACTTGGAAAAAACCCGTTCTGAAGAATGATCAGAGGATGCAAACTATTTTGTGTAGAAAGTTAAAAAAAAAGATGCACGAGGATGAGGGATCGCAGTTTGTAGGTCAAATACAAAATTGGTGTGGCACCACGCTCCATTGAGTAAAAAAGCCAGCAGGCGCGCTCAATCCAAACACATTAAGATTTAAAATGATGTCATGAAATATTTTAATATATATATAGCATATAGCATGCAAAAAAAAGAGTTCCAGAGTAATGTTAGAATATTTACTTTACTTTAAACTCTCAAGTAATTAAATTCACTTTCTCAATAGATTCGCCGGTAAGTTCTGTGAATAAAACCGAAGTCTTTTACCATGGAAGATTGAGTGAAACTTTTTATTACCTTAAAGTGAAATGGCAACACAAATAAAGTGACAAAAATTACAAGAACAGTTAACACCGCGTAACTGACGGAGAGGAGAATAGAAGTGAGGCCCTGATTCCTTGCGCTCAGGGTATTTATTGGCAACATATTTCCTGTTGTTGCGTCCTCTAGCCGCGCGGTCGGTCGTCCTGTGCCCTTGCATACAAAGTCCGACATCCCTGTGGTTGTTTACTTCATTTCAGCACCATTTCCTTTGTGCTTGAAACAACTCACACCGCGAATTATTAATTTATTTAATCGCGTTTTTAAATAAATTAATAAGGTCAAATGTTTTTATAATTGTGTCATTTTATACCTGTGATGTTAACAGTGATAAGGGACAAGAACTTTGGTTTTCTTTTAGTGTCATTAGAGGAAGCAATATATGACGAGAATTTTAAATGTGTTTGAAGAAGTTGAGTGTTCATGGAAATGAAAACAGATCGGGCTTTTTCCTCATTGCAGAAAATTGTTTTTTATTAAAAAACAAATGGCTCTACCAGTTTCGGTCACGGTCTGCGAACCTATTTCATGAGCAAGAATATACAAAAATTCAGTTAATTGAAACACACCACATTATAACTTATAAAATAAAAATTTAAATCTTAAAACTAACATATTCAAGTACCAACCTATTTCATAAGCAAAACGCGCTGCTCGCTGAAAATTTTTAGTTTTCATCTATTAATTTATTGATATAATTTTCATTTCTGCAGTGCCTACCCTCTTAGTGCAGCCGACGGGTGAATTGTCAGTACAGATTTATAAAGATTTGTGTGAAGACAAAGACGCCGTTCCAGAAAAAATGAAACAAATCAAAGGATGGCTCGCCATGCAGCCGCACCTGCCACCCTTTCCAGGTGGGAAAATATTTTTCATAGAAAAAGAATTCATTACGAATTTTGGTTCATTCAGACGATCATCGCATCTTAACATTTATGCGCGGCTGCAAGCACAGCACCGAGAAGACCAAGAAGAAGCTGGACATGTACTTCTCCATGCGCGCCGCCGTGCCCGAATTCTACGCCGACCGTGACCCATTGAGTGATAGCATACAGAAAGTTTGGACGGAAGCGTAAGACACGGTTTCTTTCAAAAGGAGTTAAAAACAATAAAAATTAAATAGACATATGCCACCTCTGCCAGCACTGACTCCCGAGGGAAATCGAGTAATCTGGATGTGCGGCGCCCAGGATGAGTTGAATATTGCGTCGGCAGCAACTGCCATGAAAGTCGCACTCATGATTGGTGACTTGCGTCTTAAACTAGAGGAGGTGAATAATTTTATTATTATTGTAGTTTATTCTACTAAAGTCATACATGAAAAAAATTGAATTGGAACAAATGCAAGCAGAAAGGGTATCACAACAGCAGAGGTCTGTTAAAACGCCCGACATAAAAAAGAGATCGGCCATCGCGTGAACCCACACTATATCGTAAAAAAAAGTATTTTCGTTCAAGGCTTTGTAGTTTCTAGCCTTTACAATTAAAGATGTGTAATATCTGCAAACTAATGCTTAACAAAATAAAGAAAATTTGAATTAAAGGAATAAATAGAATGTGAAAATTAAATTTACAGCACGGTGTTTCGGGGGACGTTTATGTCCTGGATGCTTCACAGGCAACTGCCCAGCAGTTCGCAAAATTCACACCCGCCATTATCAGGAAATTTCTCATAAGTGTGCAAGTAGGTTTATTATACAAATTATTTGGGCGCATAAAAATATAAAAGTTTTTATAGGAAGCCTATCCAGTTCGCCTCCGTCAGGTGCACGTCATCAACATCAACCCTCTTGTTGATGTTATTTTCAACTTCGTTAAGCCCTTGCTCAAGGAAAAGATAAAGAACAGGGTATGTCATACAATACCTGATATTTTGTCCAAAATCGACATTTGCAAATTTTCAGATCCACTTCCACTCGAAGATGGATACTTTCTTTAAATTTGTGCCAATTGAGATGTGTCCAGAGGAATATGGAGGCAAAGGTGGATCCCTTAAGGATTTCAGTTGTAAGAAATATAATATAAATATTTGCTTTTGAAGCTCAATCTATAATGTTGTTGTTATAGCAAACTGGAAAAAGATTGTGGAGGATAACCGTCAGTGGTTCTTGGATCAAGAATCCGTTAAAACTGATGAGACCAAGCGGCCAGGCAAGCAAATGAACTATGATGAGTTGTTTGGTGCATCTGGCTCATTCAGGAAACTAAACATCGATTAAGTTTCAAATTTTCTGAACTTGGTGATACGAGAGTCCTGCACAGCAATTTATTTGCAGCCAGTAAAATATTGATAATAATTTCACTGCATATATAATTTTTTTAAGTAAAAACAGGCCCACGCTACGTTAAATTTGGAAAATATTCCTTTATTTGCAGCAAGAAGGGAATGTAGCAAACAAAATGCATTATTAATCTTCTATGCCTTACACGTTTAAATAAAGATGACCTGGAATAAAATGGAGAAAAAAAAACAGTGTGCTTTTTTAATATTTAACAACAACAATTAAAGTTCATCGTGCAAGCCTTTGGAACTCGAGTCTTCTGAGAAATTGCAAGCGGCGGGTGTTTGGAGATCAAACTTGTATTCGCATCTGTTAGGCTCGCTCACGGCGGTCAGCAAATTTTCAGTGCCGCAAGCCAACTCAACCTGATTACAACATATGCATTGAGATAAAATGAATTTCCAGATAATTAAATTTCAGCTTTTATTTTTTATTTTTTTGAGCAGAAATTCAAGTTTTTGTATTCACCTTTGTTGAACGTTGAGGTCCATTCCAGCAAGATTGTCCATTAGTGTACATCATGTGCGAATACTTGTTGGGCTCCGATCCCACCCAGTGGCCCCAACTTCCCAGTCTAGTATCGCCTCCACCGTTCTTTGGCCTTTGAGAAGCCTTCAAAAGTAAATTTCAATTATCAATTTCTTAATAAAATAATAATATTATTATTATTAATGGGCGCTATTCTCTTGACTTAGCTCTACCAGTCTAAATGTTATCCCGGGATAAATCCAAAACCCCTGACCCGGACTAAATATTTTTTTTATCCGCCTTAAATTTTTTGTTCGAGATAACTTTTCTTTACCCCGCGTCGGCGGGATAAATATTTAGCCCGCGCTTTAATCAAATCAGCCGTTTTTATTAAGCGACTTAAGAACTTTTTAAATTTTGGCCAATTGCAACAAACATAAAACTTTCTCAGATCAGAATTTTGCGAGGATCATGAAAATGACGGCAAAATTGATATTCACAGCAGACATAAAAATCTGTGTGCACTTGAATTAATTTTGTTCATATTTTACTAACAAATATTTAAAGAACTTTTCATCGAAGCGAAAATAGGAGAATGAATTTATTTTTCTTTGAAATTTTATGCGTGTAAAATTTCCGGACTCCAATTCTCAAGTTTTCATTCGTAAGAAGTAAAGAAATGTGTCTATTTTTTATTTGTAGTGAAATTTAATTACTTGATTTTTTTATTGCTTTGTGAAACCCAAAGTCTAAAAAAAAAAATAGAATGTAAAAACTCAAGTTAGCGGAGCCCCCTCATGAACACAGCCGCCCTTTTGTCCTCGCCCTGCGCACGGCCTTTCCCACGTCCTCGCTGAGCCTCCACCCCTCGCTCGCGGCTTTTCAAAAAATAATCTTTGAGGTTGCCCAACTCCGAGTTGCCGATCGTGGGTTGATCTGGTTTGTGGTGTGCGTGCAATTCTTAATTATGCATACATGCGTCGCGCCTCCTATAAAGGTTTCCGCAATAATTTTGAACAATCGGTTTGCTTTAAAATTACACCGCCACCAGTATTGAAGGCGCGACGCAAAACCACTATTGTACGCGCGACGTAAAACCAGTATTGTATGCGCGACGTAATGCAAGCGATGCCAACTTATGGGAACCACGTTGCGTGTACTATAACACTACCAAAATATTCATTCGTGTCATTATACTGCTACTTAAATACAATTTCTCTTATTTTACAAATAAATTCGTTATTTTCCTCAATCATTAATATATAAATTAATGAATGTTTATAAATTAATAAATTTTTGTATTCATGACGGAGAAGAATAATTAATAATTAATAATAACAACTGTATTTTAAATTTGGTAAGCTGTATTATAGTGACCTATTCCAAAGATTATCTCGACATAATGTTGATCTATACGGAATAAATATTAATATTGAATAGCCACTAAATCGGTGATACTTTCATCTGCCAAAATCGAAAATTTATCCCCGTATATTATCTGAATGTCCGAGAAGTTCCGGAATTTAATAATTTGAATTGGGATAATTACAAATTGTTATGGATTTTAATTAAAATATTTAAAAAGCAAAGCTATTACCTGATCAAACGGACAAAGTTTGTAGATGTATTCTCTGTCAGTGTATTCAAAACATTCTCCTTCTAAGGCAGCAAATTCTCCGTCGATACCATAGTCTTTCTGCAATGATTCCTCTATCTGACGAATCTCCCGTTCTACATCCCTCACTGATCTATCAGCTTCCTCATATTCATGACGAGCGTTTACAGCATCTGAATTTATTTATTTAATTATTATATTAATTAATTTTAAATAATTCAATTTTAATGTAATTAATTAAAGACTATTATTTATTATTGTTATGGGACAAAAATTCAAATCAATTTTTTTTATCTTACCATCAATAATCTTCTGAGTTTCTGCATTGTACTGCACTTCTGAAACATATTTCTCTTCCTCTTTCTCAACATAAGCATCGTCATGGTCCTCATCATCACTGTTGTGAGTTTCTTCGTGGTAATCCTCAGTTTCAGTAGCATCAGTCTTAAAATTGATACTGGAATGAAGTTCAATTTTAAGAATGAATTACTGACCACTTCCTCATTAAAATTTTCTTCTTCTGCTAGATCTGTGTCTGTGTTAGGCTCTTCGAGGTTATTGATATCATCAGTATCTTCCTTACTTATTCCATCGCCCTGGTTTTAAAGTAGATTGATTTATCAAATATACATAACACGGAAAATCTATATTATTATCATTATTGATCTTTTTTTTTATTAGGGTCAGGCCAAGACAAAGTCTTGTCGGCCTGTGCCCTTATGACTTATGAAGCGTCGCCATGATGTAGTGACTCACTGCAACGCGCCCCATTTGCAACATTGTAAAAAATAAATGGAAGAGAAGATTTAAAAAAAAAATTACAATTCATCGATGAGTTGAAAAAAACTCATCTCTGCTATAAAATTTGCAGGCATGAACAAAACACCTCAAACTACTTTCAAAAGTCTTGTATCGAGGCTCCAAGTGAATCGAAACAGGCAATTTGTTATACAAGGAAGCTAAACAAGTCAAAGGGTTCTGCTTCAAAATTAACAGCGTCTGAGCAGGAACATATAAATCACTCTTTGCCCTTGTCTGATGATCATGAACTTCACTTGTTTTTTTAAAATAGTGCTGGTATTTACGAACAAATTTACACGATTCCAAGAGGTAAATTGAAAAAACAGGCAGAAAGTCGAATCTAGCGAAAAGCGGCCGCGCAGAACAAAGCGGCTCCGTACTGCGCCAATAGCGCTCACCCGCAAGAGCTCTTACCACTTTTTTCTACGCCAGAAAAACCTCGTCCAGCGCTTGATTCGACCCTCCCCAAATTACAATGCCATAAAAAAAATCCTGTCCTTATCACACAGAGAGTGCACAAGTCAAAATAAAAATTTGTAGCACTCATCATTACTCACATATAAATGGAAGATATAGAACCAAAATCTTTCTTTCAGCTCTAAATACTCTTCGTAAATAAAATCAGCATAATCATAAATTTTCCACAAAAGGTTCTCCTAGCAGGTTAGTATTTTGTTAATAAAAATATGCTCCATGTCCAACGCAAATGGCACACAAAGCAAATTAAAAATTTCTTAACTCACGGGGACAATGTATTTTCCAGCATTCATCATGTAAAAGGGCTTCATCCGAGGCCAGCACTCGGCTACAAATGAATCTTCTCCAACTTCCTCATTTTCATTCAAAAAGAACTGAAACAATTAAGAAAATCGAAAGAAAAAAAAATACATTCTCTTCCAAATTAAAATTTCCTACTCTTGCTTCTTCTGCTGTGACCTGTCCATCTCTGTCCCTGTCAAATTCCTGCTTTGTCTGCAACTCCTGGAGGGAAATTCTTCCATTTCTATCAGAATCAAAAAGCTCAAACATAGATTTAGCCTCCTTGGCATTTTCCTCCTTTTGAATTTCAGCCTTCTTTGCCTTCTCTTTCTCTTCGGCCTCCCTGTACACAGCCAGAGCAGCATTTTCTTTCTCCTCAGCCTGGCTCTTGATGACTTCCTTCTCAACTTTGATGGCCAGCGCCTCTTCCTGGTCTTTCTTCAGTTGGTTGAGTTGGTTTAACTTCTCAGCTTTGAGCTCGGCCGCTTTTCTGGCCATTTCACGTCGCAATTCAGCGCCTTTTTTTTGCATCTCAGCTAACCTCTGCGCTTCTTCACGGGCCACCTGTCCCATTTCATGACATATGTTGATGCAGTGGCCACCACCGAGGATGTCCCTTCCATCAAATTCATCTGTACCGTCACAGCAGTCTAAAATTAAAAATGAATATCAAAGAACCTGATGGAAATTAAAGAAGTCGGGCTTTTCCTTGTTGCAAAAATTGTTTTTATTAAAAAACAAATGGCTCTACCAGTTTCAGTCGCAAGGTACAATTCTGGGTCCAACTAGTTTTGTTTCGTACACGAATGACCTTTCACTTCGAATTTTAATTGCTATTTTGATCCTTTTTGCTGACGATTCCACAGTTTTAGTTAAAGGGAAAACCGTACAACAAACAAATACAGGCAGTTGCTCTTTGATACGCGCACAGCAGCCACCAAGAATGGCGTTAAATTTGTGTGGACGAAAGGAGGAAAAATCTTTGCTCGCAAAGACGAGAAAACTCCCGTGGCAATGCGCATCAGAACAACTGCTGACATTATCACAAAAATTGAACTGAACAAAGAGGCCGATCAGAAAATAGATAAAAATCCGATGAAAACATCGCAAGCACCTCAAAATGACTGATCTAGCCAATTATCATGACCAAGTTTTAACTAATGCTGCAAAAATTGAAAATTTTACATTACTGCAAAATCGTTTATGCAAAACCAATACGTAAATTACATAATAGCCCAATTAAACTTTTTTATGTTGTTGTTATTTTTTTTTTTATTTTTTTTCTGCTAGTTGTCTTTATTTATCGATTTTTGTGTTTGGTAAATGTCTTTTTTATGTAGTATTAATGTTGCTTTTAGTTAGTTAAGTTTGGTCATATTTATTTAACTTTTCTTTTGTTTACTTTAACATATGGTGTGTAGTCTACCGGTATAGTCGCCGCTTGTCAGTCGGATAGTCCCGGTTCAAATCCGGCTGCAGTACCGGCTTTGGCAACCGGTATTTCGGTGCATAACATGTCTGCCAACCCAAAATATGTAGTCTGGAATATACTAGATATGTTCCATCACCACACATGCAAAAAGTGTTCGTCGCTCAGAAGCGTGTTGTCAGAGCAATGACTGGGCTGAGGTATTGGAGAGGAAATTGTGCGCTTGATACATGTAGGCCACTGTTTGCTAAATATGGTATATTGACTGTTTACTCTCTATATATTAGAATGTATGAAATTCCTTATAAATCATCCTGAAAAATTTAGGAAAAAATCAGAAATTTTAAATTGTATGAGTCCGAAAACAAAAAAATGCAAGAAACAAGCACTGTGTAAATGACCTATATGTCGTGATTGAAAATCACTTGGATTATTAAACCAAAATCCTTTAACTATGAGTGCAAGAATATTCAACTCTTTACCTGTTATAGTGTAAAAATGACTATGGAAAGTAACGAGTTTATTTGCAAAATAAGAGAAATTGTACATATAAGTGTCAGTATTATGACATGAACGAGTTTTAGAGTTGTAAATTTGATTTGTAGATTGTCATAAATATGTGAATGACGTATTTTAAAAGTTATCGATTAACATAGATTGAGGAGTGGAGGTGGTACCAAAAATGTACTCAGGTGCTGCAAATGCATACTTCTCAAACTAGTAAATTAGAACCGCCTATTATCAGAATTACCGACGCTTAAATAGAAGTGTTACCAATCAAGCAAAAATACTTGGTGTAATGCTCTCTGATTCAATGAACTGGAGCACCCAATGTGATCAGGTTGTAGCGAAACTGAGAAGTACCACGTACTTTTTTGTTAAATTAAGGCAGCGCATTCAAACTAAATATTGCTAAGAGATGTATATTTCGCCCATTTCAAAGTCATTTTCTATAATCAATTGTAATTTGGGGTGGGTCGCCTATGTTAGAAAAGGTTTTCATTGCTCAAAATAGAGTTAGCCGTGCGATGGCAGGTAAAAGATACTGGAAGGCATTGACACCTGTCGAGTCTTGCCGACCACTTTTCAATGAATTTCAGATCCTGCCAGCCTTCTCTGTTCACGCCCTTGAATGTGTTAAATTTAACAAAAAGTATCCTGAATTGTTTCTCAAAAATTCTGAAAGCAAGGTGCACCAGAATCGCAGTACTCGAAATAAACCTAAAGCAGAGCAAGACTTGTTTGTCAAACCAAACAGACTGTTGCTGACTGCTCAGTCCCCTCAAATTATGATACCAAGAATTTTCAATCATCTTCCCGATCAAATCAAAAACACTGATAGTTATCAAGTGTTTTAGAAGGAATTGGAATTACTATTACACATTTCCACAACAAAATGTTCTATGACATGCATTGCATGAATATTTTTTGTGTACAATTTTGTGAACTGTATTTTAAATTTAGTAAGCTGTATTATAGTGACCTATTCCAAAGATTATTTCTGTACATATGTTGATCTATACGGTATAAATATTATCTGAATCTGAATATATGTCTAATGCCATAAATTTTGTTCTGATATCTTCCCCAATTAATTTGCCTTTAGCTAGCTCATTCTTGTATTTTTCATCGAACAGGGCGGCTGCCCATGAAATAGGATGGTACTGGAACTTGTTAGTTTTAAAATCCTAATTTTTATGTCAAAATGTGGTCTGTATTTTAACTTATGCTGATTTTTAGTATTTTTCTAGCTCATGAAATAGGGTCTCAGACCAAAACTGGTAGAGCCATTTGTTTTTGAATAGTAAAACATACAATTTCTTAATTTTTACAATGAATAAAAGCCCGCTTCTTTCATCTCCTAGAGTGTCAACTTCTTCAAACAAAAGAACCTTGCAATTGAAAAAAAAAAACGAAATTAACCAACCACAAATGCCATCATTTACTCTTGAGGAAAAAAGGTCCACCGCTTGATGACCAACGTTGGTGCAGTGAAAGAATCCATTGGAACAGGCAGCAGTGCCAGGCTCATCACTGCCGTCAAGACAATCACAGTAATCATCGTTAACTTGCAAGAATGGAATTGTAACTGCTCCATCGAAGCATGTGAAATTTTTTTCTGGATCATATAGTGCTGTCTCTATATTATATTAAATACAATATTTAAATACAAATTAAGCAGAAAAATTGTAACCGCGTTCCTCATTGCAACGGATTGAGATAATAGATAATATTTATTATATAAATGAAAAATAAAAAGAGAACTGACCGCGACCTGCAGTCTTTGGGTTTTTTGCACTCGAAATTTCTGTAGAGTATGAACCTATTGACTCAGTTGCTTAATCAATGCAATCTATGTTTATTAAATAAATTTATTCCTCATCAATTAATTCAAAATATAATAATAATACTGTATAAATTCCTAACACTTACAATTAGTTTTAGTTTGGGCACGCAAAAACCCTTCTAATGTAACAGCAGACCTCTGGTCGCCTTTAGGGTCAGTTGTCTTTGGTTTTATTTTATTTCTTTCATTTTTTTCTCTTGCAACTATTAGGAACGCGGTTTCAATTTTTTATGATATGCTCGTTTGAGCGTTAACTTTCAAATTAAGCAGAGGTTTAATGAAATTTAATACTCTTAATTCACAACATACTTGTGACGGAAACTCCTCGTGGCCGTAGAATCTCCACAGCAACAGCATTTCTTAAATTGATTAAGCAACTTAGTGTGATAATGATGTGGCTTGACTTCATTTCTTGGACTGGCCACTAGAGACTGTAAACAAAGAAGAAAAAATAAAAATATAAAGGAAAGATTGAACATTAAGTAAAAGCCAAAGGTGGATCAGACAACATTTATGTTCACTATAAAACTTGTGTAATGTAAATTTCTGTGCCGACAACTATGTAAACATAATTTGTCCAATCCACGCATCATTCAGTTTCCATCCAGACCTCACATGCACGACACGATTACATATGTACAATCATAATATCTTTAACGATTGCGGCAATATTATAATCAATTAATTGTAACGAAATCCTGAATGAGTCAAAAGAAGAAAAAGTACATACATACGTCAGCTCAACCGTCCAGCTTGCGAGTTTTGCTGTCAGAGTGTCTTTTCACTTTTTCAGTCTGTCTGTTATGTATTTGTTTTATGCCGGCATAAATAAATGTAAAAAATGTACGCCCCTCTGCAGACTTGCGAGTACGTTTTCAAGGAGGTTTCGAGAGGACTGGACTTACCACCTGTTTTAAAATACCTCCTAGCAAAAACCTCCTTGAAAAGAGCCGAAAAGAAGTTGTTGGCTATTGATTTTCAATTGGTCGTATTCGTAATCTCGCAACAGCCAAACACTTCCCTCAACAAGACTTCCCTCTCTTGTTGACTTCCACCAAATCATCAAGCACAAGCATCAAAGAGTTGTTTTTGTGACGTAACGAAAACAGGCTGCTTTCGAATTTCGAACAGAAAGATAGTTTTTGACTGTAGTACGCCCTTTCAACCGCTAGTTGGCGCAAACGACGTAGGCCTCCTTGCCACGAACACGAAGATCTTGTTGACGAAGATCGCCGTGAAGGCCCGAAGGGACGCTATATAAAACTGTTTTTGATTTCGATTCATTGTTCCGGTAAAAACACGCTTCAGAAAATTTTACAAATAAATTTAAAGCAATAAATTGAGCTGTATGTTGTCCGCTGCCCAAATGCCATATCGTCTGAAGTCTGAAGATGATCAGGTGCACAGAAAAACTTTATTCAAGATCAAGGGCACCTTTCACAGCCAAGATGAGAAAAGGAAATATTTCCTTGAAGAGCAGAAAAGGTTATTTAAATAGTTACAATTAATTAAATCCATGGATTATTTACTTCTGAGATTATTAGAAAGAGAAATGCAGTCCTTGACTCGGCACGAGTTGGCTTGCTGCTGGACACACCCCAAAAAATCACAGATGACGATTTCATACTGGTGAGAAAATTGATGGAAATACGGAAAAATAATTAAAATAAGCAAATAAAGCAATCCATTCATTGTAAATTTAAAAAAAATTTAGAAACATCTTTCAAAGAAGAAATATGGTAAAATGCTTATGCTCTCTGAATGGATGGAAGAAGTTCCCCAAGATTTGGAGGAAAAGTGGCTGTGTGTACCTTGTCCAATTGGCAAGCGCTGCATTGTAATATCTGAAAAGGTGCCCTATTTTTATAAAAAGCTTTTCTTATTAATTTTGTTTATGTGGTTTAGAGCGCTTGCTATGCTTACTCCACGACTGGAAAATATTTGTTCAAGAACAGGTCTTTATTGAAGGAGGGACGGGTTGGACGAACAATATTGGACTGTATCTTTAGCAGAACCAACAACACAATTTACGTTTTAGACGTTCTTTTGTGGGCAGATTATTCCCTTCTTGATTGTGAGGTAGACATTCTCTAAATATTTTACTCCTCTAGAACAAGATATTAATTTATAGAATTTCAGACAGAGTTTCGATTTTACTGGCTGACGGCAAAGTTTGAAGAAAACATGTTCTTGGTAGATGGTGGTAGCAAAGAAAATTGCAAATTTGTTCCATTGCAAAGTGTACCAGCATCATCAGAAGGAATTCAACTAATTTTGGACAGCAAAAAATTTCCAGACAAATTGGATGGAGTTCTTTTTTTCCACAAAGAGTCTCATTACACAGCAGGTGTTAGCCCGCTAGTTGTGTGGCTCTTGCCATTTATGGTACCCGAGGTAAGAGTTTTTTCTTTTCAATGGTATAGTTACCATACCATTTTTGTAACCATTCGTCAGGTTTTGGGATTGAGTGTGGATGAAGAGTTTGCCCAACAGCCAGAAAATTACCCTGGCCACCTTGAGTACGTTGCCAACTATGATAATATGAGGAAAGAGCTAAGAAAGCAGAGAGCTGCTGAACGAGCTGCCAGAAGGACACCTGAAATGGACACCTCTGAATGTTTTGGTCAAAATCATAAACCCATAGAAGATGAACTCGAGCTGGGTTGATTTATTTATAAAATTTTATTCTTTATATGTTTTTAATTTTCATTGTCTTAACAATTTTTGTCAATAAATACTTTCTAGACATTTTTATTTTATAGGTTTTGTTTATTTTAAACACTTTGGTCTGGAGTCTGGAAGTCTGCATCTCATTGCATAACCTTTAACTAATTTATTGATATAAAATCGTCAAGACACATAATTTATACTATCATGTTTAGAAGTGAAAAAATATTTATTCACAATCAATTAATATCAATGCGTTTGACATTGTTCTTCTATACCAAGAGTAACAAATCTTTTTGCAATGATTCAATGAATGCTAGTTATTTATTCAATCTTGTTTTGGAACTGATGGTCAACTATCATAGTTTTAAACAAGAAGGCAAAGCTGGATTGACCTCTATTCTATCATTAATTGATTCTTCAGGAGAATATCGACATCTGCAACTGTAACAGCACTACAACAAGTGCCCTCGAGGCCCCTCGGTAACTCTTACCAAGTTCAAGGATAGAATTTACAAGGTCTAATTTGAAAAAAGAATTCCATATAATTAAATGATGCTTTCTTTGGATCAATTAGATCATTTTTTCTTACGGAAATTATTAATGTAACTTTACATGCCAAACGAAGCAACACATTTTTCAACTAACTCAAAACAATTAGATGAATATACTCTTCCAGTTGCGCATTGTCTAAAAAAATGGGTGATTTAATGGAATTCCTTCAAAGTGCATTAATTTTCCAGGTTTACCTACATAATAAGTTATCATAAAATTCTTTGAAAATATTTGTCGGTAACATATATTATTCCACTCATCTGATGGCCAATCACACAATCAAAAATCAGCAAAGTTTTGTTTTTGTATAAGAACAATTTTTACGAGGACAAGCCCGACTTCTTCATTTCCATGATCATGTCTTGAGTGTCAACTTCTTAAAACAAAAGTTATTTTTTCATTTGCACACACGCTTGCTATTATCAATCAACAGTTCGGATTTGAGTGATCATTTTTTAAGCTTTTTTAAAGAGTGATTTCCAAAGAAATATTAGATTAAAAGACAAAATGGACTTGGGAAATGTCATACTAAACAGTTGATTTGAAACATTCAATATTTATAGCATAAATTTTTTCTCAGGGAAGAAAACCATTTTCAGGTGAGTTCGTTAATCCTCGTTCTTTAGATTAGATGCAAGGCACTTCTCAGCAAACAATTGAGCAACTCTGAGATTAGACCCCTAGCCCTAAGCCGCTCAATATTTGCCGGCGGCTGGCCAAGTATGGACAAGCTTGGGTTTACCGCGGCGGCCGTCTCTTTTGATGTCAGGCGTTTTAGCAGACATCTGCTAGTTGTAAACCCTTTCTTCTCTTTTTTCCAATTCAAAATTTTTTGTATCGACCGAGAAGAATAAATAATAATAATAGCTGCAAAAATCTGTGGCAACGGCGGCTGTGAAGTTAACGAACCAGCTGCAAAAAGGCAGCTAGCTGTCAAAAGTTTGTTAGTGCTTGATGGGTAAAGGACTGGGAATCTTACTTTGTCACTAAAATTTTAAATTTATTACTAGTAGCTGACCTTTTAAGGTAGAGGTGGCTGGCTAGTGGAAAAATGGCAAAAAAAAAAAAAATCGGCCGGTGGATTAGCACAGCTGGCTCAGGGGTCTACCAAAGATTACAAACTATTGAAATGAGATCATATATTATGAGCAAGCATCACATATGTACCCATAAAGCAAAATATAATGCCAAATACTCGAACATTAATTAATAATTATTAATTTGTTTGCTGTCATTAATGATTACAAATTAATGTTACATTAATATATAATTAATTGGAAATCAACTGATGACTACAAATAATGTAACATTAGATTAGTCAAAAAACCGATTATGACCCCGGTAACCTGGAAGGGTGACCTCGATCGCGAAATTGACCTCGGAATCGGGTCGAGCGCCGAAAACCACCTGGGGAACCCAAAAATCGGCGAGCGCGCACCCCGAGGAAAATAAGCGTGTTTTTCTCATGAGAGCGGCACGCGCAATTAATATTAATCAAATAATAATAATCAAACGGCCCGCTCTGCTCTCTCCAAGTGAAAATGTGCAATTTTTGAAATTTTTTCTCGACTTTCCGAGCCAGAATAAATTAGCGTTTGGAAGTTTACATTAGTTTCGGGACACACCGCGGCCGAATCCGCGTTCAAAATCGACCTGCGACCTTCGGAAAGGGCAGAACCTGAGCTCAGGGTACCCAAAAGGTAGAAAGGGCGACCCTAGCGCGTATTTGACGCCGGATTATTGACAGACATACTCAATTTAGCCCAGGACGAAATATTGACGCATTTTCCTCGAAGGTCAAAATTAATGGGTCCGGTGGCCGCGTGCGAGGAAAACAGGCAGCGAAACAGTGGCGAGCGGAAAATAAATTTCGATTTTTGAAAATTCGCAGCTCAGCCGCTATTGAAGGTAGCGGTCTGAAATTTTAAGCCCGTGTAGAATATATATTATGTGGGAAGGAGTTAGACACTTTCTAGTTTTGTTGTTGTTAGAACACATTTAAAATTTAAAGCGTTGCCAATAAAGATTCCTTTGTAGGTGAGCTATTTAGTGTATCAACTTTTGCTTTTTAAGAGATCAAAATTATCAATTTTTCTATTCAACTCTAGTGAATGTGTAACTTAAAATGCTTACCACTTGCCTTAAGTACGTCTCAGGAGTTACTAGTGAGATTTTGGATTTAAACCCATTTAGTTACAATTTGAATTGATAACATTTTATTTAAGTATCCTTACATTCCCTATAAAGAACTCAAATATGAAAATAAAGTTGACCCCAATCACGAAATAGTCTTGTTTGGAGTAGAGCTTACGCATTTTTGAAACCTTGTTCTGAAATTTTATTATTCAAAGGACACGCAGTGTGTTGTTCATGTATAAAAAAAAGACCAGGCTCCATATTTTCGGAAAGTGAAAACCTACTTTGCTTTTCAATGCTTTGAATCACACACAGGTACACCACCAAAATATTCATCATTGTTTTAACAGTTGTGGCAAGTTCCATTTGTCGCCGCACCATCCAAAACTTGTATAAGTTTTGGTTGAGAAAAAACATCTTCATTTTCTTCATTCACACAAATCTAGTTTCTGAATGAGTGCATGAGTGTGTATTGCCCCCAAAGATCTTGAGGCAGACAAAAGTTCTCACAGCAGTTTCTCTGTAACTGAACTGGCAGTACTCACTGTTGAACTCACTCTCTCCTCCTTGTCAGAAACAGGGGACATCAATGGGGGACAGATCAGCTGTCAGTTCGTCAACTCGACTGAGACAAACTGCTTCAGCCTCTCAAGGTACTGATTGTATAGCTCCACATCATTGTGACCAGCGCCCTAAGTGATTTTAATTTGGCATGATCATTATTTTTAAGATCATTTCTAAATTCAATTACCTCAACCCAGAGGGGCTCTACAGCACGTGGGCAGCGTTCGTACATGGCAAGACCATGAGAAAAATCTATGACTTCATCTTCCGTACCGTGAATCACCAGAACAGGCGAAGTCACTTTAGGCACCTTATCAATACTGCAAGGAAAAAATAATTGGTTTAAATTGCACACTTTAAATGAAAAAAAAAGGAAAAAAATGTGACACAAAAGTTAGGGCAATTTTAATCTCAATTGATTGAATTCTTACCTTGGGAAGGCATCAAAGAACCAAGTGCGCTTGGTGTTTGGAAAAGCGACTCTCATGCCAGACATGAGGGGTGAGTGCAAAATGACTGCAGCCACCTCGTATCTCGATGCTAAATCCACAGTAGGCACCGTTCCAATGCTCTGACCATAAAGGATAATGTTTTCGGGGGAGATTCCGTATCTTAAATCAAGATTTGTTTCAAAAATTGAGCAAAATAAAAATCAAGTATCTAAAAATTGTTTTTAAATCTGAATTTGAAGTGATTTTGAGTTAACTAATTTAAAAAACGGTTTATAAAAAAAAAATTAGCTCTTTTTAATATGTTATTGGTTAATGTTCATTATGCCTTTGCTCCTTTGTTTGTTGCTTGTATTATAATTGACTGAATCTATTAGACTGGAGACAAGATTCTCCTCAGGCTTCTTAGACAAATTTTTTTGTTCTCACCAGTTCTATACTGAATAGGCATATGTTAATTAGAAAAAGTGCTTGTAAGTATGTTAATTTTTTTCCATTAATTTCATTTAATTGACAAAATTTTAAATAAGTGGGTCGCACAGGAGATACATGTGATTTCATTCGTAATGCAATAAAGCTACAACAATAAAAATAATTAATAAATGATTATATCTGTGGATAATAAGAATTATAAGCTAAGCAATATTCATAAAAATTATAAATTTTGGCACCCCATAAAATTGGACTTTTACTTCCTCTTAATTTCAGGTTTTTGAAGTATTTTTTTTTTATAACAAACTGCGTCAGCTGACACTTATCTCGAGCAGTCATTTTTTTTTAAATATAATGCAACCTGTGGGGTCCAATGTAAATAAGATTATATAAGATAAAGGTTTATTGCATTAGAATAATGAAATTCATAACTCCTTTGCATAGTTGTTAGCCAATCAAAATTGGTACCAGTTTGATAAGCCCGAACCAAATTTTAGTGTTCATTTCATTCATTGTTCCATCAGGCCCCTTGGACCTCCATTGAATACAATCAATTTCCAGTTAAAGGTGTTTCTAGAAGCTTATCGCGCCATAAGAAATAAAAGAGTTTCAATGATAATAATAATACATTTTTCTTTTCATCAAATACGCTGAATATTAATGAATATTTTCTTTCAGTTAAATATGATAAAAAAGAATATTGGAGATGTAATTTTGAGTGCTTACAATTAACAGAGTGAGCTAAGCTACAGGATTTTCAGGGGTGGTTTTCCCCTGTAGTAAGCGAAGAGGGTTAGCCAAATGCTTACCGACCCCCGCCAAATTATCAATGGCGTGCGAGCTCCCTCAATCACTGAAAGCTAAATTTGATAAATTTTGGAAGTTTTAAATTGCTATTTTATTGACTTGTTGTAACGACAAATTGGAGGTGTACTATATATGTCTAGTGCAATAAATTTTGATCTAATCTAAAGAGCTCACCCCTTAAACAAAATATTTCAGAAATGGAACTCAAAAATTAATAAAATAATTGTATGCACCTTGTTCTCAGCGTTTGCCAGGCGGCATCGATGTCGGCATAGAGATTCTTTTCGGAGGGTTTGCCAGTGCTTACGCCGTATCCTGAGTAGTCGTAGCTGAAGATGTTGCAGTTGATCCTAGAGCCAAGCCCTAAGTAGAAACTGCTCATCTGGCCGAGGTCGACTGCGTTTCCATGAGAGAATAGGATGGTGAAACGGGCGTTAGCTGAACACCGGACAAACACGCAAGCAACCCTGTTGCCTCTGGTCGTCCGACTGTAAAAGCCCTCGACATTCTCCTTCTCACGCTCAGAATACTGCCACTCAGCTCTTTCAGTCAAAGTCATTGCTAATTTGGATCCAGTGTCATCAGCCTGGAATTAAAATTTATTGCCATAAAAAAATTTGAAAACTCATAGAGTGCTGTCTTTTTCAAAGCGTTTTTAATGCAACTAGAGAAGTATTATGAGGAGAATAACTTTATGCCTGATCAGCAGCACGGATTTAGAAAAAAGCGTTCGACAGTTACGGCCCTATTTGATATAGTTACAAATGTGTATGACTCTTTGGACAAGAGAGAAAAGATTAATGTAATTTTGTACGATTTTACTAACGCATTTGGATCACTAGTGCCTGAGAGATTGTTAAACAAATTGCAAATGTTTGGTGTTAATGGTAAAGCTCTGGATTGGATCAAATCGTTTTTGCTGGAAAGAAAACAGCTCGTTAAGCTTAAAATCCTTAATGATGTTTTTGGCCTTGGAACTCTTTTTGGCCTTGGAACTGGTAAGTCAACAACACACGCTGGTGTTTTGCTCTGCAGATTTTGACCTCCCTTTCGTTCAACTCTGAGGTTTCAGACTAACCAGACGGGCCAAGGGGCCTATGAACTGCCCTAACACGCAACCACCAGGGTAGTTCGTCCTTATAGCTCTCTGGTGTGAAGTAAATTTGAAATTATTGAAAATGACTGGAGGAAGCGGAGTCTTACTAGCCCTCGTTTGCGCCGCCCTACTGCACTTGCCGCTGTCTCGCTTCGAGGCCCACAGGACGAGCATCGGACCCCAGGACATCCATTTCACCACCTCACAGGTCGTCGAGGACTGCTCTCTGACCTGCTGGTGCGCCCTAAGCAACTGTAAAGTAGGTGGCAATGTTTATTTCAGTCGAGCCATTGTCCGGCTTGTCATACAGAAAAAATCGGTTCGCCACGCATTCTGGCATACTTTGATGTGCATCGCGCTCAGCGGTCAGGTGGCCTTGAACCCCGGACCTGCTCAACGTGCAGCCCAGACGTGTCGGCTATGTGACAGGCCCGGTCGGCGAAATCAAATAAAAATCGAGTGTGACAATTGCTCTGCCATCTATCACTCAACATGCCTACGACTTCCACCAAAAGAAATAAAGAAATTTCGCGCGGGAGGCTACACGTGCTGGTCGTGTTCCTTGCCAAATTTTTCGGACTCGCTGATTGATCTTATTGATGAACCCGCCGCCCCTGCCACCCCTCCGCGAAAAAGAAACCGCACTCAGCCCCGTATTTTTGCTTTCAACGGTCACTCTCAAATAGAAAACGGCGCGCTGATACACTCGCGGCTATTGAGCACTCGGAGGCTGATATCATTTGCGTCACGGAGACTTGGCTAACAGCGGACATTGGTGATAACGAAATTATTCCTGCCGACTTTGTTGTTTTTCGCAATGACCGAACCGACTGTCGACGAGCTTCCGGCGGCACTCTTATTGCAGTCCGACCCTATTTGCAGCCCCGCCGAATAAAAAACTTGGAAGCTGGGGCAGAAATTGTCTGGGTGGAAATTAAAGCTGCAGAAATAAAAATTTTAATTGGCTCTGCATATCGGAAACCAAACGCCCCAGCTGCCTATAATGACAAATTAATTGCGTCTTTAGATAAAGTTGCTGAATCAAAACACCTCTTTGATGCTTGTGTGCTTACTGGGGATTTCAATCTGGATATTAATTGGCTGCAAAATCCACCTTGCGCTGGAGAGGCACCGGCCACAGAATTTCTCAGCACTTTTTCTGAGCTCGCTTTTCGCCAATTGATTAAAAAAGCAACGCGTACCACGGCCACCACCTCTAATATCCTGGACCTGGCCCTTGTTGATGCACCCACCTTGATTGAAAGTGCCACGGTGGTACCAGGCACCTCCGACCACGATGCTGTCCTAATTGATTTTTCCGTTCGACAGAAAGAACCAACTCGGCTACGAGAGTTTTTCGACTTCAAAAATTTTGACTGGAACTTGCTGAATTCGCGCTTCAGTGAAAAATTGGAAACTTTTGCTCCTAATGGCACTTCAGCTAATATTGCGTGGAATAACTGGCTCCAAATCTATTGGATAATACTTGCTGAGATTGTGCCGAAGAAAAAAGCCCGAGTAATTAGAAAATCAAGTGCCCCCTGGATGACTACTGATTTGCGCTCTCAAATGGCTAGAAGGGATAAATGTTTTGAAAAATGGCAAAGGAATAAAACTCGACCAGCTAGAAACGAGTATTTGGCGGCTCGGAAGCAGGCACAAAAAGCAGTTAGACTCGCGCGGGACGATTACATGTGGAATTTGGGTCGCGGCGCCGGCGGAAATAAATTCTTCTGGGCCTACGTTAAATCCAAAAGCAAGATTTCGCCCAGTGCAAGTTGTTTTGAACTGAATGGGAAAAAAGTGTCCGAGCCTGAGAAAATCGCCGCAGCTTTCAGTGAAGTGTTTGTGAAAAATTTTAACGCAGCCACAAATTACTTCTCATTCATTCGCCGAAGACCAACTGACCCCGCGCCGCCCCTGCTAAGTGAAATGTCAGTGTGTGCCGCCGGTGTATTTCGTAAATTACAACAAATAAAATCAAATGCGACTCCCGGCCCGGACGGTGTGCACGCCAACGTGCTGAAAAATTGTGCAGCTGCACTTGCGCCAAGTCTCTCTCGCCTCTTTAACCTTTCTCTGCAGCAGGGCGTGCTGCCGGAGGGGTGGAAAAGTGCGGCCGTGGTGCCAATTCCAAAAGGCGGAGACAAAACCCTGTTGGAAAATTACCGGCCCATAAGCATGTCATCTCTAGTGGGAAAAACGTTGGAAAAACTTGTTCGTGACCGGCTTCAGCTGTTTTTTGAGGAAAATAAAGTTATTCCAGACAACCAGCACGGATTCAGAGTTAAAAGGTCATGCACAACCCTTTTATGTCAGACAGTGGACAGCTGGACAGCAATCGTGGATCAGAAAAGCGGCGCGCATGTCCATGCAGTCACCCTTGACTGGAAAAAAGCTTTCGACCGAGTACCATTTGATCGACTTTTGTCTAAACTGTCCCATTATGGCGTCAAAGGAAAAATTCTCCAATGGGTTGAATCATTTTTGAAAGGCCGCACGCAGTTCGTGGTTTTTAACGGAGCTAAGTCAGACCCGAAAGACGTGTTGTCCGGTGTCGTCCAAGGCAGTGTGCTGGGGCCGCTGCTTTTCAATGTGTACGTTGCCGACCTGCCAGGCGCCATCCGATCAAATCTCGTCCAGTACGCCGATGATGCCACCCTCTGGCGGGAAATTCAGTCGGCCGTCGACTCTGTCCAGCTTCAGGACGACCTGGACGCCGTCAACGCTTGGTGCGCCGTAAATGGAATGGAGCTGAACGCGTCCAAGTGCCACATCCTCGACATAAGTCGCGCCAGAACGTTGCTTGAAACGCAGTACACCATCGGCGGCACCATCGTCAAGTACAGCAGCGTGGAGCGCATCCTTGGCGTGCACATCAGCAGAGACCTGCGGTGGAATACGCATACAGACATCGCACGCGGCAAGGCAGCCAAAGTTCTCTCCTTTGCGGCCCGCAACCTGCACGGCTGCACCCCGAGAGTGAAGCGGCTCGCTTATCAAACAATGGTAAAGCCACTCATGTTCTACGCTACCCCCGCATGGCATCCTTCCACCCAGAAAAACATTTTAAAATTTGAGAGAATTCAAAATAGGGCCCTTCGGTTTGTGTATGGGCGGCATATTTCCGAGGTGGCCAAGACCGAGCTGCTCTCCGTCCAGCAGCAGCTGAAGTACAACGACTTGACTTTCTTCCGAAAGTGTCTGGACGGAGACACCGACATGGACGCGATGGCGCGAATAAAGACTGGCCGAAAGATAAGAGACAGTAACAGTGACGAAGAGCACCACCGGCTCATTCCTCCGAAAGTGCGCACCGACCTCGGCCTCTACTCATTTCCCTTTCGCCTCGCGTCCCAATGGAACTCCCTCCCTTCTGTGTTAAAATCGTGTGCGTCAAATAATTTCCCAAAATTGTGCAAAGAGCATGTTAAACAAATTTGATTTTTTCCCCGTAGTTTAGGCTGCAGTGCGGCGAGTAATCGGGTATTTATCGCCTCTTGGTAAATACGCGGTTATGAGTTTCAGTGAGTTGTTCACTGGCACTGTGTGCCTATTTTTCTCCCAACCAATTTTTTCACAATTGATTGTATTGACTTGTTGGAGAAAAATAAATTGAATTGAATTGAAAATTTTGAGCATATTTGAAAATTTGGATGTTGAATAAATCTATTTTATTGACTTGTTGTAAAGACAAATTGGAGATGTATTATATATGTCTTATGCAAAAAATTTTGATCTAATCTAAACAAGGAAGCCAAACAAGTCAAAAAGTTCTGCTTCAAAACTAACAGTGTCTGAGCAGGAACACTCTTTGTCCTTGTCTGATGATCATAAACTTCACTTGTTTTTTGAAAATAGTTTTGGGTATTTACGAACAAATTTACACGATTCCAAGAGGTAAATTGAAAAAACAGGCAGAGAGTCGAATCTAGCGAATGTTGGAGAGAGGATTTTTTTATTAACAGTATGTCTCTTTTAAAATGTATTTTCAGCTTTTTCTGTACTTTTTCTGTATAGTTTTTTTTTGCTGTATTCATGACATGACTGTATCGAGTGGAGAATAAATAAATAAATTAAATTAATTATAAGAATGTGAAATTGTTAAGCTGTAAAATTGGAGCCGATTTTTTTGTTAAAATCGAGCTCGGAAAATATTTTATTAGTTTCTTATGAACATGTTATTTTTTTTTTACTTTACTAGAAGGAAAATAGACTTTCCATTATCAGGTGATTTTTAATCCTGGTGGAAATTCCTCGAGGGATCGGGTGGGCCGGGAATATCGGTTCCCAGAAATTTGAGGAAACCGGGAAACCCAATTGCAAAGCACCAATGTCTATTAAATGACATTCTGGAGGTCAATTTGGAAAATTGCTACATAGAAAAAAATTCAGTTTGAAACAAATTGTCCCTTTTCCCAATTAATTATGGAAAAAGAGACATCTCGCCGGTGCCTCCAGATGTCAGGAACCGATGGCACCGGTGGATGAAGTCCGAAAAGGGCAAAGGCATTTTCGGCCTATTTCCTTTCGGATGAATTCCGATTTTTTTTGGCCTATTTCCTTTTGGATAAATTCAGATTTTTTTTGGACTATTTTCAAAAGCTTTCGGATGAAGTCCGAAAAGGCATTTTCGGACGAATTCCTTTCGGATGAAAGGTGGTCCACCCGGTGGTCCCTAACTGGTGCTTAGCATATTGGGTGTAAATAGTTAGTCAATCAGGAGAGTAGGCATAAGTTATTATAGTAATATCTATCATATGGAGTTAGTCATCAGATACATGATTATGCATACCTAACAAGTCGGTGAAGCAGGTGATTTCTGAGATCGTCAACCGGTAAGTGATGAGTGGCCCCGGGACCACTCACACCATGCTAAGGTGCTCGTAATTAACTTACGCGTGCGCACCAATTGTCAAGTGCGTGAATGTAGCCATTAATTGGTGCGCGAACCCTGACACAGTCTATTCATTATACATATTGGAATGTGTTAAGTTTGTGCGGAAATTTCCAGAGAAGTTTAAGATGAATCGTGACGTCCCAGGTGTTGTAGTACGAACAACGCGTGCTACAGTAGCATATGTTGAAACAGATTTATTTGTAAGGCCAAGCTCAATAAATTGTGTGAATGAAAGCCTGAGATAATGATAGCACGAGTATACAACAAATAACCCAATGTATTTAAAGAAATAGCTGACTATGGCAACTTTGTTAAAAGTGTCAAATATGTAATGCTGAAGTGTCAATTCTATGATATGAATGAATATTGGAGATGTAAATTTGAATGCTTAAACTTGGAAGAGTGAGACTCAGCTGCAGGGTTTTCGGGGGTGGTTTCCCCTGCAGTATTTGAGGAAGGTTACTCAAAGCTTGCCCACCCCCGCCGAATTACTGATGGCGCGCGAGCTCCCTGAATCACTTGACGTTGTATTTAGTTGACTGATTAAACCTTAAACCTAATAATTAATATCATAATGACCTGTAGGCAAATTAGAGATGTACTATTTATATCTAATGCCATGTCTAATTTTGATCTAATGTAATCTAATCAAACTTTCCTAATAAATACTTCTCCAGGGTCACTATACTTTCTGAATATTATGCGATTTCAGACAAGGAATTTTATACATCGAGAGTGAGTAGACTGTTAATATTCCATATTTTTTAAACAATATGGCTTGCGAGATTTTAGAGTCTTACTTAAATTAGACCACGAACTTTCCACAATGAAAGTAGAAGAATTAAGCAATATTTTCCCTTGATAAACTATGTAGTACTTTAACGTCTGCTGGGTCAGACCTTACGCGCAGGGTGATTTTTTAAGAAAGAAAAATGCAAATTAGAAAATTGAAGCAAAACGCAAAACAAATTGACTTTCTTTTTGTAATAAGTCATTTAAATTCCAAAATTTTTATGCTAAATCAAAAAGGGGTTTAGAATTTAAATTAAGTGTTTTGGGTAGGAAATCGTTTTTATAGAATTTTTTATTATAGCCAATTGATTCTATGTCTAATTTTACGGAAAGAAACAAATTCAAGTGGAAAAACGTTTGGCGGTTATTTAATTAGAGCTGAAGCAGCAAGCGAGGAAAGTCGATAAAACAACATAATCAACATAATAATAATAATCTCGTTGCCCTCTCTTGCCATATTATCCCATCGCTCATCGACCTCAAAAAACAACATTCAGACGTTTAAGAACTGCGAAACTACCCGGAAAATAATCAGGCCGGGTTTTTCAGCAGATTTTAAATATTATCAATATTCTTACGGATGCAATCACCTGGAACTTGTACGTGGGCTCAGGAGGCAGAAACGCAAGCTTGGCCGCGATCCTCGAAGGGCACGGCGGACAGCAAAACAAGCAGCACAACTCGCTCAGGCTGAGCCCGTTCATGGCTGCGAAGAGTCAAAAGGGTCGTTCGGACAATGCGTTCATGTACGTGAATCAGCCGCTCGGACGCTAATGTTGCGAAACATTAAAAGAAGCCGCTATGTTGATAAGACCACTGACACCAAACACGCAGTCGGTCATAATATGTATGTACTCAAACTCATTTTGCACTTCGCAGCAGAAAACTAGGTGGGACACCAATGGCGGCAATTAAATGGGAAGTGGGGAATGCAAGGAGTTTGGAACCTCCTTGGGGGAATGGGAATGAGGAGGATACAAGGCTGTAATCTTGGCTGTAATGGCCTGTAATCAGTGTTGGTACTACTGCGACAAATGACGACAACGTTTTGATTTGAAAAACATGTGTTGAAAAACTAGCAATTCGTGACGTCACAGCACTGCGGCAAACTTCCACCTTAGCATCGAGACAGAGTTAGCAAGGAACCTCCTTGAAAAAAGCAACTATCGCTCTCGCCGCTAGGTGTTCCCACCCTGTGTTCTTGTTGCAGACTGCTGCTGTTTTCAAGGAGGTTCCTGCTACCTCTGTCTTGATGATAGGTGGTTGGTGGAAGGTGGAAGTTATATATACAATTCCAAAATGTCCATTTCGTCACATCTTAGCAAAGACTGCCGCTAATTTTCTTACGGCCCTGAGCCCTGATGTCACCATTCGCATTACCATTACGCATTCGCACTCGCCAAGTAGACAAATTTAAATGGTTGGTGGTTACTTACTTATTTGGGAAAGGTGTATGGTTTACCATCAACAAAGAGTTACCATCGATGAAGATTTTCTGAAACGCAGTTTTTCATATCTAATTTTATTTCCCGGATTCACATATGGTTTTCTTTCCCATGATTTAAGGACTTCTTATTGACATGTCAAATCAAGTCCTTACAACAATATAAACAGATTTTGGCGATTTTTGGAAATTTTAATCACCATTGTTGAAAAGACTTGATTTGACTATGTCAATAAGGAGTCCTTAATTTTGGTAAAAGTTTATAATTTTATAACAATCGCACCGATAGCACGGTTACTCAATTCTATTCGACGCGATTAATATGAAATGTATTTTTATCTGCTTCAGGTACAGTGCTCCATCAAAACAATTCAACAAATAAGTTTGAAGTAAAGGCTGGGTTTCTCAAGAACGTCTACAGTCTACATTGGTGCGCAACGTTTGCCATTTGATTTGAGGTTTGATTGAAAATGGAAAACCAGAACAACCTAATCTCGCCCGACATCCTCGACGATCTCGCAAGGTAAAAAATGATAACATAAAACATTTCTGAAATCGCATCTCTGTGGAATCGGATCCACCATTGTGATCAAAAGAATTTTAGAATAATTGGAATTATTGTTTTTGCCAAAAAAAAAAAAAAAAAAAAAAAATGCACGCTCACCATAACTTTTGAACCCATTCAATTCAAATTGGATTAATTTTTTATATTATGCTTAACATACTTTTACAGTCGCTTCATCATCAATGTACCGGAGGAGGAGAGAAAAGACATAGTGCGTATCTGCTTTCAAATTGAACTTGCCCACTGGTTTTATCTTGACTTTTACTGCAACAAGCACAGCAATAACCGAAAATGCACCATCAAGGATTTTGTTTATAGCATGTTCAAGGTAAACCTCAATATTAACATGTTTAGCAAGTCATGTCTGCTGGAAACAATCTATAAAGGATTTTTGCTGTGTTTTTTCAGCACATTCCATTCCTGAACAAGTACCGCAAGAGCGCAGAGGAGACGTATGAGATGTGGCGTCAGTACAAAATGTCTGTTCCAACTTTTGGAGCAATAATCCTTGATCAAGATTTGACTCACATCTTGCTTGTCCAAGGCTTCTATTCAAAGTGTTCTTGGGGCTTCCCAAAAGGCAAGATCAATGAAGGAGAAGAGTGGTCTCGTTGTGCAGTCAGAGAGGTAGTTAATTTGATTTAAAAATAATTTTTGTGTTTAGTTTCTATATTATTTATTTACTCTCTATTCAATACATTGTACACAACATCTTGCATCAAATCAATGATTAATAATGTTAGATCAGATTGGATCAATATTTATTGCATTAGACATATTTAGTACATCTCCAATTTGTCTTTACAACGAGTCAATTATGGGAAGCTGCAACAACAAACGTCTGAATATTCAATACAACGACCGCAGTCAAGATACACGTGCTCCCTGGACCCTGGACAGAAGCCCGGCGCTGACGTCATTGTGCCTACAGGCAATTAATCTAATAAAAACATTGTGCTGAACTATTTTCCTTGTTCGAGCGGTATGATTTGTCATTATCCACCATGCATGTCAGAGTTTGCCTCTATTGTTTTTTTTTTCACCTCTGAGGCGGTGTTTCCTTTCACAATCACTGTTGATCGGCAATGATTTTGAATGGTAATTTATGAGATGAGTGCCCGTAACCATGTATAAATCATAAATAGTATTATTTATTAATTTAGGTGCTTGAGGAGACCGGTTTTGACATCAGCCCATACCTCAATGAACAGGACTTTCTAGAGCATGTGTACAACGACCAGCTGATCAGACTTTACGTAATTCCCGGAGTGCCTCGAAACACTGGTTTCATGCCATCAACACGCTGTGAAATCAAATCCATCCAATGGTTCCCAGTGGACCAGCTGCCTTGCACCAAGAAAGACACTACGCCTAGAGATAAGATGGGACTGGGTGCTAACAGTTTCTTCATGATCATCCCCTTCATGAGGCGCATCAGACTATGGATCGATAACAAGAAGGCAAGGGTAGTGAACGTCAAGCCACTCATGGCAGAGCGGAAGCAACAAATTCCATCAGGAGAGCAAGAGAGAAAGGCAATTCCAAAAAAAGCCTCCCAAGTGAGAATCATCTTAAATATTAAATTTTTAAATTAACTGATACTGATCACTGATTTGCTTTCAATTGTTTCAGATTGAGAGCCAGCATGCGGTCAAAGCTACCAAGAAAGCTAGCGGAAAGCGCATCTTGCCTATTACCAATTCACCACCAAACTTTCTGAAGAGTCGGTTGAGGTTTGACAAGAATGGAACCGCCATAATTACTGCCCCGTCATGGACCAACTTCCACTTTGACCGTTCAGCTTTGCTGAAGCAGCTGACAAGTTAAGAACTGCAGCTGAAATACCCAGAGTGATTACTGTGGGAGGTATTATTAAGTGATTAAGTGATATCAAGGTGTTAACATATTTTATATTTATTTATTGTATGTTCTAAGTACTTGATACTTATCACCGTCAAGGCCCACTTTTTGTAAAACCTGTAATTAACGGGTCGTTCTTTACAAGACCTTTTCCATACCAAACTGAACAATGAGCTGTTGGATTTGAATTGGATGAAATAGGGCATGGTGATACCCTTAGGGTCAACCTAAGGTATATTCCCACATTGCCTATTTTACAAGGGCCAAAATCAGCATTTTTATTTCCAAAATAGTTTTCTTTAATTTGGTTTGCCAAAGGCCTAATACTAATTTATTTGAATGGAGAATAAATAATTCATTAAATAAAATTCCAGGAGCAATCTCGAGGCATACTCTGAAAGTCTGGTTTCTAACTAAGTTGGCTGAAATTTAATGTTGATGATTCTCTAATTCAATGGATTTTAATATAAAATTAAATTTACTGTTTTGTAAAATTTTGACTTTATTGTGCTGAAATAAGTTTTGTGATTGACAACATGAAAGACATGCTGTTCCATTTTTAAAGCAAAATCCATGATGAGATATTTAGATAAGCTAAAAGTTTATTGCATTAGACAATAATATGGACCAGATATTTGTTAAGGTTCCAGCGTCAAGAAAGATAAATCATAAAAGAGTCGACTTGTGACTTAAATGATTGTAAAGTTAAAATCATGTTTAAAAATCTTGTAACAGATGACATTATCACAATTGAACACAAATAGTTTAAAGAACAGCTTTAAAAATTTACAGAGGCCAGTATTTCTTTACAGAGCTATCCACTCCCTAAAGCTTTTATTTTATATTCTTAAAAATAATCAACTAAAAATTTTCAAAACGTCCCAAATATTATTTTACTTTGAGGACTCATTTCAGCAGTGGCCAATGATTTACTTTGTGTTCTTAATATAAAATTATTTGGACTATATAATGGCTATAAAAATGAATTGCAGTTATTTGGCTTGTATCCAGAAAAATATTCAATGCCAAACTCCCGTTTTATGCTAAAAAAAGTTTATGCTGGAGAATATTTAAACAAATGTTTTTCTTTGTAACTAAAAATTTCCTTAAAAGCCATCGCTATTATTTTTGTAAGGAATCAAAAATCCTCATAAGAGAAATCGCACCGAAAATTGATTTTGGCGATCATCTTAAATTGTGGCTTTTGAATGTAGCATTCCTGGCTCAATTTTTGCAGTATATCCAAATTCAAATTTAAGTTTATTTTGATATTAAGCTAACGTACACAAAGTATACAGCGTTTGCAAAACATGTCAATCTATGGAGTCTAAATCTCAAGGTTTGGTCATTTAAAATTATGAGCAAAGCATTCTTGAAAATGAGAATTAACTTCGGAGTTGCTTAAGTGCCAAAAGCCTATGGGGGGTGGGGAGAAAAGTGCAAGCAAGGCAGGGAATTCTTGTATTAGTCAGCGAGCAGCGCGTTTGCTCATGAAATAGGGTCGCAGACCGTGACCGAAACTGGTAGAGCCATTTGTTTTTGAATAAAAAACAATTTTTCTGCAACGAGGAAAAGCCCGATCGCTTCATTTCCATGATCATCTCCTCGAGTGTCAACTTCTTCAAACAAAGGGATTGGGTTGTTTGACCAAAGATTTTGGTTCCCTGTCTGCTTGTCAGGAAAGCCACTCACTTCTATGGAGGCAAGTGAATATAACAATAAAATTAATGTACTAAATATGCTATATAATGTGAAAATAATTTGAAAAAATTAGCAAAAATGATCATCTAAATTAAAAAAATTAATAAAATGCAGAAGTTGTGTTCACTTAACACTTGTTTCAATTTCAGGGTGAATGTCTTTTGATCTTCAATTTGTTTTAACTCGGCAGGCAAGTGGTTATAAATTCGAGCGATCATGACCGCTCAAAAATTAATTATCATTAGCAAAACCGACAAAACTTCCATTTACAGCCACCGTTTTATTATTTACCTCAGGGAAATATCAGCGCATAATTAATAGTTTGGGGGGTGATATTGATTTTTCCACATTCCTTGATTGTGAGTTTTAATCCACGAAGACCTTTCAACATTGCAAAATCGCGCGATATGCGAAACAAGTTTCGTCACCGCCCACCAGCATTTTCACTCTTCTATTTACACGCCCCCCGATGCTCATTTGTTTGAATCTTGCCGAGCTCCGGGCTGGGCAAGATTTTGCCGGAAGTGGACAAGAAAACATGGCGTCCATGACGTCATTGTTGGTTAGCCAATCGTGGAAAGACATAGTTAGTTTAAGAACGGCTAACTTCTTGTCCGGACAAGAAAGAGAACGTTTCCAAACGCACCCCACGAAGTGTACTGTACTGTACGCCTTGTTAATGTTGGTCATTGCCGTCATTGGTCACAGTTGCATGCTCTTGCAAGATTTTTAAATACACCCAGGTGACTCAAGGGAGAACGCACTATTTTCAGTTTCAGCAAGTTTGGGAAGCTCAAGTTCTTTTTAATGAAAAAGCAGTATAATTTTCTTTTGAATAATATAAGACAAGTAGGAGATGTTGAGCTTTTCGCTTGAAAAGAGGTCCTTAAAGAGACCTAGACTTGGTCCACCTGACGTCTATCCGCAGGACCCAAAGCAAAAAGAGGTTTTTTATTATTAAATATTATACAAAAAAATTGTGTGTGACTATATTGTACTCTAATTTTAGGATGAGTTGACGGCTGTTAATGTTAAACACGGGTTTAGCATAACGCTGCAGCTCAGTGATGAGTTTGGAACCGCCCGAAACTGCGCATTTAACACTTCTAAGATCACGAGTTATTTTAACACTGTACAAGCAAAAAAAGAAGAGCTCAACACCTTGCCAGACACGGCAAAAAGACGGCCCCAAGTAAACACTAAAGACTCGTTCTGGCCAGCGACTCCTCGAGTGAAACAGCAGATTGAAGCATGGTTTAAAGACCTTGCAGGCAGTAAACCTCTTTCAAATTTGTCGAAAAAGGTTAGTTTGTTGCTCGGATCAATTAAATCATTTAAGCTATTCATTGTGCTATCAATAATAAGAACCACAATGATTAATAATATTTATTAATTTAAGTCATGGTATTACAACTATATTACAATGTAATATCATATCTCCTGACAGTTCTGACGCGATCCATCCTTTTGCAATTTAGCATTCAATTCTAAATTCTTCTTAGGCGCCAAATTTCAACAAGCGCGAGGAAATTTTCATGCTTTTGTGTGAATATCAAGTTCCAATGGTGAGAGCAACATGGTTTATCAAGCTCAGTTCTGCTTACGCTGTGGCAGTGACAGAAGCAAAAATGAAAAAAAGACAAGTGCCTGATCCTGCACAAGGTAATTTTATGGTGTGAGGCTGGAAAAGTGATAAAGAAAAGTAATTTTTTCTCAGAATGGACTCAAATTTTGACCAAGTTTATGCGTGACCAGCAAGCCAAATTGGTGGAACACTTCAATCCACAGCCAACACTTGGAACCACAGCTCCATCTAACTCGCCAGTCTTGATGGACGAGCAAAAGCTTGCACACAGACAATGGACGTACTGCATCAATTTGTCCAGGCACATGTATGAAGAAGGTTTGTTAGAGCAGCAGGAATTCCTTAATTGGGTCTTGGAAACCATGGAAAAGGCTGGTCCTCCGGACGGCGGCATGCTGCGGTTTGTTTTGCCTTTAGCATTGCAGTATCTCAATGAGTTTACACAATCAGAACTGCTGGCAAGGTTAGCATTTCTTTGCAACACAAATTTCGCAATTTATTAAATATAAAATTATATAATTTTATATTTCAGAAAATTAAACTACCTGAGTTGTCGTCGGTTGAGCCAATTGCTGGCGGAGGCTGCAGGGCCTGCAAGTCCACAGACTTCTTTAATGCAACCTACAGCAAGTCAAATGAACGCTGCCTTCAAAGAATATCTCAACTGCAAGCACCACCGCAATGTTGTCCTTGGCCTAGCAACCATCGTGCAGGTTTGTGTGGAAGTTATAATTTGTCTGAATATTCCATTAATTCCAAATAAAGGCGGCAACACTTGAGTGCCCTACGTCTCTTGTATGGAACAACTTGGGAGAACACAAGTGCCCTCCAGCGTTAAATGGTTCACCGCTAGATTTATTGCTGTGCCCTCCATCTGCTCTCCCAATGCCCTCTAGACCAGATAACCGGTTAATAAGGTATTTTGAATGGATTTATTTAAAAGAAATAAATTTGTAGCCTTCAAAAGATCCATGCTAATCTAATCTAAATGGAGTGCAAGAGACTTGAAATTTGCATACAAACCAACCAATGACATAATTTTTAATTCAAAAGGTGGTGATAAAACTGAGCTGGCGTTTAAGCATGTCCTCTCTCAATGATTTCAGATTCAGATAATATTTAATTTATACCGTAGAGATCAACATATGAACTGAAATAATCTTTGGAATAGGTCACTATAATACAGCTATAACTAAATAACTATAATACTGCTCACTAAATTTTAAATATAGTTCACAAAATTTTACAAAAAAATATTCATGCACGTCTTAGAACATTTTGTCTTAGAATATTAATTCAAATTACTTCTTAAAAACTTGATAAATATCAATGTTTTTTATTTGTTCGCGAAGATGATTGAAAATTCTTTGGATCATAATGTGAGGAGACTGAGCAGTCAGCAACAGTCTGTTTAATTTGACAAATATAAGTCTTGCTCCGCTATAGGTTTATTTCGAGTACTGCGATTCTGGTGCACCTTGCTTTCAGAATTTTTGAGGAACAATTCAGGATACTTTTCGAAAAATTTAACACATTCAAAGGCGCACACAGAGAAGGCTGGCAGGATCTGAAATTCTTCAAAAAGTGATCGGCAAGACAGGTGTCAATGCCTTCCAGTATCTTTTACCTGCCATCGCACGGATAACTCTCTTTTAAGCAATGAAAACCTTTTCCAACACATGGTCAATCCACCCCAAAATTACAATTGAGTAGAGTATATGACTTTGAACATGGGCGAAATAGCTCTTAGCAATTTAGTTTGAATACGCTGCTTTAATTTCACAAAAAGGTATGTAGTACTTCTCACAATCAGTTTCGCTACTACCTGATCGCATTGGGTGCTCCAGTTCATTGTATCAGAGAGCATTACAGCAAGTATTTTTGCTTGATTTACCACTTCTTTTTCAGCGTCGTTAATTCTGATAACAGGCGGTTCCAATTTACTAGTTTGAGCAGTATGCATTTGCAGCACCTGAGTTTTCTTTTCTTTCAATCTTCAGCAGTTTTTGCTAGCAAAATCAATCATTTTGTCATTGTTGCCGCTCTTGTTCGAACTTGTTCGAAGATGACTCATCTTTTATTGTAACGGCTAGAAACTAAAAAGCCTTGAACGAAAATACTGCTGTGGATAATGACAAAATGATTGATTTTGCTAGTAAAAACTGCTTAAGATTGAACGAAAAGTAAACTCAGGTGCTGCAAATGCATACTGCTCAAACTAGTAAATTGGAACCGCCTGTAATCAGAATTAACGACGCTGAAATTGAAGTGGTAAATCAAGCAAAAATACTTGGTGTAATGCTCTCTGATACAATGAACTGGAGCACCCAATGCGATCAGGTAGTAGCAAAGCTGAGAAGTACTATGTACCTTTTTGTTAAATTAAGGCAGCGCATCCGAACTAAATTGCTAAGAGATGTATATTTAGCCCATGTCCAAAGTCATTTACTCTACTCAATTGTTATTTGGGGTGGATCGCCTATGTTTTAAATGATTTTTGTTGCTCAAAAGAGAGGTATCCGTGCGATGGCAGTTAAAAGATACTGGAAGGCATTGACACCTGTCGAGTCTTGCCGACCACTTTTTAAGGAATTTCGGATCCTGCCAGCTAGCCTTCTCTGTTTATGCCCTTGAATTTGTAAATCTGAAAGCAAGGAGCGCCAGAATTGCAGTACTCGAAATAAACCTGTAGTGGAAAGACTTACTTGTCAAACCAACCAGACTGTTGCTGACTGCTCAGTCTCCTCACATTATGATCCCAAGAATTTTCAATCATCTTCCCGAACGAATCAGTAACATTGATAGTTATCAAGTGTTTAAGAAGGAATTGGAATTAATTTTGTACGACAAAACTCTGATTATATGATCCTAAGAATTTTTAATGCGCTGCTGAAAAATCTGAAAACCTTGGAAAACGAGGAACTTGTGAAGGAAGTGAAAACTTTTGTACTTCAGCACCAATTCTATGACTTAAAAGAATTTTACCGTTTGAATAATGCTTTGTATCTTGACTTATTTTAAAAAGTGTCATTGCTACCGCAAATTATTGCTTATCAAACTAAAGAATATTTGAATTTGAAAATTCTATGACATGCATGAATATTGTGTGTGTAAAATTTTGTGAATTGTATTCTAAATTTAATGTATTATAGGTATATTAAGTTTGTTTTATAGTGACCTATTCCAAAGATTATTTCTGTACATATGTTGATCTATACGGAATAAATATTATCTGAATATGAATCTGAATGAATTTTAAGGGGATATCATACCGTAGGAGGAGTAGACAAAAGGGCCCAATACATTAAATGTTGTAAATTCTTACAGAGGCTCATTGCCTTTGAATTAAATTAAATTTAAAATTCATAAAAGGTTACTTATGCAACTTTCAAGACTATTGCTCTTCCTTAAGCGCAGATATTTTTATGGCTCATAATTTTAGAGGATGTGATTCATTCTTTTTTCAAGTTAAAAAAAAATAATTGTGTCCAATCTTTTCAACAGAAATCAACTAAAAGTTGCTGAGAACTTTATTCGAAACCGCAGTCAAGCTGCTGAAGGACGTTGGTCATGCGATAAGTGGCAGCTAAGCAAAGCTGGTTAGAAACAACATTAAATTTTTGCTACTATTTAATTACTATTGTTATTCAAAGGAACCACCATGAGCAAAGTTTTATCAGCTCTTGATGCTCTTGATCGTCACAGTTTTGACCGAATGGAGGCAAATAATTTAGACGGCCTGTATGTGAAAGTTTTTCCGAACGCACAACCTCAGACTAGCACTGAACAAAAGGAAAGACTAGAAAACGTATGTTTACTTCATTGATTATTTAATAATAATAACTCTTCTGTGTGCAAACCATTTTAATAGCCCGTAAGTCATGATGCTTCAATAGTACAATTACTCTGCGAGTGGGCGGTGTCCACTTGCCGATGGGGTGAGCATCGAGCCATGGCCGTTGCCAAGCTTTTGGAGAGGCGGCAGTCAGACTTGGCGCAGGCCTCTGAACCTGCTGACATACCTGACGAAAAGGACTCTGCTGCATCAAGCAATGGCCCTGCGCCTGGTCTGCCTGTTTTCCAAGGCTTGCTGATGCACTTCTTGGATACGGAAGCCCCTGTGTTAGGTTAAAAATGGTATACTTTTTATTTCTCTCGCTTTAATTGTCAATTTTTCTTGAAGATAATTCAAGTGCCACCAATAAAACAATGTTTGGAAACCTGGTGCACCTTTTCTATGAGTTGATTCGCAATGACGTCTTCTCTCACGACGCCTACATGTGCACCCTCATATCAAGAGGTGACCTGTTAACAGGGCCACCTGCAGCCCAGTCGGGTCAACAACAACAGCAGAACAAAAGCCAGGGAATTGGGGAGGATGAGGACTCAACTCTTTTTGCAGGCATTGACATAAAGCCTGCTCAGGTTAGATAGCTGTAAAAAGTTAAATAAACCCTAAAGTTCCATTTTATGGGATTATTGATGCTATCACCTCTGAAATACTTTGTCAATTTTTGAATTTTGGTCAGTTTCCATTTTTGAGAGGTGTCAGCAAGCTAAAATTTCCAAAGCTGAAATTACTTAAAATGTGGCTAGATGTATACTACCTTTGAAATTTGCTTGTGTGTGGGGCAATTGTCATGCTGAGCGCGCTAGATTTTTGTGGTGTGTTCTGTTTGTTGGTGCAGGTGCGTGGCCCCATCGGTGACTACGATGACTCCAAGATTGATGACGATCTAGACAAGTTGCTCCAGCACATCAAGGAGGAGCAACAGAATAGTCTGGTAAAGCTGTAGTCAAAGTAGCAAAGACGCTGCTGGCCTAAAAAAACTTTATTTAATTTCACCAAAGTGCCAGTGATTCTCAAATTTTAAGCTTAATTTAAATTAATTTGCTTGGGCTCTAGTGCTGCTATATTTGTTGCTTGCAATTTTTATATCAGAAAAATCTGCTTTTAAAAATAAATTTATTTAGGACGCACCAGACTCGCCAAAAGATGATGCACCTACTCCATCTTTATCAACAGTTGGTGGAATTGGTGGCTTGGACGACACTGTTGAGGGTAGGGAAGGGCGCCGACAGTCCCGACACTTGATTTATACTACACATTTTCCGTTACCTCCGGTATATTTAATTAGCTCAATTGGTGAAAAAAATTCTAAACATTTTGTCTACAGGATGACACGAGTAGTCATGACTCTAACCAACGGCATGTTTTACTATACGGTGTTGGGAAAATGAGAGATGACGCTAGGCATGTGGTCAAAAAGACGTCTAAGGAGATTTCCAGACTTTTTAGCAAAAAGTTTAGTATTGATGTTGCCGAAGGTGGCAGGATCAAGAAACATTCCAGGGGAGAATTTAATTTTGAGGTTTGTTTGGACACATAATTATACTTGTGTTTGCTTAAATAATTTTTCCTTTCTAGGCTGTGACACAAAAAATGCAAGGACTGTCTTACTTTGACCAGCATGTTATCAGTATGCAATGTGCTACCACTGTGCTGGAAATGCTCAGCTCTTTTGCTTCTGGATCATGTAACTATCTTCCCGTTCAGGAACATGTTGCTTTCCTGTTTGATCTGATGGAGTTGTCCCTTAACATTTACGGCCTTATTGATATCTGTATTCAGGTAGTTTATGTTATTTTTTACTCTGTTCTGCGTTTGTTACCTATTTCAATTAATTACTGTTCAACAGATAATTAAGGAGCTGCCAGATGTTGAGGCCCAACTGCAAGTGAAAGGTCCGACCTTAGTCCGTAGCTACACAACCTCATTAAGCTTGTACGTTGTCGGAGTGTTGAGACGTTACCACTGCTGTCTGCTATGTATGGAAATTTTGATTGGGAATTGCAACTAACTTTGTTATTGGTAATAGTAAGCCCAGAGCAAGTTTCCTCGGTTTTTGAAGGACTTTGCAAAGTCGTAAAACATGTGTCAAACCCTGGAGACTGTAGTTCAGCAGAGAGGTGCATTCTAGCACACCTATTTGACCTCTACTCTAGCTGCACTCCACTGAAGAACAAACACTGCGAGCCGTTCAGCAATGCGTACCCTAAAATAAGACAGGTAACATCATGTTATTACATTTGGGGAGATTCAATAGACTTGCTCTCCCGGGATAAAAGATATCCCGATATAAATCCAAAGGGATAAAATTTAAACCACTGTCCCGGGTAAAATATTTCTTTGTCCCGCCTTCAATTTTTTGTCCCTTATTCATCGGGGATAACTTTAGTTTGCTTCCTCAATGGGATAAACATTTAACCCGCGCTTAAAATCAGCTGATTATTAAAAGATCGTCAACATGCTCGAGAGCTTTTTAAATTTTAGCCAATTGCAACGAAAAAAAAACTTTCAAGTCAGAATTTTGTGAGGATCATAAAGAGGGCAAAATTGAAATCCAAAGCTAACAAAGCACACAAATACATGGTAATCAGCTGGCAGATGCCCTTGCAAAAATGGGCTCCAAAAAGCCCCCTACTAAACCAAATGGACTCTCTCTCTCGACGCGGCCAAAGATAAGATTAAGACCAGAAAAAAAAGCCGCAGTCGAAGAAAAAACATGAGCTTCGTCGATTTTTTTTTTTTAATTTTTCAGTCAACCAGCCATCAAATATTTTGACTGCTGAGCCAGCTGACCTTGCTTTCAACGTTCAAACAAAAAGTCTGCTGATGGTTAAAAAAAAATCAAGGCAACGCAAGGCAAAAACTTTTCTCGGCATAGGCTGAGTGTCTTTACATTTTTGACTGCCGCAGCCAGCCACTGGTTCAATACTTTATTTGGTAGCCATAAGAAAAAAATTTATTTGCCTAATTTCACTTCGACGAAATGGTCTTTAAATATTTGGAAACACTTAAGAAAAGCTTAAATTTTTTTGTTTTTCATGTTCAAGAATTTTTTCTTTTCCTTTTTTCATTTGTAAAGTGAAATTAAAAAAATTTGCGAATTTAATTAATCTACTATTGAAAAATTAACTTGAGAACTTCAATTTTTTGGTGTTGAGAAATTTAACATGCATGAAATTTCAAGAGATGAAAAAAAATCCTTGCATAATTTCGCTTTGATTAAGAGGTCTTTAAATTTTTGTAACGCATAAAAATATGCAATTTCAAATTAAGTTGGATGCAGATTTTTGTGTTAGCTTTGGATTTCAATTTTGCCCTCATTTCCATGATCGTCACAAAATTCTGATTTGAAAAAGTTTTTTGGACCTTGCAATTGGCCAAAATTTAAAAAGTTCACAAGCATGTTGACGATCTTCTAATAACCAGCTGATTTGATTTTAGCGCGGTTTAAATGTTCATCCTGTTGAGGGAGCAAACAAAAGTTATCCCCGATGAATAAGGGACGAAAAATTGAAGGCTGGACAAAGAAATATTTAACCCGGGACACTGGTTTAAATTGTATCCCTTTGGATTTATATCGGGATATCTTTTATCCCGGGAGAGCTGTCTATTGAATCTCTCCCATTAAATTTTTGGCTAAAACCCTTTATAGGCAATGTATGTGAGACTCACACCAACTCCATCAAGCTATCCCCTGAACAGCCAGTTTATGTGTGACGTCATTGCCAACCCTCGCAGAGCCAGTCAGAATGGAGCCACTAATTCGGTCGCTGCTTCACCAGCAGTGCGTCTTGAGGCTCATTGGCCACGGCAGCTTGCCGAGAGCACTGCAAATAGATACAGCTTTGTTTGCAATGCTGTTGTTGCTGCTTGCAGAGAAAAAGACAACGAAAGACTTAACGATCTAGCCGTTCTCTGTGCAGAACTGACAGCTTGCTGTAATGCACTTGGACCCGAATGGCTAGGTTTATTTTGTAATAAATTTTAGAGCCTCCTTATAAGTTACTTTTTTGTAGGTGTTTTCAAAGCGTTGTGCCCACATGACACAAGCAATGCTGCCTTTTATCCAGACGTTCAGAGAATAATTGATGTTACTGACCTCTCTATTCACACTTCATTGGCAGTGTTCACATCAATTTTAATTGGTTAAAAACTTCATAAAAGAAATCCTTATTATTTATTTGTTTTTATCTATTTCAGCTCGACATTGCTTTTCGCTTGAAGACTTTGTCGTAAATGTTGCATTGCCCTCTCTACTGACAGCAAGCCAAAGTATTTGAATTTAGCACTTTCATAACAATGTGTAGTAAAAAAAATATGTTAGGTAAAGAAAAGGTTGACTCAAAAGTGGAAGCTGGGGCTAGACTTACTTGTCATCTCCTGTTAAGATTATTCAAAACAAATGAGACTCCTCAACCTGCTTTGTACTCGGTTGGTAAGTAGAAGAAATTACTCTTTTTTTCTGTTGTTCAGATTCAGATAATATTTATTAAACAATTATTATTATTATTTATTCTTCTCGGTCAACACAAAAATTTTAAATTGGAAAAAAGAGAAGAAAGGGTTTACAACTAGCAGATGTCTGCTAAAACACCCGACATCAAAAGAGACGGCCGCCGCGGAAAAAAAAGAATGATATCACAAACACTTAAATATTCACTCTTGAATTACTGCCACAAATGCTCCTTGCAGAGAGAGGGAAAATTGCTTGAGGGACAGTTTTTAAGGGCAGGTAGCAGGTCGTTCCAAGGCTTGACTATCCTGAAGGAGAAAGCGCCGCGACCGAACTTGTTGTTGGCCGAGGGTGGCTGGAGGCGGGGGTCCTGTCACCTCTCAGCTTACGACCCATTACAATTCGGGCGCGTGCGTCAAAGTCTGTCTCGCCGCTCAGGAACTTTTTGAAGAAGTAGGTCGGTGTACCTGAGGTGCATGTCAATGGGCATAATTCTCTGCTCGATTGGCGGCGGAGGGGTGCGGCCGTAGATGAAGTGCAGTGCCCGATTCTGCACTCGATTGAGTTTGTTGACGTTCTCCTGCAACGTGGGGTGCAACGCAGGGAGACCGTAAATCATGGTTGGATTGACGAGCGAGAGATACGCAATTCTTTTGACGCGGGGGGTGCAGCCGCGCAAGTTTCGGGCCGCAAAACCGAGAGATTGGGCCACCTTGCTGTACACAATGTCCGTGAGGACCTGCCACCGGAGATCCCTCGAGATGTGGACGCCGATTCACCGAGGTTGTAGACAAACTCCAACCGATCGCGCGCGTGAGAAATGTCCATCACTTTGCACTTTTTCGCGTTAAGGCTCATTCCGTCATTTGCACAGATCTTCCTGCACCATAGTAAAAACCGCATTTTAAAATAAGTCAGTGTACATTGCATTATTTATTTTAAACGATAAAATTCGTTCAAGTCACAGAAAGAGCTCAAAAAACGCAATCAGCAAGTCTCCACAAGGTCGCGTAAAAAAGAATGGTCAAAGTAAAGTTGAAAATTTGAAAATCGCACTGTTAAATATCCAAGGCATTAAATCTGCAGTAAAATTAGCGAATTTCGAAAATTGCGTAACTAATTTGCGCGAAAAGCCCTCAATCATTGTAATAAATGAGCATTGGCTCTGTTCAAAGGAAGCCAAACATTTTAGCATAACTAATTATAAAACTGTTACTTTCTTTGGCCGTAAGATAAGAGAAAGAGGAGGAGTTTCAAGATTCAAGATTTCTTTATTTTGTTAAGCATTATATACCACATAACATATACATAGTAATAACCGCTTTTTAAATTAAGACAGTGTACATTGCATTATTTAAACGATAAAATTCGTTCAAGTCATAGAATTTGTGCTCTAACACAAAAGCTTTCACCATTTTTACAAGAACCTCGTCATTTTCGAGGACTTTTAAAGATATCGGTAATGCATTAAATATTCTGGGGATCATGATTTCTGGGTTTTCTACAGATTTCTTAAGCTTTACTTCTTTCACAACCAAATCATTACAGCAAAGATTAGTCTGATTATGTCTAGTCACTCTCCTCGTATCTACAGTATCACTATATTTCTGAAATAGGTTTCGGTTTTGCACTAAGAATTTTATACATTCGAGTATATACAACGATGGCACGGTTATTATATTATATTTGACAAATAATGGTTTACAAGTATCCAACGCTTCATTAGATCGCCAGTAGGGAATGCCCGCCATGGCTCTCAACGCTCTTTTCTGTGCTCTAAATACTTTGATTAAATGACTAGAACCCCCCCCCCCCCCCCAAATTACAATCCATACATTATATGACTCTGAACGTGTGAAAAATAGATAAATTTAAGAATGTTATCTGACACCTTGTATTTCAGTCTAGTAAACACATGAGAGACTCCTCTCATTTTATTAACAACCTTATCACAGTGATCATTCCAGTAAAGTGTATCATTTATTTGTACTCCCAGGAGTTTACCAGATTTACAGATTTCTATATTTTCATCTTCAATCTTAACATCAGGTTGAATAAGATTTTTTGTTTGGCTGGTATGTATTTGTAGTTTGGTAGAATATTAATTCCCATTCCTTCTTAAACACTTGATAATCATCAATGTTTTTGATTCAATCGGGGAGATGATAGAAAATTCTTGGGATCATAATGTGAAGGGACAGCGCAGTCAGCAACAGTCTGTTTGGTTTGACAAATAAGTCTTGCTCCGCAATAGGTTTATTTCGAGTACTGCGTTTCTAGTGCACCTTGCTTTCAGAATTTTTGAGGAACAATTCAGGATACTTTTTGTAAAATTTAACGCATTCAAAGGCGTACACAGAGAAGGCTGGCAGGATCTGAAATTCTTCAAAAAGTGGTCGGCAAGACTCGACAAGTGCAATGCCCTCTTTTGTCTTTTACCTGCCATCGCACGGATAATTCTCTTTTGAGCAATGAAAACCTTTTCCAACATGGGCGATCCACCCCAAATTACAATTGAGTATAGTAAGTGACTTTGGATATGGGCGAAATAGCTCTTAGCAATTTAGTTTGAATGCGCTGCCTTAATTTAACAAAGAGGTACGTGGTACTTCTCAGTTTCGCTACAACCTGATCGCATTGGGTGCTCCAGTTCATTGTATCAGAGAGCATTACACCAAGTATTTTTTCTTGATTTCTTTAGCTTCTATTTCAGCGTCGTTAATTCTGATTACAGGCGGTTCCAATTTACTAGTTTGAGCAGTATGCATTTGCAGCACCTGAGTTTTCTTTTCGTTCAATCTTAAGCGGTTTTTACTAGCAAAATCAATCATTTTGTCATTAGCCACAGCAGTATGATAATCCATCCCAGCTAGATGATTTCTTTGACGGGAATAACTTCAAATTTTTTTCTATTTCAAATAGGGTAACGTCAGGCTGAGCAGTAAATTTGATTCCATTTGAATCAATGTTTAATTATTGTTGTTTATTCTACTCAAGTCATATATGAAAAAATTGACATGGAAAAATGAGCAGAAAGGGTATCACAACTAGCAGAGGTCTGCTAAAATGCCCGACATGAAAAAGAGATCGGCCACCGCTTGAACTCAGTATAGAGTTCAATTTCATCACTACTAAGATTTACCTGAGGTTCAACAAGTTTCTTATTTAAAAAGTTAAAATTTTTCTGCAAATCCTTTTCCATTTAACCATCAATTTCAATTTGCTTAATATCATTTTCATATTTATCTTGGTTCAGGTTGCAAGTTTTGTTAATAATTTTCCAGGCCATACCAGTCTTATTAGATGCTTTTAACATTTTCTGTGATGATTTTCTTTTTAAAGGAACTTCACCTCATCCCATGGCAGCAACTCTTCAGCACTTCAACATTCGACTGAGCTGTGATCGACACTTGCTTGCAGCTGCTCACAATAATATAAACATAGGCGCTTTGTTAGCTGTATTGAAAGGCATTTTGGTAATGGGTGATGCAACTGCTCGCGATTGCAAGGGGAAAAAGGATTCTGTGGGCCCTGTCAGCAAATCTATATCTGTTTGCGGGTCTGGAGAACTGAGTATAAGCCACATTTTGGGTACCAGTGATCTCCTTAGTGCAAATGACGACCCACTTCTTGATGTTGGGTAAGCTGAGAAATATCTAAAGAAGTTACATTTTCTATTAACAGTTCATGTTTAAGAGCTCAGAGGCTAGAAAAAGCCGGACTCTCTGAGTACGCACAGCACGTCCTTCAGCAGATATGCAGCCAAGAGTGGGTTCTTGTGCGCTGCCTGCAAAACCCAGAAGACCTTTGCCATGCAGAAATGCTGTTGGACAATATGCTAACTCCGAAACAAGTAACCCGAAATTTTGTTTTGATATATCTATGTACATGTGTATTACTGTGGTAAATAGGCTCAAAGGCTTTTGAGGATGATCTGCTATCCTGAAAATCCAGCTGCTGCTTCTGATAACCAGGAGCAACCTGAAGTCATAACAAAGATATTGGAGGTATTACATTGAAGAAGTAAATGAAAAATATTTATAAATCTAATCATTAAATACTGTAGAATCTTGATCAGTGGCGTCTACGTATGTCTTGGCTGGACCTACAGCTTATGTTCAAACAGCTGCCTAATAACACATCTGATTTATCTGCCTGGCTTGACACAGTTGCAAAAGCAGCCATAGACGTCTTCCACTTATGTGGCGGACCTGAGGCAACAGACCACCCTTCCTCATGCTCTTCCAGTTCCTCGTCTTCGTCAAGTAACTCCTCTCATCGAGCCAAACCTTCCAAACAGCGACATGACAAGCCAACAAATAAGTATCAAAAATTCATTGTATTATATTTTTTTAATAATTAAAAATTTTAATTTTTAAATTTAAGCATCTGGCTTGTAGCACCACTTGTTTCAAAGCTACCCAGTGCTGTGCAAGGCCAAGTCTTGAAAGCAGCTGGCGCCGTTCTTGAGGAAATCAACTGGAGTGCCGTGGCTCGAAGCCGAGGCCGACCGTCTGGCACCAATCACCTACTCAGTCATCAGCCTTTTCTCTCGCTCGTCCTCACCTGTTTGCGTGGGCAAGACGAGCAAAGGGAGGGTTTGCTTGCTTCCTTGCACTCCCAACTGACCATGTTTCTCATGGCAGCCAAGGACGAGCAAGCCGCTTCAAGAGATGGCCAGGCAGGAGGCAGCACTGGTGGAAATGAATCTGAGCCAGGACGTGGTATGGGGCAGGGCGGAGCCAATGCTGATGCTGCCCTGATGCAGGATGCATTGCAGCTTAGATTTAGTCTTGTTGGAGGAATGTTTGATACCATTCAGCGCAGTACAAGTTCAACTACCGACTGGGCTCTTCTGCTTCTGCAACTGATTGCCCATGGAGTCATAGATTTACACAACAACAGGCAAATAAAAATATAACATTTCTTTCTAGATTTATTTACAATTTTTTATTCCAGTGAATTATTTACCACTGTTTTGGACATGCTAGCCACCCTTATTCATTCAACCCTTTTCACTGATGCGCAATCCGAAAAAGGGGAGGAAAACAGGAAGCACTATCAAAATCTAATGAAAAAACTCAAAAAGGTTTCTTTATATTTGATAGTTGGTTGCAAACATTTAAAATAATTTAAAATAGGAGCTTGGAGACCGACATTCACAATCGATTTCTCAGGCTAGGCAGCTGCTGCCACTGGGCAAACCGATGTGTGACATGATCAGCTGCGAACCTGTAGGATGCTTCACAGATACTAAGGGCAATAAAATACAGGGATTTGATTCATTGGAAAAAAAGCAGGGTATGCGGGTGCATGAAAAGCAGCGTATCAGCCCATGGGACTTGCTGGAAGGACAGAAAAACCCTGCCCCTCTTTCCTGGGCATGGTATTTGGGCGTGCGGGTGGAGAGGAAGCCTCTTTGGTATGAGGACACCCATCGACTTCTTCGCTTCCACACCCACTCTTTGCAAAAACCAGCCTCCTATTTCCTAGACCCTCCTGTGCTTCCACCCGAAGATCTAATTGATGATCCTCCTGCTGAAAAGAAGGTTTTGTCTTTTTAATACTTCAAAATTCAAAATCAAGAAGCTACAAACAAATTTAACAGATTTGTCCATGTGTATTGTGCAACAAAGACAGCAAAGCAGACACTCCTAACTCAACAGACCAGTCGCCAAGAGGCCGGCGCATGAGCAAAGCGACCAGACCCCGAAGGAATAAGAAACCTCAACCTGGCCACCCTGCAATGGCTGCACAGGCCGCTGCTGCACAAGCAGCCGCTCAAGCTGCCCAACAAGTTGGGGCCCCTCAACAGCAGCAGCCAGGAATGATGGGAATTCCATCATTGCAGGTAAAAAAATCAATTATAAAAGAAATCCACCTTTTCAATTTATTGAAATATCACATAAGATTCAAGATTCAAGATTTCTTTATTTTGTTAAGCATTATATACCACATAACATACATAGTAAATAACAGCTTTTTAAAATAAGTCAGTGTACATGGCATTATTTAAACGATAAAATTCGTTCAAGTCATAGAATTTGTGCTCTAACACAAAAGCTTTCACCATTTTTACAAGAACCTCGTCATTTTCGAGGACTTTTAAAGATATCGGTAATGCATTAAATATTCTGGGGATCATGATTTCTGGGTTTTCTACAGATTTCTTAAGCTTTACTTCTTTCACAACCAAATCATTACAGCAAAGATTAGTCTGATTATGTCTAGTCACTCTCCTCGTATCTACAGTATCACTATATTTCTGAAATAGGTTTCGGTTTTGCACCAAGAATTTTATACATTCAAGTATATACAACGATGGCACGGTCATTATATTATATTTGACAAATAATGGTTTACAAGTATCCAACGCTTCATTAGATCGCCAGTAGGGAATGCCCGCCATGGCTCTCAACGCTCTTTTCTGTGCTCTAAATACTTTGATTAAATGACTAGAACCCCCCCAAATTACAATCCCATACATTATATGACTCTGAACGTGTGAAAAATAGATCAATTTAAGAATGTTATCTGACACCTTGTATTTTAGTCTAGTGAACACATGAGAGACTCCTCTCATTTTATTGACAACCTTATCACAGTGATCATTCCAGTTAAGTGTATCATTAATTTGTACTCCCAAGAGTTTACCAGTTTTACAGATTTCTATACTCTTATCTTCAATTTTAACATCAGGTTGAACAAGATTTTTTGTTTGGCTGGTATGTATTTGTAGTATTTTAGATTTTTCTGAATTTATCCTCAAAAAATTATCATTAGCAAAACCGACAAAACTGTCATTTACAGCCACCGTTTTAGTATTTACCTCAGGGAAAGACTCTCCCTTGACTATAGCCGTGGAGTCGTCGGCAAACAAAATCAGGAGGGCCAAGAACACAGCGAGAGGAATATCATTTAAATACATAGAAAACCCAATTGGGCCGAGAACTGTGCCTTGCGGCACACCCCTGTTACTCTCTAATATATCCGAGTTAATAAACTCCTCGTACCTATCACAACCAAGGTTCTTGAGCTGTACAAATTGTTTCCTATTTGATAAGAAGCAGGCCAACCACGAGAGCAAGTTCTCGTTTAGACCGTATTGTTTTAACTTATGTATAAGGAGAGGTGGATGAAGGGTGCCAAATGCGTTAGAGAAATCATACAAGATAACATTCACTTTTTCTTTTGCTTCAACTGATTCGTACAAAGATGTTACATAGCTATATAAGGCCGTTACAGTATTTTTTCCCTTTCTAAATCCATGTTGCTCAGGTATTTGGATATTATTAGTGTTCAAGTGGTTTTCCAATCTATGTAAAAAGGCTTTCTCATATACTTTCGATATTGATGACGTTATCGCAATTGGTCTATAATTTGAAGGGTTTTCTTTTTCGCCCTTTTTAAACAGTGGGATAATTTTAGCAAGTTTCATATTTTCGGGGAAACTACCTTTTAGGAATGACTCGTTTATTAAATAAGTAAGAGGCGCAGTAATATACATTGAAATTTTTTTCAGTACAGTGGTTGAAATTCCATCCCACCCAGATGAATTTTTTGATGGGAGATGATTTATTATACTATATATTTCAAACTCCTCAAAAAGCTGTAATTCTTGTACCATATTACCAAGGTTATCAGTCACTTTGGAACAATCAGCTAAATTTATATTATTTAGGTCAGGCTCTGGTTCAACAAATACATTGTTCAGGCAATTGGCGATATTAAGTTTAATTGATTCTTTAGCACCGTTTATATTTAATTCGTCAATATACTCTGAATTTTTACTTTTCCCTAATTTAGTGTTTATAAGTTTCCACGCTGCACTGGATTTGTTTTTAGATGTTGCAATTTTCCTATCATTTACTTGCTTTGTTTCTATTTGTATTTTATTAACAACTTCCTTCTTCATGTGTTTCAGTTTTAGCTTCAGTTCAGCCTTAATAATTTCTATGGAAAAATTATAGCTTATGAAACTGCAGTTTTTTTTCCAAGAGTTCCCTCAGGGCTTTTGGAGGAATTTTTTTTAGGAAACCAATCATTTTGAGTTTCACATATGTTGGAGGGCTTTTATAAATAAATTGTTTTCCAAAATTTTGGACCCCAAAAATATTTCGTCTTCCCCGTTTTTTCGGGACACTTTGAAAAAATTTAAAACGTCTCTGCTACCGCAAATACTAGAGTGATAAAAATTTCAGCTCTCGACGTAATTTTTTATGCCGAACAACTTTTCCGTTGAACCCAAAGCTTGAGATCAAAGGTCAAGGTCACTTTTAAGCCCAGTGGTTAGAATGCTTGCATTCTAATCAGTGGGTTCCTTGGCTGTCATGGGATCAATGCTCAGCCTGAGGCTCTTTGTGGAAACAAATAGCCTCTGGTATGCGAATCATTGATAAAATTTCGGCTGACACGTCGGGAATTTGGGAGGTATGGCGCAAGCTGTGCCGACTCGCACTCGGAGGTTTGCCACGTTTCCTCCGAGCCACAAGCTGGAAGAACTCGGATTGCGTGGCGAATTCCTGCGTTCATTCCAAGTCCTTCGTGGCAAGGCTGGGGCAAGGTCTCAAGGGGGTGGGGGAGTCATGCGAGCACCACCAAATTTGCTAGAAAGCCCCCGAAAAAGGGTCAGGTGTCAGATTAGTTGGGAAGCACAAATGTGCCAAGGGTGCTCGACTTCGGCGAGAGACCGACCCAATAGCCTAATAAGCTCACGGGTGCCAAAAGCGAAAAAAAAACTTTTAAGTGATTTTATGATTTTTTCAGTAAAAAAGTCCGATTTTGGGGATGATGGTCCCTTCTGATTTTTTTTTCATGTATAGGAAAAAATGTAGCTCGTGTAATTTTACTTATAATACTTAAAACACCAAATTTTTGTTTCTAGCGCACTTAGAAATAAATTAAATTCGATTTATAAATAAATAATGCTAGATTTCCTTGGATATAAGGTGGAAAATAAAGGTTTTCTCTTTTTAATCGACTTATTATAAAGCTAGAAACAAAAAAAGGGGGTCCAAAATATTGTTCTTGACAAGACCTTTAGAACTACGTATCACACATTATAGTCAGGCTACCCTAGGTCAAAGGTCACGGTGACCTTTGACCCAATGGTCATCATTATGCACGTTTTCCGAATTTCCATACTACTGGGAACATTTTTTGTCATTATCAAATATTGTCTTAAACCAATGCAAATCAAATTAATTACGTTTTTTGTGATGACCCTTCGTCCCAAGGAGCATAAATCAACGTTTTTTAATAGTGTTAGCTAATTTTAAATTTAACGAAAAATACCCACATCGCAATTTTTACATATTACGTAAAATTTAACAAGGAATCGATTGGCTATCTTGAAATTTTATTTTGGCGTGTGGCCAGGTTTCAAATTTGAGTTTGAAAATTTTGATTCAAAATTAGTGACCTTGAACTTTGACCTAAAAATTTGAAAGCAACAGCAAAGTTGTAGAGCTCAACGAGAAAATTTAAAATATATACAGAATTTTGCTGTAGGACCACAGGAAGCCGAGATATTTAAGTTTTTTGGATTTTTCAAAATGCCCCGTAAAACCTGCAATTTTCAAAATTTTTAGGAAAATTTTTATGAGCTTCCTTTCAAACCGTGCTGAATTACTTGCGAAATTTTTAGATCGTTACCTGTAACTTGGGGGACCTATGTGATCCTAAAAAGATTTGCTCAGTAGTTAATTGTTAGTTTTCTCATAAATTGCGTCCGAAGTTAAAAAAAACAGGCCAAAAAATCCGAAAGAAAAAAAAAACAACAATATTTCCCATTTATTTACAAAATTCTAAAATAACAACCATTTCAGTTCAAATTGGTGTCAGGGTTCTCAAATATATTAATATAAACCAATTTGGCTCATGTTTTATCACAGCTCATGTGAAATTGGTGGCTTTTTCGCCCGGTTTTTTTAACTTCAGACGCAATTTGTGAGAAACTATAATATAAATACTCTGAAATTCACGTATTATATGTAAAATTACACGACACGAGCTACATTTTTTCCTATACCTGCAAAAAAATCAAAAGGGACCCCCAAAATCGGATTTTGTTACTGAAAAAATCATAAAATCGCTTGAAAGTGACCTTGAACTGTGACCTACAGCTTTGGGTTCAACAGAAAAGTTAAGAAATTACGTCTAGGGGTGAAATTTTTATTCATTCGCGGTTGCAGAGTTATACACGTTTTAAATGTTTTCAAAATGTCCCGAAAAAACGGGGAAGTCGAAATTCTTGGGGCCCAAAATTTTTGAAAACCATTCCTTTTTAAAAGCCCTCCAACATATGTGACCCTCAAAATGATTGGTTTCATAAAAAAAATTCCTCCAAAGACCCTGTGAGGTGTGGGTGTTTAAGTGTTATTTTAAATTATTGTTATTATTTGAACCCAAAAATGAAAATAAAAAAAATTAATTGGGTGGTGCCTTCTGTACCACCAATAAAGGGCACAGGCCAACAAGACTTTGTCTTGGCCTGACCCTAAAAAAAAAAAAAAAAAAATAATAATAATAATAATAATAATTCTTCTCGGTCTGTACTAAAATTTTCAAAGATTGGAGTAAAAAAAGAGAAGAAAGGGTTTACAACTAGCAGATGTCTGCTAAAATGCCCGACATCAAAAGAGACGGCCGCCGCGGTAACACACTATTGAGAAAAAAAAGAACGATATCACAAACACTTTAAAATCTTCAATTACTGCCACAAATGCTCCTTGCAAAGAGAGGGAAAATTTCTTGAGGGACAGTTAAATATTTATTTATTAATTTGATATCTCAGGTTGGCTAATTAAAATAAAATAAAACCATTTTAATTTTATTCAAAGATGCAATGTTGCTTATCGACACGTTTGAATAAAATATTCCGACGCCTAACTGAGATGAGCTTATTGGGGCGTTATTAAAACTAGTCAGAGTGAATTTGAAACAATTAGATTCGTTATTATTAGTTGTTTATAGAGGGTGAGTCGAGCGGTCAGTTTTTATTATAATTAAGATTTTTAATTAGAAATACTTAAATATAAAAATAGCTTTGTTTCAGCTTGATAATTTTATAGCAGAACTTGTTCGGCTTCCTTGTATAACTAAACAAATTGCCTGTTTTGATTCGCTTGGAGCCTCGATACAAGAATTTTGAAAGTAGTTTGAGGTGTTTTGTTCATGCCCGCAAATTTTATAGCAGAGAAGAGTTTTTTCAACTCGTCGATGAATTGTAATATTTTTTTTTAATCTTCTCTTCCATTTATTTTGTACAATGTTGCAAATGGGGCGCGTTGCAGTGAGTCTTTACATTGTGGCGACGCTTCATAAGTCAATAAAGATCAATAATAATAATAATAATAATAAGTGAATCAATAATTTAATTTTGATGATCAAGATTTATCTTGTTTTCTTGAAAAGGTTTATTTCAATATAAAGCAGTAATTTTATGCAGTAGAATAATGCAAATTTTATTTGTTTAATGTATATTACCACACACAAAATTAAATAATGTTGAATGAATTTTCTTTCATAAAAACTACGGCTATTTCCAAGAAACAAATATTGCAAGTATTTTCTCAAATGATTATGCATAGAATGGGCAATAATTATTTGGCGTATTTTTGTGATTTAATTTATTGATTGATAATGTTATAGTACTGTGTAACATTATTGCTTCCGAGAGAGAATTTTGTATGTAAATTCTTAAAATAATTCTGGCCAGTGCTTAAGGCGCTGCCAAAAGGCTAAAGCTAAATTTCTAAATTCTATATTTTCTATTCCTTTTTTATGAAAATGAGGAAACTATTATGAGAGATTATTTAGGACAGGCCAATGTGGGCAAAAATTAGCAAAGATATGCAAACCTATAGGCTTCCGTAGAGGCACACGGCGTAAGGATGAGACGCCTGTAGATTTGCAGTTCTCAAATCAAAGAAGAATCAACTTTGATTATTGCTTATTTGATCGAAGGACCACGTCAGACGCTTGTTCGACAGAGTCTAACAATTTATTTTACTGTTCGAGACTGCTTAAAATAAAACTTCTCCTACTTTACTTTAAAAGGCCAATGAGAGGGTTATAAAAATTATGTTCTATTTTAAAATACAAGGGTTGCAGTTGAAGGGTTGAAATTGAATTGAATTGAGACGGATGCTGTACGAAATGTGTTATGTTGCGGGGGTGATGCTTTTCTTCATATGTGTGCGCGCGGCGCTCTTTTTTATTATTGTTGTTTATTTGTCCACATTGTTACAAATACATTGTTTACATTCAATTTTTGAAAAACAATTATTTAAGAAAAAGAGATTGTTGGACAAAAAGGCATCACCAGTAGCAAAAATTTTTCTAAAACTTCCGAGATCAAAAAGACCCCATCCGCCGCAGTGAGCCTCGGTTGACTAAGTTTCTTCTCTCTTGAACGGATTTGTCTACACTCTAAGGGCAACCAAAATACCAATTTTCAACAAGATCCGCCGACCCCATACCAAAAGTGGGTCCCTTTAAAAAAAATAATGCCTATAAATTTTTCCATGTAATAAATGCTTTATGCTAGGCTCCGTTTTACTGTTAGGAACTAAATTTTCAGGGCAACATGGGTCAAATTCAAAATTTCTTTTTTTTTTAAGCATTAAATTGCAACTGCAAGAAACACTTTGTAAAATAAGTCAAGATACATTTCATTATTCAAACGGTAAAATTCATTGAAGTCATAGAATTGATGTTGTAAGTAATGTAAGTACAAAAGCTCTCAATTTCTTAACAAGTTCCTCATCATTTTCGAGGGGTTTTTAAATTTCTAGGCAGAGCATTGAAAATTCTTGGGATCATATAGTCAGGGCTTTCTACAGATTTTTTAAAAGTAACTTCTCTCACAACTCATTTACACACAGGTTAGTTTGATTATGTCATGTCAATCTCCTCGTCTCCTCACTATCGCCATACTTTCTAAAGAGGTGACGATTCCGCACTATAAATTTAATACGTTCAAGTATATATACAGCATACATGGGTGCGCTCAACAATTTTGCGCTCGCGCTCGCGATCACTGGCAACACTGCGCTCGCGCTCTGCGCTCACGCTCAAGATTTTGAAAATGTTGCGCTCGCGCTCAATTTTTTAAAAAGTCTTGCGCTCACGCTTTGCGCTCAAAAATATTTTTACCCGAAGAAAAAGTGCGACTTTTTAGACAATTTTTTAATATAAAAAAAATCCATCGGCAATTAAAAATGATAAAGTTGAAGTTAAATTACCAAAATTGGGATCAGTTTTGAAGTTTTTGGTATAAAAACACTGTTTTTCGCTACAATTTTTGATCAAATTTGGGAATTTTTACTTTTGGTTTGAGCGCAAAATGAGCGCAATTGAGCGCTGCGCTCAGCGACCAATGCGCTCGCGCTCTGCGCTCGCGCTCATGAGCGCAGAGCGCAAAGTGCGCTCTGCCCATGTATGATATACAGTCATAATATTATATTTTACAAATAATGGTTTACAAGTGTCCAGAGCTTCGTTAGATCTCCAATACGAAACGCCTGCCATAGCTCTCGAAAAACGTTTATTAAATGACATGAGCCCCCTCAGATCACAATTCCGTACATTATATGACTCTGTACATGGGCATAACATATCAATTTGAGTATATCATCAGACACTTTATATTTCAATCTAGTGAATACATGAGTAACACTGCGCAGTTTATTCACAACTTTATCACATTGATCAGTCCAATTTAAGGTGTCGTTTATTTGTACTCCTAATAATCTACCAGTCTTTGAAATTTCTATTTTCAGCAGATGGGCTACCAGGGCGGAATGTACCCGCCTCAGCAGCAGGCTCAACAGCAACAGTGGTACAACCAGCAGCAGTCCCAGCAGTATTTCAACCAGCCACAGCAGCAGCAGCAGCAGCAGCAAATGCCGAGACCACCCTTTGAGCGGGCCATCTTGAATCCCTCGAAACAGGCATTGTCCAACATGCTTAGAATGCGTAATCCACAGGCGCAGTTTATGGCTCAGCAGAATCCAAACTTCCAGGCAATACAGCGGCAGCAGCTTGTTAGGTAGGTTGGGAAACACACCTTAAGCCTAATAGAGCTCAGGCATGAAGACGAATTGAAAAAGGAAAATCCCAGAACACTATGTGTAAAAATTAATACACTTCTTTAACCCATGAAGCTTTTTTGCTCCTCATCTGTTTTACAATCCACACATTTTAATTTTGCCTTCAAATTTTCAAGAAAATTATTGTGTGCCTGATTGTTTTGTCCGAGTGGTTTGAAGCAGCATGTTGTTTTTGTGTGGTTCTAGGCAGCAAATGCGGCCCCAGGGGCCAGGCATGGCCCAAGGCCCCCTGCAGCAGGGCCAACAGCCAGGCATGTTCCCCAACCAGCAACAACAGCCCCAGAACATGAATCAGGGATACCCTCCTAACATGGCGCCACAAGGTGAGCGACTTCAGCCCAATCTAATTTTGTAAAAACACTTATTGACCTTGCCAGCTATGATTACAAATAATTCCTCTTACAAAGACAACAATTCCAAATTTTGTTTTTAATAATACTTTAAAATTAAGTGCTAAAATGGCATTAATGAAATTTTTGACTGTTTGATTATTGAATTAAATTTTTTTTTTTGAGGTATGGCCCAGGGAGCCTATTATGGTCAGCAGCAGGCGATGGGGCAGGGCCAGGTGATGGGCGGTGGGGGCTTCGGTCCACAGACAGCCCAGCAGCCTCAGAGTTACCAGCAACCGCAGATGACCAGACAGCAGCAAGAGCAACTGTACATGCAACAGCAACAACGTCCCATGACCGGCGTTAGACCTCAGCAGCCCTATATGCAGGTGTGTTATTAATCCCAATTCCCAAATTTAGAAATCGACATATGAATCTGAATATTATATGTATATATTTTTAGTCATGCACCCAGCAAAGTTAAGAGTTATGACAGCTCTAGTTTAATGTAATGGAAAATTTCATAGAGCTGTGGTAGCTCTACAAATTTGCCTGTAATGTTTCCAATTCATGATTGCTCGAAACTCTAAGGTGATATTAGATTAGATTAGATCAAAATTTATTGCATTAGACATGTATTATACCATTGTTTAAAAAAGGAGAAAAAGTAGACCCTTCAAATTATAGACCAATAATTGCGATTACATCATCAATATCAAATGTGTGTGAGAAAGCTTTTTTAAATAGACTGGAAAACCACTTAAATTTGGAAGCGGCGCGCAGGCACAGAGTCAGTAAGCCAGAAGCCACGTCAGTTCGCAAAATTTACTTAGATTAAGGCTAAGTACTCTGTTAGGAGTTTTGTAAATTCCAAAAATTTGTCTATAAAGTGTTCGGCCTTGCAGTCGTTAAGTATTTATTTTGCTAATGTGGATGTCTTATTTGTTGCTTCAGAGCAAATATTAGGTAGCTCGTCCATGCGGGCGAGTATTAGTACCGACGAGTTCCAACTTTCCGAGTACCTAAAGAGAGCGTATAGCACGTAGTGCATAGCCCATCTGTCCATAAAATAGAGACAGAGTGCGTGTCTGAGGCAAAAGCCGGACAGACACTAGGACTCGAGCAAAGCCGGTTTTCAGATTCAGATTCAGAATTATTTTTATTTCATTAAGTCATCAACGAATTGACAACTTTTAAAATACGTCATTCACATATTTATACAATTTACAAATCAAATTTACAACTGAAAAATTCGTTCATGTCATAATACTGACACTTATATGTACAATTTCTCTTATTTTGCAAATAAACTCGTTACTTTCGATAGTCATTTTTACACTATAACAGGTAAAGAGTTGAATATTCTTGCACTCATAGTTAAAGGATTTTGGTTTAATAATCCAAGTGATTTTCAATCACGACATATAGGTCATTTACACAGTGCTTGTTTCTTGCATTTTTTTGTTTTCGGACTCATACAATTTAAAATTTCTGATTTTTTCTAAATTTTTCAGGATGATTTATAAGGAATTTCATACATTCTAATATATAGAGAGAGTAAACAGTCAATATACCATATTTAGCAAACAGTGGCCTACATGTATCAAGCGCACAATTTCCTCTCCAATACTTCAGCCCAGTCATTGTTCTGACAACACGCTTCTGAGCGACGAACACTTTTTGCATGTGTGGTGATGCTCCCCAAATCACAATAGAATACAGTATTTGACTTTGGGCATATGCATAATATACAGTTTTAAGTGAACTTTCTGACACTGTATCGCGCAATATAGTAAAAAGATACGTCACACTTCTCAATTTATTTGCCACTTTTTCACATTGTAGGTGCCAGTTCATTGTATCATTTATTGTCACTCCTAGTTACAATTATTTACTGCTTCAATACCCGTACCATAAATTTCAATCTCTGGAGGGACAACGTTTCTAGTTTGGTGTGTATGCATCTGCATAACCTTAGTCTTACTAGCATTGATTTTTAGGTTTTTGTCAGCAAACTCGACAATTTCTTTATTAGTTTTGATAGTGTTTGTATTTCAGATTCAGATTCAGATAATATTTATTCCGTATAGATCAACATATGTACAGAAATAATCTTTGGAATAGGTCACTGTAATACAGCTATATCTCAATATAACTATAATACAGCTTACTAAATTTACAATACATTTAAAATACAGTTCACACAATTTTACACAAAAAATATTCATGCACGTCATAGAACATTTTGTCGTAGAATATTAATTCCAATTCCTTCTTAAACACTTGATAACTATCAATGCTTTTGATTCTATCGGGAAGATGATTGAAAATTCTAGGGATCATGATGTGAGGGGACTGCGCAGTCAGCAACAGTCTGTTTGGTTTGACAAATAAGTCTTGCTCCGCTATAGGTTTATTTCGAGTACTGCGATTCTGGTGCTCCTTGCTTTCAGAATTTTTGAGGAACAATTTGTTTGTTGTACGGTTTTCCCTTTAACTAAAACTGTGGAATCGTCAGCAAAAAGGATCAAAATAGCAATTAAAATTCGAAGTGACAGGTCATTCGTGTTCAGCCGCCTTGGAAAATTCACGCGGGTTCACGCGGTGGCCAATGCACACCGCTCAAACGAGGAATATAATCCAGCCTGAAATATTGATTGAGAATGAGGAATTGTCTGTGGTGAACAGTAGTCGCCTTCTAGGAGTAACGTTAACAGATACAATGAATTGGAATAAACAGTGCAGCGAAGTGGTTACTAAGTTGCGTAGTGTTACGTATTTATTTATCATGTTACGAGAAAAAGTTCTAGAATCGACCTTGGTCCAAGCCTATCATGCATATGCGGCTAGCCGAATTCTATACTCGATTGTAATCTGGGGTGGATCTACACATATGAAAGATGTTTTTCTTGCGCAGAAAAGAGTAATAAGAGCGATGGCTGGCGTTCAATATTGGAGAAGTAATTCGGCACTTGACTCATGTAGACCACTATTTGTGAAATTTGGAGTTCTTACAGTCTATTCATTATATATTTTGGAGTGTGTTAAGTTTGTGCGCAAATTTCCTAAAAAGTTTAAAATGAATCGTGATGTTCCAGGTGTTGTAGTGCGAACTACGCGTGCTACTGCATATGTTGAAACAGATTTATTTGTAAGGCCAAGCTCACTAAATTGTGTGAATGAAAGTCCTGAGATAATGATAGCACGAGTATATAACAAATTACCCAATGTATTGAAAGAAATAGCTGACTATGGCAACTTTGTTAAAAGTGTCAAATATGTAATGCTGAAGTGTCAATTCTATGATATGAATGAATATTGGAGATGTAAATTTGAATGCTTAAACTTGGAAGATTGAGACTCAGCTGCAGGGTTTTCGGGGGTGGTTTTCCCCTGCAGTATTTGAGGAGGGTTAGTCAAAGGCTTGCCCACCCCCGCCGAATAACTAATGGCGTGCGAGCTCCCTCATTCACTTGATGTTGTATTTAGTTGATTGATAAAACCTAATTATTATTATTATAATGACCTGTTGTAAAGGCAAATTGGAGATGTACTATATATGTCTAATGCAATAAATTTTGATCTAATCTAATCTAATCTAACAGGTTTGATCGCGAGATTAATTTCACACGAAATAAAAATGCGTCAACCATTCTGTGCTTTAATGCTAGGTCTCTGAAAAATAGGAAAAGAAGCGCTGAAATCGCGAGTCTGTTTCAAGAAAATCAAGCTGATATTGTGGGCATTAATGAAACTTTGCTATCGCCCGATATAATGGACCATGAATTTGTACCGCCTTCTTATGTGGTGTTCCGCAAGGACCGAGTCGCAAGGTGGGCGGCCGGCGGTGTCCTGCTCGCAATTCGCCCTCATCTCCAGCCAAAGCGTGCCGACCAATTTGAGTCAGGCAGTTTTTTATTTTTAGATCAAAATTTATTTATAGTACATCTCCAATTTGTCTTTACAACAAGTCAATAAAATAGCATTATTCTACATCGAAATTTTTAAGTGTAACATTCAGTGATTGAGGGAGCTCGCACGCCATTGATTTTTGGCGGGGGTGGGCAAGCATTTAACTACCCCTCCGCGTTTACCACAGGGGAAACCACCCCTGAAAACCCTGTAGCTCAGTTCACTCTGTTAATTCTAAGAGCTTAAACTTGCATCTCCAATATTCGTTCATATCATAAAATTGATATTTCAGCATTACATATTTGACACTTTTAACAAAGTTGCCATATGATTGCTGAATGATGAATTTCTGCGGCGCCTGCCATTGGCTGAAAAAATGATATCAGCCAAATTTGGGAAAACTGGAAAAACGAATTTCTTGCATTAGTAGATAAATGTATTCCTGTGAAAAAAAAAATGCGTGCAAATACGCAGCAGCTAATTCCCTGGCAGACAGAAGAACTCACCAAACAAGTTTCTAAAAGAAATGATGATTTTTTAAATACAGTTGAACCCAAAAATAAAAAAATTAATTGGGTGGTGCCTTCTGTACCACCAATAAAGGGCACAGGCCGACAAGACTTTGACTTGGCCTGACCCTAAATAAAAATAAAGAAGAAAAAAAATGAACAGTTTCAAAAATGGCAAAAAGTGAAAAGCTCTGATGCCAGGGAAAAGTACTTGGCTGCTCGCCAAAAAGTGCAACAAGAACTAAGGCGCACAAAGGATGCTTGGTTCTGGAAACCTGGCTCTGGCCAAAATGGCTCTAAAAATTTTTGGAAATATATAAACAGTCGCAGCAAAGTCCCAATCACAAATTCTAGTTTCTGCGTACGATATTCCTAGTGCAAAACCGAAACCTATTTTGGAAATATAGTGATAGTGTATAGATACAAGGAGAGTAACTAGACATAATCAGACTAACCTTTGCTGTAATGATTTGGTTGTGAAAGAAGTTGAGCTTAAGAAATTTGTAGAAAACTCAGAAATCATGATTCCCAGAATTTTCAATGCATTACCGAAATCTCTTAAAATCCTCAAAAATGACGAGGTTCTTGTAAAAATGGTGAAAGTTTTTGTATTAGAACATCAATTCTATGACCTGAACGAATTTTATCGTTTAAATAATGATTTATTGACTTATTTTAAAAAGTGTTTATTACTATGTATATTATGTGGTATACATATATTATAATGCTTAACAAAATAAACAAATCTTCAATCTTGAATGGAACAGTGACAGCTCTAATAAGTAATAAATTCCTCATAACATTTGCTTAAAATTAGAGCTATTGCTCTAAGTAAGCTTAGAGCAATTTTTCAATTTCAAATATTCTTTATTTTGTTAAGCATTAATTTGCAGTAGCAATAATACTTTTTAAAATAAGTCAAGATACAGAGCATTGTTCAAACGATAAAACTTGTTTAAGTCATAGAATTGGTGTTGAAGTATTTATTTATTTATTCTCCATACAATTATTCTGATACAATGAATATACAATACACAACATCTTACATCAAGTCAAATAAAATTTAAAAAACTAAAAATACATGTTAAGAATGTTGATGAAGTACAATAGTTTTCACTTCCTTCACAAGTTCCTCGTCATTTTCGAGGTTTTTCAGATTCTTTGGCAGCGCATTAAAAATTTTTGGAATCATATAATTAGGGTTTTCTACATACTTTTTGAGAGCAATATCCCTTACCACTAGGTCATTTATACACAGATTAGTTTGATTATGTCGTGTCACCCGCCTCGTGTCGACACTATCACTATATTTTTGGAAGAGGTGACGATTCCGCACTAGAAATTTAATACATTCAAGTATATATAGAGAAGGCACAGTCATAATATTATATTTTATAAATAATGGTTTACGTGTATCTAGGGCTTTGTTTGATCTCCAATATGGGACACCCGCCATTGCTCTCAAGGCTCTTTTTTGTGCTCGAAAAACAGTCTCCGCTTCAGTTTGTGCGGCTACAGGGCTGGATATATTCTGAATTTACGCTTTTAATTTTCTTTAAATGGTTTATGATATTTAAAAAATTTAAACTGGGTGAACCTCGTGTCAAAGAAAATATAAAGGAAAACTGACCCCAAAAGGCAACCTGTAGTCAGCATTCAATCAATAATATTTAGATAAGATTAGATTTATTTATCAAATAACATTATTTTCTAGCAACAAGCCCCAAATGTAACCATGAACCAGATGGGTCCCATGGGCCAGGGGCAGCAGCAAATGCAACCCCAAGTGCAGGCGCAAGCTGGTCAACAGGCTTACAGTCGAGGAATGCAGATGCCAAGTCAGTTCCAACAGCAGCAGCAACAACAACAAAGAATGCGCCAGCAAATGATGAGCATGGTAAAGTACATAATAATTAACCATTTTAAATGAAATAGATTGTATTCCCTCTTACAATTCTTACAATGTATTTTCAGTTTTCTTTTAAATAATTTATTTTATATTGACTTGCTGAAAGATTTGGATTACATCAATGCATTTTAAATGGAGAATTAATTAATAAAGGCCTGTTTTAAATAGGGTCCAGGTCAACAGCAGCAAACCCAGAACCCTACACTGATGGCACAACTGCAGCGGCAGATGCCGCAAGGCCAAATGGGACAACAGCAGCAGCACAACCCATACCATCAGCCACCACCGTACTAAATCTGAGAACTCGCATTAATTTTTTGTAAACAGGCATGCAATTTTGGGAATCATCATTAAAACAGAATTTTTAAACTTAAAACTCAATTTTATTTTTCCGCATTCTTATATTTCATTGACGTCTATAAGTGAGGCATTTTACAATCTTACTTGAAAGCAGAGGAGAAGCAGAATGATTTATTTTAAAAATTTAAAACACTTGAAGCGGAAGCGTTCATTAGCAAAAGAGAAAAAAAAATGGAGTTAGGTAATTGCAATTTGCTTCTTTGTATTTTGGTTGCATTTAATTTTGGTTTGTATTAGGGTTGCGTTCAATTTTGGCTTATTGTTTTTGTATGCCTAAATAGAAAAGAAAAAAAATACTTGAGAAGTAGGAGGAGGGGCTCAAAGACCAGACAAGGACCAACGTTTGTTTCAAATTTACAAAATTGCTGCATTCAATATGATTTGGGAAGTACGAATTAGTAAGAGGAGACACCTAACACAAAAACCAATAACTTTCCCACTCAAATAATCACATGTTGATATTTTTCTCAGCAGCTGGATAAAAGGTCGAGTTGCTGGGTGAGTCTTGTTTAGGGCAATTATTATTTGGTAGCACAGAAAATTTTGAATTAACCAGAAGTAAAATTAATAAGTTACGCAGAAGAAGGCAGATGGGTTTTCGAAGGCCAGTCGCGTCATTTAAGATGCTGCTTCTCTTCCCATTGAAAAATCAGTGTGCCCTAGGGTGCAATTTTGACTCAAGACCCTAGGTTGCACTCGGCGAGGAGAAAGAAGGAATCAAGCGGTAAACTTTATTGGCAGATTGATGCGGCGTCTCCAAAGCGCAGAAGGGTCCAGCCTTGTACAGGAGGGGGATCACATGGCATACTTGCGAGTCCATTCGCGGGCCAGTTCACTGTACTTTTCGCGATCCATTTTGTATATCCGGGCAATCTCCGGAACGAGGGGGTCGTCTGGGTTGGGGTCACACAGCAACGAGCAGATGGAGAGCAGCACCTTGCTTATGGTCAGTGCTGGCGACCATTGAGACCGCAAGATGTCCAGGCAGATGCTGCCATTGCTATTGATATTAGGGTGGTAGATTCTGCAACAAGAAAAATAAAAATTAATACCTTACAAAGCATACAAAATATTTTTTTTTTAAAGAATTTTTAGCTACTTCAATTTTTTAATCGCCAAGGACAAGAAAGCAGAGAATTGAATATAAAAATTAAATGTTCCGTCTCTTTTGATGTCGGGCGTTTTAGCAGGCATCTGCTAGTAGTAAACCCTTTCTTCTCTTTTTTCCAATTTAAAATTTCTTGTATTGACCGAGAAGAATAAATAATAATAAAATTTCACCTCGGTAGAAATATAAAATGCTAAAAAAATCTTTAAATAGCCAAGGATATATTTGAACTCTTCTGAAACTTTCAAAGTTTTATTTTGAGCTGAACTGTTCTTAAAAAGAAATTACAAAAATGGTAAAATTACCATTTTTAAAATCATCTTGTCAAAAAATGATCGCTTTTGCGATTTGTCCATCCTTTCAATTTGGATTTCAGAACAAGGAGTCCTGGCCTAACAAAAATGTACCGTTTATGACAGTATTTGTTTAAGAAATTTCGCTATCAAATGACCTGAAACTGACAGTTTTCTTTCAGATAAGTATTCTGTTCAATTCTCCCAGATTAATAAATAAAATTGCTTTCCGTGATCACAATAAGATGGTATGCCATTGACTTCCTTTTGCAACCGGGATCGCGATTGTCTTTTCAAAAATATGGTGCACTTCAAGATTTCTTTATTTTGTTAAGCATTATATACCACATAACATACATAGTAATAACAGCTTTTTAAAATAAGTCAGTGTTTTATTTATACGAAAAAATTCGTTCAAGTCATAGAATTTGTGCTCTAATACAAAAGCTTTTTGCGATTTTGTCATCCTTGGATTTTGGTGTGCAGTGTTATATTTTAATGTATTGCAGATTAACCATTTTATACATCAGATGACTGAAATTATATTATTACATACAGGGTGTCAACAAAATACTTCGCGGATGTTGACGGCTCGCTTCGGGCGAACCATTGGTCCAATTTGAAAAATCCGGCCAGATTCGAAAAGACCAACTTCCTCCGAATTTGACTGGCATATTTAGAATTTAGTCTTTCAATTGTTTTACTTTCAATTCAATAGATTTTTATTCCATTTTAGATCAAATATTTACAACGATCTTTAGAATAAGTCTAGTTATATAATTAATTCAACATTCCACATTCATTCAAGTTTACACAGCAGATACTCATGGATATTATAAGATAATTTGACGTAGAACAACTTCTTCGCTTCACTAATAAAAATATTAGTATCATTAATTCGCTTCAGTCTTTCCGGAAGCTTGTTAAAGATTTTTGAAATCATAATTTCTGGGCTCTGGGTTGTTAAATTTAGCCGTACAGGAACAGGTAATCCTAGCGTTATGATTTTCATATATGCTGTTTTCAGAATTTTTAATAAAAAGTGCAGGATTTTTTTTTACAAATTTAACACATTCTAACGCATAGAGTGAAAATACTGGCAAGATTTTAAACCTCGCAAACAAGGGGCGGCAGCCCCAGTTGCCAAAACTGACTTTTATCCGGATATTATCCTCTCCAGAGAGGGTAATATTCGGATAATTTTTCGATTTTGGCAGCTGGGGAGGGCCTTACTGGGGTCAAAGACTTCCAGTAGCGCCAGCCAGCCATAGCTCTCGATACTCTCTTTTGAGCTACAAAATCCTTATAAAAGGCGGGTGAGCCTCCCCAGATAACTATCGAGTGAAGTATATGGCTCTGAACATGAGCAAAATAAACTGTACGTAACATTTCTGGTAACACTCTTTGTCTCAGTTTAACAAACAAGTAAATAGTGCTTCTCAACTTAGAGACGATTTGTTCACACTGTGGACGCCAGTTCATTGTATAAGATAGCACTACTCCTAATATTTTAGCATTTTTCACAACTTCAACGTTATTTAATTGGATTTTCGGTGGAACTAACTTTTTTGCTTGAGCCGTATGGACATGGAGGACCTGCGTTTTATTACAATTGTTACCATTGAGCCTTAAACAATTTTTTTCAGCAAAATCTACCATTTCATTATTTGCTTCAACAGATCGACTTTTTAGGTCTTGAAAATTTTTAGCTTTAACTACAACGGAGGAATCATCAGCGAACAGTATTAGTGCAGCAATTACATTTTTAAGCGGCATATCATTTCCATATGCTGAGTAACCAAAGGGACCCAACACTGTTCCCTGCGGAACACCAATCGAGGATTCTTCTACACAAGATTGTATAATAATAATACAGTTTTCACCAGCTTCACTGAAATGACACATTTGAACTATTAATTTGTTTCCTATTCATTAAGAATGATTTCAACCAGGCGCCTTATCATCGAGACCATAAAGACGTAGCTTAGCTAACAGTATCTCAGGCACAAGGCAGCCAAAGGCGTTGGAGAAGTCATATTGTATTACATTAATTTTTTCTCTATTATCAACTGCGGAGTAAATTTCAGCCACTAACTTATATAATAATTGTCGCCTCGCGAAAAAGCAGACTAACTGATGAAACTTAAAGACGTATTAAAAAATCATCATGCACACAATTTTAACGCTAAAAAGAATGAAAACAACTCGAAAAGTTGAAGTAAGATTTGTAATATTTGTAAAGCTACCAATAAATATTCGACTTAGAATTCATTGTAAAAATGTGAAAACGTAGGGTTTTCATATTTGTCACTGAGACTTAATCAAAAAGTCGAAAAAAGTATTTATAAACAGCAAGTACCTCATATTTTTAAATTATTATTATTGTTGTTTATTTGTCCACATTGTTACAAATACATTGTTTACATTCAATTTTTGAAAAACAATTATTAAGAAAAAGAGATTGTTGGACAAAGAGGCATCACCACTAGCAAAAATTTTGCTAAAACTTCCGAGGCCAAGAAGACCCCCATCCGCCATAGTGAGCCTCGGTTGACTTTTTTGTTCTTAAACTGGCACTAATCACAAAGTTTGCCACATGTGGCCTTTCACAGGGTGGGGAACTGTTCCACTGGGCACGTTTTCAGATCGTCCGGAAGGGCATTCCAGGGCCCGACGAGCCTGAAGGAGAAGGCTTCCTCGGCAAACTTGCTCCGGACTCCGGACATCGGCAGGCTGCAGTTTTTTGGGGCCCAGAGGGTCATCTGATCGGAGGGGCCGGCGCTCGGTGATGCGCTCCATGGCGTCGAAGTCGGTGGCGCCGCTGGTGCACCTCTTGAAGAAAACGAGGTCGGTGTACCGGAGGTGCATGTCGAAAGGCATCACCACCTGCTCGTGCACCGGCGGCAGCTGCCGGCCGTGGATGAAGTGGAGCGCCCTTCTTTGCAGCCCTTCGAGTTTGCTGATGTTGACGCCGGAGGTCGGGTGCCAGGCGGGCAGTCCGAAGGTAATGATGGGTTTGACCAGCGACTGGTAGGCCATCCTTTTGACCCTGGGGGTGCACCCTTTTTTTTGCAAAAGATGCCAAAAAATTAACACTTGAAAATAAAAATCTGAAAATTGCTTGAGGGGCAGATCTTGGACAGTATAACAACGTAATTTTTCAAACTTGTCATTTTCCGGGAAAATGCCCATTTTCACAAGGGGTCAACGTTTTGGACAATATCTCAATTTCTATGGGAGCAAAAGACAAAACACGAAGTGATTCTGAGAGCTGATGAAATTTCCTATCCTATTGTAATGGAAAACATTTCTCCAACTCTAACTGCTTTTCCGGAAAAGTATGGTAAATAATAAGTTTATTTTTTCCAGAGATTATGCGACCCGCAACAAAAAGTCTAAATATTGGCGCAGTACGGAGCCGCTTTGTTCTGCGAAGCCACTTTTCGCTCGGTTCGGCTTCCTTCCAATATTTTCAATTTACCTTTTTGAATCTTGCAAGTTTGTTCGTAAATATCCGCATTATTTTAAAAAGACAAGTGAAGTTCATGGTCACCAGACAAGGGCTAAGAGCGATTTGTATGTTCCGGCCCAGGCTTTGTTAATTTCCAACCAAAACCCTTTGACTTGCATGTCTTCTTTGTATAACAAGTTGCCTGTTTCGGTTCGTTTGGAGCCTCGGTATAAGGTTTTTGAAACCAGTTTGAGGCGTTTTGTTCATGTGCATAAATTTTATGATAGGAAAGAGTTCTTTCAATTTATGAATGCATTGTGATATTGTTCTTTTTCTCTCTTATCATGTACTATGTTGCAAATGGGGCGCGTCGCATTGAGTAATTCCATCGTGGCGACGTCTCATAAGTCAATAAAGAATAATAATAATAATAATAGCCAAAATGTAGCTTGGTTTCTTTGGCAAGACGCCAAGACACTGCTAAAATTTCAAATCTTTTCCTCCAGCCGTTTTTCCGCAATCACCGACATTCCCGACCCCTTTTGGGAAAATCAAAACTTTTGCGGGAAGGCATGTGTGATACATCATTCGATTAGGCATGTCGCAAGGGGATGCGAGAAATCAATTTTATCAAAATCGGATAATTTTTCAAATATTCAGAGCAGATTTTGTAAATTACAAAGTTTCTTTTCAAACTGCTCTGAAAATTTGAAAAATGATCCTTGGTGAGCTTCAAGCTGCAGCCAAGAATTGTTTTTAAATGGACCTAAAAATTAAACCCAACAAGGGAAAGCGAAATTCAAATTCAAGCACCTATGTAGTTATAATTTATTTACCTAGTGGTGAACGCCACCTTTGGTGGCTTGAAGGGATAATCTGTAGGGAAGTGAATGGTGAGGAAAAAGACGCCGCCTTGGTAAGGGCTGTCGGGGGGGCCCATAATGGTGGCTTGCCAGTGGAAAAGGTCGTCGCCGACGGGTCCTGCCGAGCATTGGGCTGGCGGGTCTCTGCCAAGGTCCTGCAACTCCTTGTTGATCCGCTTCAGCGCCATCTTTGATCAAATATATCTGCAAATTAAGTAAACCAAGAAATATCAAATCAAAACAGAGGAAACAAAACAGAAGCGCCGGTACAGTAGAAATACCGGGCAGCTTTAAAGAAAACTGAGGTTCAATGCTCAATTGGGCACCGTGTTATTATTTATTATTTTTCGTTACAAAATTAACATCAAATTAATATTATTGACAATCATGACGTGTGATTTTAAATAATTTGCATAGCCAATAATGAAATATTTACTAACCCACATAATCGTTTTGACACTTGTCAAAATTTTGTGCGTCGGCTAACATGTTATCAACACAATATGCCAAAATCTTGCCCCCAAGCAAAGCTTTTTGATATATTTTTTCCACAAAATGATAATTTAAGACGGAATTCAACAATATTAACCAACATTAAACTAAACATTAAAATCTCTCATACATAGAGTCCAAAACTTTTTTTAATTTATTTCTTCTCGGATCCATTCAATACACAGTCATGGGGGTGGTGCGCATTCGCCAAGTAGTGAGGTGTTGATTTGAGCTGGTGACTTTTCCGAGACCCTGGCGGTTGGTGGACGTCGAGTTGGCCCTTGAGTGGTGACTTTTCTCTTTCTTGAGTGCGTGAAGACACCCCAGAAGTGAAGGTGGCCCTCTTCATCGCTTTTAATTTATGAGAAATCTGCTCGCAAAAATCATGCCGGACGACTACTATGCGATTCTGCCGCCTGTCATGAGGCGCCCGTTTGATGATCAGGGTGCTCTCACTCGCATCTGCTGGACGCTGGCCGAAGTCCTGAGAGAGCTTCAGGCCCTTTCCCATCGAGAGGAGTCCCCTGAACACAAAATCATCGAGAAAATGGAACGTGAATATCGAAATTTTTTGGTCTGACAAAAGGAGAGAAAAGGAGGCATGGCAGCAATACAAGATTCAAGATATGTTTATTTTGTTAAGCACTATATACCACATAATATACATAATAAAAACCACTTTTTAAAATAAGTCAATATACATCATTATTTAAACGATAAAATTCGTTCAGGTCATAGAATTGATGTTCTAATACAAAAGCTTTCACCGTTTTTACAAGAACCTCGTCATTCTCAAGGACTATTAAAGATTTAGGTAATGCATTATTTAAAATTCTGGGAATCATGATTTCTGGGTTTTCTACAGATTTCTTGAGCTTAACTTCTTTCACAACCAAATCGTTACAGCAAAGGTTAGTCTGATTATGTCTAGTTACTCTCCTTTTATCTACACTATCACAACATTTTCGAAATAGGTTTCGGTTTTGCACTAAGAATTTTATACATTCAAGTATATACAACGATGGCAAAGTCATGATATTATAATTAACAAATAAAAAACCCCAGCAGCAAATCTCTGCAAAAAATCGCGTAAATAAATTCAAAATATTAAACATAAATGTAAGAGGCTTAAAGACACCTGAAAAATTTACTGAATTTCAAGATTTTGTTCAAAATTTGAAAGAGAGACCCGACATAAGTGTAGTTACAGAACACTGGCTCGACTCCAGTGAAGTGGGAAACTTTTACCTTGAGGTTTGTAACTTATTGCTTCTTTTGGTCGTAATATTAAAAAATACGAAAGAGGTGGGGTATTAATTTTCAAAAATAAACTTCTGAAGGCCACACAAAAAACCATTAAAATGTTCTCAATGGAAATGTTTTTCGAATTTTGTGCCAGCAAACTAACTTTGGGTTCAGAGAATATTAATGTAATTGGTGTCTACCGTCCCAGTAATCCAAAATCAAATAGTAAAATTACGGATTTTTCTTGAACATCTGGATACAATTCTTATGCAAAATAGAAATAGTGGCCATGTGATATTAGCAGGTGATCTCAATATTGACTTGATGAGTAAAAGTGAGCATAGTATAAAATTAAGGGAGATTATGAAATTTCATAATTATAATCTGTTAAATGATAATGAATTAACTAGAATCAATCAGAGCGGAGGTACAATACTAGATCATGTTTACGCCAATTTTAAATTAGAGAGCACATTTACAATAATTCCGATACACTTCTCAGACCATAGTGCCGTCTCTGTTGTGACTGACCTTCCAGTCGAAAAAATTAAGGATGCTTTCAAATATGTTAGAAGCTACACAGATGAGAATTACCTAAATTTCTTCTCTATTCTTGAACAAGAAAACTGGGAACAAGTTTACCATACTAATTCAATTGATAATAAGAGTAAAATATTTATGGAAACTCTTGTATCACACTTTGAAAAGTCGTTCCCTTTGAAAAGTGTTATACAAAGGGCAAATCACTAATCAGATGGGTAAAATTAAGCTGACAGAGGATACAAAAAAACTACAAAGGGAGATGATTTCACTCAGTAAAGAAATTAATTCTAATCTAGACTTTAACTTAAAACTGGATATGAAACAAAAACGTTTAAAGAGGGAAGTTGTGAGTATAACATACAAAAAGAAAGTAAAAAGGTCAATGATAATAAAATACTAGGAGCAAAAAATAAATCCAGCGCAGCATGGAAACTTATAAATTCTCAATCTGGTAAAAACAAAAATGTAGAGTTGATACAGGAACTTAATAATGGAACAAGAGAAATAATCAAATTAAACATTGCTAATGCCTGAATAACGGATTTATTGAACCGGAGCCTGATGTAAATAATGGGAATATTCATGATTGCTCGAAACTCATAGGTGATATATGTGTTACACAAGATTTACAATTGATGGCAGAATTTGAAATTTATAGTATTATTAATAACCTCTCATCCAAAACCTCCTCAGGGTGGGATGGAATATCAACTACAGTCTTAAAGAAAATTTCTAAATACATAACAGCCCCGCTTACTCATCTTATTAATGTATCATTCACGGAAGGTAAATTTCCCGAAAATATGAAACTAGCAAAAATTATACCATTGTTTAAAAAAGGAGAAAAAGAAGACCCTTCAAAATTATAGACCAATTGCGATTACATCATCACTATCAAAAGTGTATGAGAAAGCTTTTTTAAATATACTGGAATATCCAAATACTTGAACAACATGGATTTAGAAAGGGATTTTTTTTTTTTTGGGTCAGGCCAAGACAAAGTGTCTTGTCGGCCTGTGCCCTTATTGAGCTTGCGGAAGGCAAGCTCCAATCTCAAATACTGTAACCGCTCTATATAGTTATGTAACATCTTTGTAGGAATCAGTAGAGGCAAAAGAAAAAGTGAATGTTATCTTGTATGATTTCTCTAATTGTTTGATTTAACCTAATTATAATGACCTGTTGTAAAGGCAAATTGGAGATGCACTATATATGTCTAATGCAATAAATTTTGATCTAATCTAATTTAATCTATTAATGCATTTGGCACTCTTCATCCTCCTCTCCTTGTATATAAATTAAAACAATACGGTCTAAATGAGAACTTGCTCTCGTGGTTGGTCTGCTTCTTATCAAATAGGAAACAATTTGTACAGCTTAAGACCCTTGGTTGTGATGGATATACTAGAAAGTAACAGGGGTGTGCCGCAAGGCACAGTTCTCGGCCCAATTGGGTTTTCCATGTATTTAAATAAATAAATAAATGATATTCCCCTTGCTGTATTATTGGCCCTCCTGATTTTGATCGCCGACGACTATAGTCAAGGGAGAGTCTTTCCCTGAGGTCAATACTAAAACGGTGGCTGTCAATGAAAGTTTTGTCAGCTTTGCTAATGATAATTTTTTGAGGATTAATTCAGAAAAATCAAAACTATTACAAATACACTGTGATAAGTGAGGGGAGTTTTTGGATAAAGTAATAGAACAAGATAATTCCATTGAAGAAAAAGCTAATTTTTTTAAAAATATCATGAAAATTTCTCCAATCTATAAATTCAATTTTTGTTTTCGAACCATGAAGTATAATTTTTTGGTGTAAACTTGAATTCTCTTGTATAACATTGAATAATTGTCAATAAATAAAAAAAAATTTGCACTAAAAACCTAATTATTTGAATTTTAACACCTAATCCAACAATTACAAAACCTTATTTTTAAAATTAAAATAATTGGAGAAAAATTGGTTCAGAACAACAGAATGTTGTCAAATTATTATTCCGCATTATTGGTTACCAATATTTCTGCAACATTTAATCCTGTGATTTTCATATAGCTAAAATATTTTCACAATAATTCAATTATTGGCACAATATTTTCGTAATATTGTAACAATATTTTTTTTCTACCAGGGATTGATGTGTTTATGTTAATGTATAACATCAGGTGCGAGAAAATAACACGAGCATGAAACCCAGAGGAGGCAGGAAGGATATTACCCGTTCTCCTTCGGAACACCAAACATTAGTACAATTTGTCATCAATTGATTTGGCATTTTTCGGGCGAGTTTGACGTTTCATTTCTTTCTTTTTAGTTAGCCGAGCTTGGAGGGGCTCGGGAATCATAACAAATGAATTGCCTTGTTTCGACAACATTGGCGGCCGTCTTTGCAAATATTCTGCGAGTAAAGAGATTTTCGCCGTTGAAAAGATCGCGATTCGGATTCGGCCGTGTGTCGGCCTCATACAGCTGCGAAGAACGAGCTGACGTGCTCGGAGATTACGTTTTCGACGCGTTCAGCGGTCGCGTGCAACACCGAATTGCGCCAAAAACGTGCAGCTACGCGTAGATGATCAAATTACCTAATAGGAAGAAGGGCCGACTCCTCCGCGCGTTCAAAATCGGCAAAATAAGCAGGCCAACGACAGCGAGCTAGAGCACCAACAAAATGGACTCCGCTCCTTTCCCGTTTCTGGGACGATTTTGGAGTTTTTGAACTTGCCGCCACGTGAGAATCGCGTACGCTTCTCCGCCATGTTGCTATTGTTGCTCCAGGCCCAGGTGAAGCGAGTCGCCTCCTTGCGAGTCGCGCTCCGGAGTCGCCAAGGAGTTTGGTTCCAAACTCCTTGGGAGTCGCGATATTGGTTGCGATTCTGTTTCGAATTCTGAAAACAGCGCCAACAGCGGCCACAAATTGTGCAGATTGAATTTTGCATCTCTTTCAGAATATGAGTATAAAATCAAATATTTTATCTTGTTGGAAATATTTATTAAAATTTGCCTACAAATTAAAAATGCAAAATCTGATGATAAAATTTACCCATAGTTTCTCCCGCCAAAAGACAAAGTAAAAAAAATTGACGACCGCGGTCCGCGGTGGGCGCGGTGCGATTAAAGTCCGCCAGCAACTCCGCGCTCCGCGCTGCGCTTGGTGCTTATTCTCGGTCAGGTCGTCGGTCGTCAGGTGCGGATTTTGCATAAATCAATTGGCACAAATCTGCAATATTCAGCACCAATCTTGCGTGCGGATCTATTTTCAAGAGCATTTGTATTTATTCGTAAAGCATACGTCGTGCTATGCTCGTTTGTAATCCGATTTCTTGTTAAAAATTTGCCGGTACAAACCTAAGCAGTCCAAGATGTCTGACGCCGAAGAGGACTTCATGTGCGAGGATGAAGAAGATTATGGGCTGGTAAAACTTTGTCTGCCGTATTTTCGTTTAAAATTTTGTTTGCATGTACTGGAAATGAACATCAAACCAATTGACCCTTTGTCTTAAATATCAAAATTTAGGAATGTCAGTTTTAGATTTTTCTAAAAACATGCTGAGTCTTTCCTTATGTATACATAGGCGCTTCTAGGTATATTTACTGTCTGAGAAGAATAAATGATAGTAATCTGTACGTGAATGTACATTGAAATTTACATTTATAAATCTATTATACATATTACCTCATAATATATTGTAAAAGATTTTTGAAATCACAGTTCTTGGGTTCTGTGAATCTGTGTTGTTAATTTAGCCGTACAAGTTTTATAAACAGATATTCCATGGAAATAGGAATAATAATCATATTTTCATACTGTTCAACTTTCTGAATTTTTTACAAGTGAGTTTTTAAGTAAAAGACTAACTAATTATTGAAATTTTAGGAATATTCTGAAGATAGCAACTCTGAGCCGGACGTTGATTTGGAAAATCAGTACTACAACTCTAAATCTTTAAAAGAGGATGATCCTAATGCTGCCCTGGCTTCGTTTCAAAAGGTTTTGGATTTAGAAGGTGGTGAGAAAGGAGAATGGGGTTTCAAAGCACTCAAGCAGATGATCAAAATCAACTTTAAATTGGTCTGATGCATAAAATTTAAATGTGAAGATATTTTAATTTATAAATTTTCCAATTAGAGCAATTATAAGGAGATGATGGTCAGGTATAAGCAACTGCTTACTTACATCAAGAGTGCAGTCACAAGGAACCACAGTGAGAAGTCTATCAATTCAATTTTGGACTACATCTCCACTTCTAAAAATGTAATACAAAAATTTAAAAATCCAGTAAATTGTATCATGCTCATTTAGTTTGATTTCCAGATGGAACTTCTCCAAGACTTTTATGAAACTACTCTAGATGCGTTGAAAGATGCCAAGAATGATAGATTATGGTTTAAAACTAACACTAAGTTGGGGAAATTGTATTTTGATAGAGAGGACTACACAAAGCTTGCCAAAATTCTAAAGCAACTTCACCAATCATGCCAGACTGATGACGGAGAGGATGACTTGAAGAAGGGCACCCAGTTGTTAGAAATTTACGCCCTTGAGATTCAGATGTACACAGCTCAGAAGAACAACAAAAAGCTCAAAACACTTTACGAGCAGTCATTGCACATTAAGTCGGCCATCCCCCATCCTTTAATCATGGGCGTCATTAGAGGTTTTCATTGTCCATAACAGGAAATTTTGTTAATTATAACCATCAACTTCCAGAATGTGGGGGTAAAATGCATCTGAGAGAGGGCGAGTTTGAAAAAGCCCACACAGATTTCTTCGAGGCGTTCAAAAATTACGATGAGTCGGGTAGTCCAAGACGTACCACATGCCTCAAATACTTAGTACTTGCAAATATGTAAGCAAGTTGATTTGGTCCAGAATCTTCAATAGAATTCTAATACTTTACAGGTTAATGAAATCGGGCATCAATCCCTTCGATTCCCAAGAAGCCAAACCTTATAAAAACGATCCTGAAATTCTAGCAATGACTAATCTAGTTTCAGCCTACCAAAATAATGACATTAATGAGTTTGAAAAAATCCTTAAGGAGAACAGAAAGAACATCATGTACGACCCTTTCATTAGAGAGCATATAGAAGGTTTGGTAACAAATTAGTATGGTTACCTGTCTAATTTTAGTAAACTTAGATCTTTTGAGGAATATAAGAACTCAGGTTCTGATCAAGCTTATCAAGCCTTATACTAGAATACACATCCCATTTATTTCGAAGGAATTGAACATTGATGCCAATGAAGTTGAAAGTCTCCTAGTGTCGTGCATTCTTGACAAGTAAGAGCTTCTTAAATGTTGAAAAAAAAAAATGGAATTTTTAATGGTTGTGCCAAAATTTTAGTGTGATAAGAGGAAGAATTGACCAGGTGAACCAAGTTCTGGAGCTGGACAGGCAGTCGCTGGGTGCTGCTAGGTACTCTGCGCTTGACAAGTGGACGGGCCAGTTGGCAAGTTTACACCAGGCTGTGGTCAACAAGATGGCCTAGCTGTAGTGGTCGTGGCCACTGTGCCAGTGATCTGGACACATTGCGATTCATGACTGAGCTAGTGGTTGTTCCATGGTTTAACCGTTTTACTTTCAACTCTATTTGTCAATACACGCTGCTGCCTGTTTTTTTTTTTTTTTTTATGATTCCCTACTGCAATTATGTTTACCCTTGGTTGATCGGAAAGAAGTGCACGGCCAGAGCTGAAAGCTTTAATACTGCAATTTAAGAAGTGGAATCTTTATACTTGTGGCTATGTACCACCCACAATTCAGGGGGATTGTGCCATAGCTAATTTCCTCGAAAATTTTTGTAATTCAAATTTATTCAATTTCATGAAGATTAATTGTTGCGGTTATTAATGAGACTTACAAAAGTGTCACGTTAAAAGGAAATTAATTTTGTCTCACAAAATCACAGCATTTGTATTAACACAGCGGAGAGATGGTCCTAAAATATAGGTATTATAATATTAACAACAAATTGAGGTTTATTCAAGTGCGCTTGAGGTGATTTAAGATGGCATACTGAATAGGCTATTAATAAATTTATATTAATGAGCATAAAAACTTTATCTTGCAGCTTTATTCGCATTTAGTTTGTCTGAGTGTTGCTCCTGTAGCTTGCTTTGTATTGGTTTGCAAGCATGGTAGCAATTCCAGAGAGGGTTTCCGCAGCCTGAGAGACTGTTAAGTGCAACACCACCTCCTCAGCCCATCCACTTGTCACACATTGCGCCACTCCATGCAGCATGTTAACGTACAATACTGCCTGGCGCAAGTCTCCTAGCTCCATGAAGTACCTGAAAAGAAGGCTTACATAATATTAAGACCCCTTCAAAATATATTTAATCCTACTTGGCCCTGTCCAATAGCTGCTCATTGGTCAGTGAACTGAGATTTCGGGGCTGGTTGACCTTCTCAGTGTGGGAGATGCAGCCAGCAGGACGGACTAAAAGGGCAGAGCGCAAGTATGACGCAATGTAGGGGACCAATGAGTTGTCCTTCTGCTTGAGCAACAACACTTTTCTTGCAATGGGCTCCAGCTCGGTGAAACGCTGCTTCAAGGCGTTTTCAGTGTAAACGCCTCTGTTGAACACTGGAGCTGGAATGCTATTGACCACTTTCTGAACAAATTCCTTTTGGACAGCATCATTCCCAAGGATCTGGATGATGTAGTGCTTGATGGGCTGCAGCTGGTGCTTCCAGCTAAGCTGCGGGAATGGGTCAGTGGTCAGCGCTAACTGCAGTTTGAAGCATGTGTTTGCAAAACCAAAGACATCACCAAATTTCTTAATATTCAGCCCATGTCCTGAAAATTAATCAGTTATATTTTCAATTCCTAATTTTAAGTTATACGTTTGATGCTAGGCCCAAGTTCAGCAAGCTCCCCAACCATATGAAGCTTCCAATTTTCGACACCATTGTTCATATTGTCAGCCTTCTCTTTTAACTCGCGGTCAAAGGTAAACTTCTTAGCTCGCAAGCTGGCCTCATGATTTTTGGTTGCTTTCTGAATGCAATCTTGTCTTTCCTCAAGCACCTTCTGCTCTAGTTTTTTTGTCAGCTGCGTCCTCTAAAAAAATTGAATTCTGTAAGCCACATATGAAAATAATAAAATGGTTAGTGTATCTACCTGGAAATAATTTTTTTCATCCAGACTCTTTCTCAGATCCTCTTCTTTGCAGTCTAAGAGAGCGCCAAGCCTTTGCCTCTCGCCTTCCTTGCCAAAAAACTTTTTGAGCTTGATAAACCGTTTGTTCAAATCATCAGCCTTTGTTTTACAAATTGAAAATGTTTTCTAATTTATGCGCTTATATTTTTTAATATAAATTTACTATTTGTTTTTCAGTCTTGGCACGGAACTGCTCCAATTGCAGAGCAAGTGACCGGTTGTAAAGCTCTTGTGTCTCCATGCTGCATAGGCCAGCCAATGAAAAACTCATATCCTCCTGAATTATAAAATAAATATCTATTTGTGATATATATATATATATATATATATATATATATATATATATATATATATATATATATATATATATATATATATATTTGAACCTCCATATCAGCAGTCAGTCTGATGACTTGGCTAAGTAGGGCGTCTGGAGGACCAGAGCTGTTTACAGAATGGCTCAAAAAGTCTTCGACCTCCTTGAGCTCTCTATGCGCCTCTTTAAGTCCGTTTTTTGCTTTCTCGATCGCTTCCTTCGACAACGGGATTATGGAGCAACACAGTTCTCCGAGAATTCTTCCCAGAGCATTCATTTGATTTCTGCAAATTTGTTTAATTTTAAATTGAAAATTTAATTTCTATCACCGTAGAGAACTACGAATGTTTTTCCAAAAAATTTTGCATTGATATTTTGTGTTCTGATGCCTGATTGTGTTATTTTGTAGAGTACTTATATATTTATCCTCCATTCAAGCGATAATATTAAACCTAAAAAAAATTGAGATGTGTATACAGACAATAATTATTTATTCTTCTCGGTCACCCCCGTCTCCAACAATAAATTCGGCCGCGGCGCATGACCGTGCCATCGTTGTATATACTTGAATGTATAAAATTCTTAGTGCAAAACAGAAATCTATTTCGGAAATATAGTGATACTGTAGATACGAGGAGAGTGACTAGACATAATCAGACTAACCTTTGCTGTAACGATTTGGTTGTGAAAGAAGTTAAGCTCAAGAAAACTGTAGAAAACCCAGAAATCATGATCCCCAGAATTTTTAATGCATTACCTAAATCTTTAAAAGTCCTTGAAAATGACGAGGCTCTTGTAAAAATGGTGAAAGCTTTTGTATTGGAACATCAATTCTATGACTTGAACGAATTTTATCGTTTAAATAATAATGTATATTGACTTATTTTAAAAAGCTGTTATTACTATGTATATTATGTGGTATATAATGCTTAACAAAATAAACAAATCTTGAATCATTTTCCTTCAAAATCGTGAAGCCCTGGAACGACCTGCCACCCACCCTTAAAGACCGGGTTTCTAAAAAAAAAATTCCCTCCCTCTGCAAGGAGCATTTGTGGCAGTAATTCAAGATCTTGTTGCCAGGTGCAGCACCGGGGTCCCGATCGATGCCCTAAATCAGCCCCTGGGGCCCCCCGAAGCATTATAATTTTTTTGTTTTTTTAGCGTTTTGCGCCAATTGCGGCTCGATGGGGCTCAAGAAGGAAGGGCAGCAAAGTCTCTTTTTATAAATTTCTGCTTCTTTTAGTTTGTGGGCCGCCAGACATCTGGCAACCATGATTATAGATGGAAGATTTTGAAGCGTTTGTGATATTGTTCTTTTTTTTTGATAGTGTGGTTTTACCGCGACGGCCAAGTGCGGCCAAGTCTCTTTTGATGTCAGGCGTTTTAGCAGACATCTGCTATACATAGTTGTAAACCCTTTCTTCTCTTTTTCCATTTAAAAATTCTTTTGTATTGATTGAGAAGAATAAATAACATTTCAATTCAGTCATAAAAATTCTAAATTGGGAAAAAAAGAGAAGAAAGGGTTTACAACAAGCAGATGTCTGCTAAAAACGCCCGCCATCAAAAGGGACTCAGCCGCCGCGGTAATTAAATGAACAAAATAATATTTTAATTAATTAATAAATAAAATTTGTCTCGATTTGACTACGCGCTGCTACACACAGTGATTTAAAGAGAGGCGATTAAAAATTTATAATTTATCGATAGTGTGGGTCACTGCGGCGGCCAGATTCAGATTTTCCCTTTTCTCTTTTCAGGTGTTTAGCAGACTCAAGTCAACTCGATTTTTTTTGTACGGACTTTAGCAATTAATTGAAACGAACAATCACAATAAATGAAAAATCACAAATAAATAACATTACTTGGCTTCCAAAGTATTTTTCTGTGCTTTGATCAAAGTCAACTGAAGATCTCTATCAAATTCCAAAAGTCGCAGAACCATATCGTCGCTGACAGAGTCGTGGCTGGTGCAGTTGCTCAGCTCATGTGCAAATATAACCATCTCCTCGTCAAATGCTAATAATATTTTTTTAAAATAAATTCATTTTCTGAACTATTTTCTAAATACCTTGAACTAACCTGGCCGCCAAGCTGTTTAGAGATACAGCGGCCAAGACGCTACGATCAAGATTAATGGTGAGCTCAGTCAGCAGCTTGTTGGCAGTTTCATAACGCTCAACGGGGTGCATTTCAAGAAGTTCCTCAACGACAGATTTCTTTGACTCTTCCACCGGGAGAACGTGCATCATCGGCAAAGCATTTTCTATGCTCTTACTGTCCTGCTTTCGTTGGGGATCTTTATTATCTTCAAAGAAGACACTAATAAATGGTAGGCCCTGCATCACCCAGGTCACTTTGCTTATTGGGCTTGATTGTGCGGTATAAATTGGAGTGTCTTTCAAAGCAGCTCCATCAATGGTTCTTAACACTGAAGACCCTCTATTGGGAGCCCTGAAATTATTAAGATTCGAATAAAAAGCTTTTTTTAATTGAGAACATTGCAAACTTGGCAATCTGATGGAAAAATTTGGCCCTCAAAGGTAGATTGCTAGCGCTTCGGAGCTGGAGCTGAAATTAGGCTTAATAAAGACACCAGAAGATTCTAAATTAAATTTTGATCTTACCATATTGCAAACAGCAAGAAGCCGGTTTGCGTTTTTCATAGCTGACGTGAGCATTATTTAGTCCTGTGAATTCTGAAAATGAAGATTTTCCTGGTAGAAGTTCGAATTCAAACGATTGTCTGTTTGAGAATATGTACTTGAAAAACAATTGCAATTTTTATTGCCTTTCTCTGTGTTGCCGTTTCCATCAGTTTTCTATAAAACATTGTTGAAATATATTATGTATAATACAAAATGCATACTAGACCTTATTAAGACACAACAATGGGATTCGCAGGCACAAAAACAACACATTTTGGAGGTGTTGAAACGCGATGTTCCATGCTTCCTGACGTTTTTCTGAGGTCTGTGGTCACCAAATCGCAAAAACCTGGGCATATTTTCGGAATCTACATATATGAAACGAGCAGCTTTCCGCCGGTCCCTCTTAATTATGTCGGACGTGAGACCCATTGAGACCGTGCTCAAGACTGGTCGAGACCAACCATCCACCATCCCATCCCCAGCACTAGTGAGAGTGAGGAGGGCAATTGGAGGAGGGTGAGCGTTTGAGATGAAGCTGCTTCTCCACTGCGATGCACTGAGGGTGTTTTCCAAGGAGGTTTCCCTTAACTTTTACACTCAGGACTCAGGGCATATCTCGATGATCCTGAGGGTGAAAACTTAAGTGTAGTTAGTGGAGACGGCGCATGAGAGTGTAGAGTGTAGAGTAGGGATAGTAGAGCTCTGGGATACGAATAAGGGCGGGGCTTAGGTACCAGCTCCCATTTGATTACATTGTACCAGTTTAACATTGCGGGTATGGGGGGGCTCCGCCTTTCTTCGTATCCCATGGTTCTACAATCTCTAGTGTAGAGCTGTGAGCTGTAGCTGTAGAGTAGAGCAAGCATTAGCCATTAGCCCCTCCTTTAAGCCCTTTCTGCGCGAAATGCTCATGCGCAGATTATTGTTATTGTTTGGTTTGTGTTTGATGGTTGTTGGTTACGATCAGGGTACGACTTTGTTACATAGTTAGCTGAGTTAGCATTTTGCCACAAAGCAGGGAGATATTCACAGATCTCTGGATCTACTCTACATTTTCAAGTATTAGCCTTAATGTGTATTACATTCTCTAAAAAGGAATCTTAAGCCCTTGTAAGAAGGTTGAAACGCCAAAAAATAACCCGTTTCATGCGACTCAAGTTTTGCAGGTGTAACGACGTAAACATGCAGACAAATTTGTATCTTTAAATTTTTGTCTTAATTAAATATTATAAATATTATTATGTGTTACATATTTACCTGATATGACTTATTGCGAGGCGATTTATTTCAGTATCCTGAGCATTTAGTATCCTTTCAATATTCGTTGTTCAATCAATTTGCAGGTGACTCCTAAAAACGGGACTGTAGAGGAGGATACTCTTTGAAATGAGCATAACTAGGTTGGAAATTAATTTTCGTCGACTGCTCAGCCAATGTGAGCAATTGGCGAAAGACGACGACACGAAGTCTAGCTGGAGACTGGACAAAGTAATTTTTTAAATAACCAACATGAATAATTCATTCAAATTAAATACTAAATTTTTTTATTATCAGTATATTTCAGCCCTCGAAGACATGTTTGCTGATTTGGAAAAGCACCCAGCGTATGTTGAATGTGCTTGTTTTTGTAATTTTTGTGTGTAATTAATCAAACCATAATATTTCTAGGAAAGCCAGTGAAGAGCAAATGGGTGAATACTCTAAGAGAGTTAAATTTTTGAAAAATCTGCGAATGGCAGACCAACTTGTAAGTTAAAAAATAAAAAATAAAAAGTTTTCTTGATAATTTGATCTAGCCAACTGTACCTGAAAAATTGGCAGCTGCTCAAATGGTTTCCCATACCTCTAGTCTGAATGGGGCTGATATTACAACAGAGATTCAGCAGAAGACGAAGGTTAAATACACGACTGAACTCAAGGAGCAGCTGTTCCAAACAGACAAAGGTAAATTAATGAAGAGAGGATATTATTTAAAATAATTATACATCCTTCATAATATCAGGCAATGGATTAAGACAAAGGTCATCTAGGAAGTCGTCCACTGGTGATGATGTCGATGCTCTTCTCAAATACCATCACTCGATGCAGGAGAAAATTGCTGAAGACATGCTTTCCATGACAAAAAACCTGAAGGAACAAACAATTCTTGCCAATTCAATCATCAAGAAAGACATTAAAGTATTTTTAAAGTTAAAGGCATACTTTAGAGTACACAATAAATGTTTATTTCAGGTAACGGAACAATCACAAAATCTGTCTGAACTGAATGCAGCTCGCCTCAAGGTTGAGTCTGAAAAACTGCAAGAGCACAGCAAAAGAGCATGCAAATGTTGGCTCTGGCTTATGATCATTGTCGTCATTTCTGTTTTCATTAGTATGGTCCTTTTCATGAAGTTGATGAAGAAGAAAAGCTACTGATCCAGGAAATCGCCATGAAGATCCAGCCAGCTGTAAGACTTTCCAATTGAATTATTTAATGCATTATCTAAGGTATTCCATGTTGTGTGATACTGTTGTTTTGATGAAATACTACCTTGAATTACAGTGTGACGAAACACATTTTGACGCTTTAAATCTGTTCCAAATCCCAGGAATTAAATAAATTCTTTTCGGAATCAAACTAAATTTTCAGGGTGAATAATATGGAACAATCTCTTTTATTACAAAAACAGCATACCCAGGGGGACTTTGAATTTCAGAAAGAGATTACCAAATTGCCAAATTTATTATGATCCACTTAAATAACAATTATTATTATTTACTTATTTCTTCTCCATTCATATAAATTGAACATCTTACATCAAGTTCACCCGCCTTTGATAATGAGGATTTTGTAGCTCAAAAGAGAGTATTCAGAGCTATGGCTGGCTGGCGCTACTGGAAGTCTTTGACCCCAGTAAGGCCCTGCCGCCCCTTGTATGCGAGGTTTAAAATCTTGCCAGTGTTCTCACTCTATGCGTTAGAATGTGTTAAATTTGTGAAAAAAAATCCTGCACTTTTTATTAAAAATTCTGAAAACGGCATATATGAAAATCATAACACAAGGAATAATCCTGTTTCTATGGAGGATCTATATATAAAACCTGTATGGCTAAATTTAACAACACAGAGCCCAGAAATTATGATTTCAAAAATCTTTAACAAGCTTCTGGAAAGACTGAAGCCAATTAACGATACATATATTTTTATTAGTGAAGCGAAGAAGTTGTTTTACGACAAATTATTTTATGATATCCATGAGTATCTGCTGTGTATTTAAATTAGATTAGATTAGATCAAAATTTATTGCATTAGACATATATAGTACATCTCCAATTTTCCTTTACAATTTAATTCAATTCATTTATTCTCTTGCAACAAGTCAAACGGAAATAGAAAAATCACATTGGGAGGGAATTGGCTGCCAGCTCTAGTAAACAACTTACTATAACTCGTAGGCTCAATTTGGAAGCAAAAGTGTTTCCAAGTTCCAAGTTAAACCTACTCGCCGAACTGGAGCCGTAAACGGGAAAAATTTATCAAAGGGTTACATATATTTAACATGCAATTTTAAACTCAGGAGCTGTACAATTTTTTAACGCAGAAGGCAGGGAATTCCACTGATCCGCGATTCGGAAAGAAAAACTTTGTCGACCGAGCTCTGTGCGCACTTTTGGGAGAATTAAGCGGTGCTCGCCGCCACTATTTCTCATCACTCGGACGGTGGTGATTCTCGCCTTTGCGTCCATGTCAGTTGATGTCAGTCTCGCCACTGGTGCAATTCTTGAAAAACCAAGTCATTAAACTTAAGCTGCTGCTGCACCGACAGCAAACCGTGTTCGGCCGTGTCAGGGATGTGCCGCCTGTACATAAACCTGAGGGCTCTTTTTTGCGCTCACTCGAATTTGTTGATGTTAATATCAATGGAGGGGTGCCACGCGGGGGTGCCGTAGAACAGGAGAGGTTTCAGCATCGTCTGGTAGGCTAACTTTTTCACGCGCGGCGTGCAGCCGTGCAGATTGCGCGCCGCGAACGAGAGCACCTTTGCTGCTTTGCCGCGCGCGATGTCCGTGTGTTTGCTCCACCGCACGTCTTTGGACACTTAAACGCCGAGGAGGCGCTCGTCGGTGACGTACTCGAGGGTGGAGGCGCCGATTTTGTAGACGTCGTGCCGACGTGTCCGGGCACGCGGCACGTCCATCACGTGGCACTTGGCCGGGTTCAGGGACATGCCGTTGTTGTCGCACCACGCTGTCCAGGTCGGCCTGCAGCAGGGCGACGTCCGAGGGTTTCAGAATTTTGCGCCAGAGGGTGGCGTCGTCCGCGTACTGAACCAATTCGGAGTCAATGCAAGCGGGCAGGTCGGCGACGTAGATGTTGAACAGCAGCGGCCCCAGGACGCTGCCCTGGATGACTCCGGACAGGACACTTTCAGGTTCTGATTTTGCTCCTCCATAGACGACGAACTGGCTGCGGTCGGTCAAAAAACTTTTCAGCTAATTTAGGAGGTTGCCGCCGACGCCATAGTGGGCGAGTTTGGACAGCAGACGCGGTCGAAGGCTTTGGCCCAGTTCAAGAAGATGGCGTGGACGTGCGTCCCGCTTCTTTCGTCCAGCCTGCTGGCCCAACTGTCAAAGCAGGTCTTGCACAGTAGTGTGGTGCACGACCTTTTTTGTCTAAACCCATGCTGGCAGTCGGGAATAATTTTGCTCTTGTTTATAAAATTTTCAACCCTGTCTCGCACGCACCTTTCTAATATTTTTCCGACTAATGAAGTTACATTTATGGGGCGATAATTATCAAGGCAGCAATTTTTCCCACTCTTGAAAATAGGAGTGACTGCGGCCGTTTTCCACCCTTGAGGAAGTGCACCCTGCCGAAAAGGGAAAGATTGAAAATTAGAACGAGGCTGGGGGCGAGAGAGGCGGCACATTTAGTTAGCACAATCGCGGGCACGTTGTCGGGGCCGGTCGCTGCATTTGTTTTTATTTGCCGCAGATGCATGGGAGCACACACGCTGCGCTAACAGAAAAATCACTCAACAATTGGGGCCGCCGCGCTGGCAGGTTTTCGTTTCTTCGGGCGGACAATTTTCTTTGGAACGATTTCGGCGAGGGTAACAAAAAACATTTGCTGCCACCTCTCCCAAGCTTAACTCACTGAACAGTAATTAAATTCCAGATTCCACTTTTTTAAAGTCAAAATATTCTCGGCGGGCGCGTCGGGGCTTTTCTCGACGAACAGTTAACTCAAGCACAATTGCATCATGTTCACTGACACAATGGTGACTTCCGCCCTTGAAATTAACCCCTCAGCGTCACAAAGGGCGAGGTCAAGAATTTTGGACGTAGAGTCTGTTGTGCGGGTTGCGTCTTTAATATATTGTGTCAATGAGAGGTCGTCAAAAATATCCAAAAACTCGGCTGCGGGTGCGAGTCCGGAGACTGGCGGGTCATGCGTCCAATTAACGTCCAGATTAAAATCGCTTTACTTCAGCAACTCGTTCGAGTGAATTTATTAGCTCGTCATTGTACGCAGCGGCCGCGTTTGGCTTTCTGTACGCAGAGCCGACCAAGATTTTTAATTTACTTCCAGCCAGAAAGGTTTTCATTGCTCAAAAGAGTTATTCGATTGACCTGCCCTTGCTTAATATTATTGCAATATTAGTTATTTTTGCTGATGACTCTACAATGCTAGTGAAAGATAAAACTGCCTCTGAGGTGAATGAAAAGACAATACAATCCATGGTGAAATATGCAGTCTCTCGTGTTGGGGCACTTTTGTTGATGAGGTGCATCTCGTAGCCATTCATTATGCTGCTTAGTTTCCGGCCAGCTGTCGGCGGAGTCCTGTAGCAGTTTAATGTTTAGATCCCCTAAACAATCATTATTCATTTCCTTGTCGGGTGCCAAATTTTACTCCACAAGGCTTTCCAGGTTATCGAAGGAGGACTCCATGGTGCCGTGATTGGGTGGTCGGTAGACAGTTAACACCGTCAACGTTGTTTTTATCTTTTTTCACTTTTCTGCCAAAAAATGAAATTGTTCTGTAGCCTTTTATGCTGAAGTAATCGCCCCGACACCACCAGTGCTCGTTGAGCGCGATGATGTGTGGTTTTTTGTTTAGGCTGTTGACATGTTCTTCGAAAGATGCTAATTTTTCGGCTTTGAGCAAAACGTTTAAGAACGTTGCAAGAGAATAAATGAATTGAATTAATAGCATTATTTTCAGATTTTTGAGGGATTTGGCGAAATTATTATTAGATTAGATCAAAATTTATTGCATTAGACATATATAATACATCACCAATTTGTCTTTACAACTGCGACAACCTTTAGATCCAGTCTAGGGAACTGGACCAGGGTGCGAATTGCACAGCTTATTAAACCAGCTATTAACTGCTTAATAGCTGGTGCCGGGTCAAGGAACCAACCTACGTGGTTCGGCACTCTGAGTGCGCTCTGACTAAAGCTAGATTATCGCCTTGAATAATTCTATTAATGCATTACTTATTAACTGAGTTTCCACTTTATTATTTTATATCAACTGACTGACCCTCACCCTCAATGCCTTCGGCTCACCCTGAAGACCTCCTGTCCAAGGACACAGCCCGCCGGGAGTGTTGTGGTTCCCAAAGACTTCCTTAATGTCACTTTACTAATATTCGAGGAATCGTAGAAATAAAAGTCAGACCTTATGCTCTGAGAGCCATACAAACACTGTTCTTTTTATTGTGCGGCACCGAGGTGTCGCCTGCTCTGATTTGAGGGGAAATACAGGAGGAGTGGGATAACATATATTACATGAATACAAAATAATATTATTCTTTATTTACAGTAATAATATGGTCGTCACATTCTCCCCCCTTAAAAAAACCAAAAAAACCTGAAAAAAAGAAAAATAGATTGAACTCTGGGTATTAATTAATTTTTTTTGTAAATTTCTGACCCTCAATTTTGAGCAAATAATAAATAAAAAAAAAGAATGAGAAAAAAATTATCAATGCTCTTGCTCACGTGAATTTATTCACTCTGGAATGAATAGCGAGCGCATCATCTAGATTGAATTGCCGGCCGAATATTTGCGTCAATTTTTGCCTGCACGCTGCGCCGTGCCTCATGCAGCCACTGCTGGCCCGCCGCGACTTTCTGCACTCGCTGCCTGCATGCCGAACATTGCCAGACTTGCGAAGCAAGCCAAATTTTTTTATATTATAAAATTTCCTCATATATTAAAAATAAAAATTTCCATTTTGTTTTCTGACAATTGAAAAATTGGCTAGTTTTACTGCCAATAGAGCATAAATTTAAATTCAAGGCTTGCTCCAGCTGCCATATCTAAAATCTCTGGGCGAAGGTGCCCGCATTCCATTGAACTCTTCGGTTCGAAAATTACTATGAGAGTCGGGCGCTCTCATTTAAGTTTTCCCAGTCTATATGTCCAGCCCTTCCGGTCAGGTTTCTGGGAACATTTATTCCGACCCTTTTTGGACTGGTGTGTTCGCCAAACTCGATGCCAGAGGAGGATCGGACCCATCAAGGTGAACTCAATGTGTTCTCTGGCCGTCCGTGCTGCCTCGTGGGCGCATACATGCCACTCACGTTGCTGGAACGCCGCGGCACGCTTGCAAGTGCGTCATGTCTTAAACCCGCTAATGCTCTGGTTTGTTGCAAGTCGGCACGTTGCGACTCAAATTGTGCAGCGGAAGCTGCTGAAGATGCACCAAAACTCTGAGAGTTTTGAATTCCGTAAATTCCAGCAGTGTCTGGCTGCTGTCCTCCAAAGTCACCTTGGAAGTGATCTTGCGCACGGTCACGACCTTGGGAACCAATTCGAGGACCGGCTCATTTTGGCCTGAGGGTCAGTTTCCTTGATTTTAATATTATTATTATTATTATTGATCTTTATTGACGTATGAGGCGTCACCACGATGTAATTACTCATTGCGACGCGCCCCATTTGCAACATAGTACAAAACAAGTAGAAAGTAAAGAGTAAAAAACAACAGAAATATTACAATGTATCAATTAGTTGAAAAAACTCTTCTTTGCTATAAAATTTATGTGAATGAACAAATCGCCTCAAACTACTTTCAAAAATCTTGTATCGAGGCTCTAAGCGAATCGAAACAGGCAATTTGTTATACAAAGCAGCTAAACAAGTCGAAGGGTTCTGCTTAGAAATTAACAAAGTCTGGGCAGCAACATACAAATCACTTTTTGCCCGTGTCTGATAATTATGAACTGCACTCGTCTTTTGGAAATAGTGTGGATATTTAATACCACTTTTGTGGGCAAAAACTACTTTTCATTTATTTTACTTTTGAAGTTTGGCATTTTTCAATAGGTTATTCGTATTAGCGAGCCCCCAATTGCCCTTGCGACAACCTTTAGGGTCCAGCTCTAGGGAACTGGACCAGGGTGCGAATTGCACAGCTTATTAAACCAGCTATTAACTGCTTAATAGCTGGTGCCGGGTCAAGGAACCACAACCTACGTGGTTCGGCACGATGAGTGCGCAGTGACAAAAGCTTATTTGATTATCACCTTGAATAATTCTATTAATGCATTACTTATTAACCGAGTTTCCACTTTATTATTATTGACTACTTATTGACTTGTTGTAAAGACAAATTGGTGATGTATTATATATATGTCTAATGCAATAAATTTTGATCTAATCTAATCTAATCTAATCTAGTTCTCAAATCCAGAAAAGATGCACAAAAAGGTATATTTCAAATTAAAGAACAAAAAATTGCAAAAGAAAGGAATTAATTTTTAATTTTAAATTTCAAACGGATTTTATTTGCAAAGCAAGTCGATGCAAAAATAATATGAAATTTGTATTTGGCAAATTAATTGTGATTGAACTGTGTGTGGCTAGTAGGTGGGCTAAATGTGTGTAGAAAGTGTAATGTGTAACAAAAATATCAACTTAGAAAAATTATAAAAAATAATCGAAATTTCACTCAACGAGTTTTCGGTTCGATTTCACTTAAATGCAAAAACGAGAGGTACTCATCGTGAGCTGGGTGTCGAGATGCTCTCGGCGAGGTGAGCGACCCCTGACGGTGTCGGTGCCTCGAAGGTTGGTTCGGTGTTCGGTCGGACGACCGCCGGCTGAGGGTGGTTGGTGACCGGGGTGGTGGTGGTCACTCTTGAGCACGAAACGCTGCAATTGACGACAGCGCTCCATCCGCAAACGACGCTGGCGGACGGCAGCTCTGCCGGGCCGGACATGAGTTGCGAAAATCAACGGCCCCACACAGGGCACCTGGGTTGTACAAGAATTTGGTTTAGTCGACGCGCCCAATTTTCAAAATGAAACAGGGAAGGAATGGTCCAGAAGGTCTATTCGGGATGCCGCCCAATTAAGGGAAAGATTCTGAAAAGCAACTTACGTTGACTCTTCTCGTTCGTATTCTCCAATCGATGAGAGGAAGCGGCCAACCTGCTGGTATTTCATGTATCTGAATGGAGAATAAATATAAATAAATAAATAAAAATTCCCAATTTTTGTTACAATATTATTTACAATTATTTCCTTCATTGATTCATACTGCAGCTCATGCGTAACAAATAATACAACTCCTCCCCGTCCTTGAGTTGCACGCGCAAATTTAGCTATCTGATTGTGCAATTTAGCTCATAGCTATGATTGTGAAAGGTAAAACTGCCTCTGAGGAGTCTGAGGTGAATGAAAAAAAAATGCCAATTTTTTTTATAGTTGATTGTTTCAACTTGTTTGAAGAAAAATAAACTGAATAAACAATTCAATTCAGTAAATGAAATGAATGAACAATTCAATTCAGTAATTGAAATGAATGAACAATTCAATTCAGTTCAATTACAAGTAGAACTGAAAATTTGAAAACAAAATAATTAAAAAAACATCAGAATGAAGAGTTCAGATCCTATTATATTATTTGTAAAAAGATAAAAAAAAAACTTAACGGTTTAAAGATTTTGAAGTATTACAGCGAGCAGTTGCAAATCTCTGCAACCCACCATCATGCAGCATCAGCATTCACTCTGGTGACGTGGTAGTCGAGTTATTTCTCGCCTCTGTTCTTTCCAATGGCAGAGATGCCAAGAAGGACTGAATTTTGTACCCTCGCGGACAAAGAAGCAACAGAGGGTGAAAATAAATGCAGCAATAATCTCTCACTCTCACTCAATAATAAATTATTTATTGTGTTACATTGAATATTACAGATATAAAAAGCATACAGCACACTTGTAAAAACAATATATGAACTGGTCTATGCGTTTTCAGAGAGAGAATCCCAATAAAATACCGAAAATCGTTATTTTTAGAACGCTTGTTTAACCAAAAGTTGTGTGGCCGGCTGGAAATGACCAATTCTCCCTTTTCAATGTGCACGCAAAAATTACAAAATACGGTAAACTGGCTTGTAAAGATGTGCTAGAAAACCAGTTTTACGACATAGGCGAATTTTTCGCTCTAAATAATTAGTATAATTTCACTTTTTTTACTTGTTTTGCACAAGCTTATACTCTAAAATAATGTATAATTTAGCTTATATCATTAGATAAGATCAAAATTTATTGCTTTAGATATATATAATACATCACCAATTTGTCTTTACAACAAGTCAATAAATAGCAAAATAAAAACTCCAAAAAATTGTAACTTTAACATTCAATAATTGAGTGATTGAGGGAGCTCGCACGCCATTAATAATTTGGCGGGGGTGGGCAAGCATTTGACTACCTCCACGCTACCTACAGGGGAAAACCACCCCCGAAAACCCTGTAGCTGAGTCTCACTCTTCCAAGTTTAAGCACTCGAAATTACATCTCCAATATTCATTCATATCATAGAATTGACACTTTAGCATTACATTAGATTAGATTGGATTAGATCAAAATTTATTGCATTAGACATATGTAATATATCACCAATTTGTCTTTACAACAAGTCAATAAAATAGCAAAATAAAACCTCCAAAAAATTTTAACTATAACATTCAATAAGTGAGTAATTGAGGGAGCGATTGAGGGAGCTCGCACGCCATTGATAATTTGGCGGGGGTGGGCAAGCATTTGACTAACCCTCCTCAAATACTGCAGGGGAAAACCACCCCCGAAAACCCTGCAGCTGAGTCTCACTCTTCCAAATTTAGGCATTCAAATTTACATGTCCAATATTCATTCATATCATAGTATTGACACTTCAGCATTACAAATTTGACACTTTTAACAAAGTTGCCATAGTCAGATATTTCTTTCAGTACATTAGGTAGTTTATTATATACTCTAGCAATCATTATCTCCGGACTCTCATTTACGCAATTTAGTGAGCTTGGCCTTACAAACAAATCAGTGTCGACGTAGCTGGTAGCACGCGTAGTTCGCACTACTACACCTGGAACATCCCGATTCAGTTTAAACTTTTCAGGAAATTTACGCACAAACTTAACGCACTCCAAAATATATAATGAATAGACTGTAAGAACTCCAAATTTCACAAATAGTGGTCTACATGAGTCTAGCGCCGAGTTACTTCTCCAGTATTGAACACCAACCATTGCTCTTATTACTCGCTTCTGCGCTAGAAAAACATCTTTCATGTGTGTAGAGCCACCCCAGATTACAATGGAGTAAAGTATTCGGCTAGCCGCGTACGCATGATAGGCTTGGACTAGAGTTGATTCCAATACTTTGTCTCGCAACATGATAAATAGATACGTAACACTGCGTAACTTGGCAACCACTTCACTGCACTGCTTGCTCCAACTCATTGTATCTGTTATCGTTACTCCAAGAAGGCGACTACTTTTCACCACAGATAATTCCTTATTGTCTCTGAAGACTTCGGGCTGAACTATTTTCTTCGTTTGTGCCGTGTGCATTGTCATTACCATAGACTTGTTTGGGTTCAGTTTTAAGTAATTATCACTCGCATATTTCACCATATCAGAGTTTGCTTCTATTGTCCTTTCATTCACCTCAGAGGCAGTTTTACCTTTCACAATCATAGTTGAGTCATCAGCAAAAATTACTAATATAGCAATTATAATAATCAATGGAAGGTCAATCGAGTACGCACTATATGAAAAGGGGCCCAGTGAGGTACCTTGCGGAACGCCTCTATTGCTTTCCTGCAGCTTTGATTTAATTAACTCTTCTTCAAAATTTTCATTAAGGATTTTAAGCTTAACGAGCTGTTTTCTTTCCAGCAAAAATGACTTGATCCAGTCTAAGGCTTTGCCATTAACACCAAACATTTGTAGTTTGCTTAACAATCTCTCAGGTACTAGTGATCCAAATGCATTTGTAAAATCGTACAAAATTATATTGATCTTTTCTCTCTTATCCAAAGAATCATACACATTTATAACCATATCAAATAGGGCAGTAACTGTTGAACGCTTTTTGAGACTTTTAACAAAGTTGCCATGGTCAGATATTATTTTATTATTGTTGTTTATTTGTCCACATTGTTACAAATACATTGTTTACATTCAATTTTTGAAAAACAATTATTTAATAAAAAGAGATTGTTGGACAAAAAGGCATTTCTTTCAGTGTCAATGTAAAACTAATTACCTAATGGTAATGTGTTATATATTTTGGCAATCATTATCTCCGGACTTTCATTTACGCAATTCATTTACGCAATTTATTAAGCTTGGCCTTACAAACAAATCCGTCTCAACATATGCCGTAGCACGCGTAGTGCGCACTACAACACCTGGATCACGATGATTCAGTTTAAACTTTTCGGCAAATTTACGCATAAATTTAACGCACTCCAAAATATATAATGAATAGACTGTAAGAACTCCAAATTTCACAAATAGTGGTCTACATGAGTCATGAGTCAAGTGCCGAATTACTTCTTCTTGAACGCCTCTTATTACTCGCTTCTGCGCTAGAAAAACATCTTTCATATGTGTAGAGCCACCCCAGATTACAATGGAGTAAAGTGTTCGGCTAGCCGCGTACGCATGATAGGCGTGGGCTGGAGTTGATTCCAATACTTTTTCTCGCAACATGATAAATAAATACGTAACACTGCGCAACTTGGCAACCACTTCACTGCACTGCTTGCTCCAACTCATTGTATCGGTTATCGTTACTCCAAGAAGGCGACTACTTTTCACAACAGATAATTCATTATTGTCAATAAAGACTTCGGGCTGAACTATTTTCCTCGTTTGAGCGGTATGCATTGTCATCACCATAGACTTGTTCGGGTTTAGTTATAAGTAATTATCACTCGCATATTTCACCATATCGGAGTTCGCATTTACTGTTTTTTCATTCACCTCAGAGGCAGTTTTACCTTTCACAATCATAGTTGAGTCATCAGCAAAGATAACTCATATAGCAATTGTAATAATCAATGGGAGGTCAATCGAATACGCACTATACGAAAAGGGGCCCAGTGATGTGATTTACCGGAGGTTCCACAATTTTCTTATTTAAAAAGTTTTCTGCAAATTTTCCAAATATTCTTTTCCATTTCACCATAATTAACAATTTTTTTGATAACATTTTCGTGTTTTTCTTGGTTCAAGTTGCAAGTTTCGTTAATAATTTCCAGGCCCAAATACCGTTAGAGCGTGTTAGATCTCTAAGCTCTTGTTCAGGTAGAGGGGTATCCATTTTTGGCTCCTCCGATTGAGAGTCGGGAGGGGTGCGCCGCGCCACAAATTGAACTAGCGAGCTTCTAGTGTGAGACAGGCTGCGAAGAAGGAGACAGCTTCTTCAAGTCTGAAGGCACTCCAGGTCCGCCTTTTCCGCAGGTACGCACCCTGATCGCACCAAATTACGCATTGGTGCGACCCCCTGACGACAATGATGGACGGTGAAAACAGAGGCAACACAGGGATTTTTTTACATTTTTTACAATTTCCGCCTTCGGTGCAATTAGAGTTTGTCGATGTGAAATTTTCGGCGCGAGTGATTTATTTTATTGGCTGGTGTTTAAATCGCCACCAATTGAAAGTGATTTTTTGGCTGCAATGCACGCGTATACCAAAGAAGGTCTGACCACGGGAGCCACTCCGCCATCTCTCCGTTAATATGGGTCGCCGTCACTTTATTTTTAGGCTGACTAGCAACTCGATCTATTTCCCCGCTGGCGCGCACCTCACGCTTTTCAATCTTTTTTGTCTCCCACGTTTGGCACTCTGGAAATTCAAATGCTCGTTTTAATATTAAAATTTGTATTCATTTTATTCATTTTTTTTTAATTGCCTTAAAAAACAGTACCAAATAATTAAAAAAAATCGAGCTAACTAATTGGATTACTTTGAAATTAATATAAATTCGAAGGTGAGATTTATTGGCGACATCAATATAACATTTTTATTACTTCAAACAGAACCGTCGGTCGCACTAGCTTTAATCTGTGAGAGGGCTCCCCCAATAGATGCTCATCTCTTTCCTTGGCTTTTATTAGTCATCGTTATTTTTGGTGTCCAAGCGCTGATCAGAGCTCTGATTTTGAAGCTTTATTTTGCTAAGCATTTCTATAAGCTTTTTAGATTAACAGTGCATTATTCAAACTATAAAATTAGTTTAAGTTGTAAAATTTATGCTCTAGTACCAAAGATACAAGGACTTTTGAGGATTTTCAAGGATTTTGGCAAGGCATTAAAATTTTTTGGGATACTTAACAGATTTGACATTTTAAGCAGACTACGCGTGGATAATAATATTAACTGTTATTCTCTGTCCAATTAGGATTAGTGATATAATTCCTCCCTCCGCCTCTAATTTCTTTCATTTCGCTTTTCATTTAATAGAAAACCCGCACTGTTAGGAGAGATACATCGCAGAGATTGCGGACTGTGGATGAAAAGTGTCTAAAAATGGTTTATTACGCATATGCCTTTTCAATGATGAGTTACGGGCTGGTGATTTGGGGATGTTCCGAGCAGGCCCGTGAGTCGGTTTTTGTGGCGCAAAAGCGTTTAATTCGTGCGATGGCTGGTGAGCGATATTGGCCCGGTCCAACTCCAGTCTGCTCGGCGCGTCCACTATTTCGGAGATTTGATGTTTTGCCTTTGTACTCGGTATATCTCCTAGAGTCTTGTAAATTCGTTCGGAAGTTTCCACATTACTTTACTAAAACTACGGATGTTCATTTGTATCAAACTAGACGTAGGGATGATTTGTATGTGCCAGTGCAAACTACTGCAATTTCCAGACAAAATCCACTCATTTGCATGTCCCGCTTGTATAACCGACTGCCGGTTGCTATTCGGGTTGAGCCGCGGTATGATCAATTTGTGAGATTGCTGAAGGATTTTGTGTTTGTACATAAATTCTACTCCGAAGCCGATTTTCTTGATTATCTCAAGAATTTGTAAATATGTTTATATTGTTCTCATTCTATCTTTCATTTGACCCAGTTGTAAATAAGTGAATTGCGACGGCGAGATAATATATGTAATATCACTTATGATACAATAAAAGCGAAGCAATAAAAAAAAAAAAAAAAAAAAACATTTAAAACTGGGTGTTGCCAGGAATAATATTATAGAAAGACAAAACTGACTTTTAAAATAGTGCTATTTACTGACGTTTAAATTGCGTTTAAATGGGGCTTGGTTAGCCCCTGATTCCTAGGGCTAATTCCTGATTCCTAACTGCCTACTGTTATAACTGAATAAATTTATGCAACGATGTGACGGTTTGAAGAGATTAAGAAAATCATCTTCCAGAAGTTTAATTTCAAATCTAATAAAAACTTCAAAAAATCCATTAATTAAGATTTTTAAGTTCGTCACCCCTGCGACAGATCAGATACGATACCTGTCGGGCAATACAGATGCGCGGGTTGCATACTCAGCAAAATTGTAGGCGCTATCCATGGACCTAGTAAATCAATGGCGCTATCTTAAAAGATCTTCCTACTTTTTTCATTTGATCCGTTTCGTTTAACGACTCCATACTGATTAAAGTCGACCCGAAATTTTTCAACGATTTTCTCACTGATGCCTGGCCACACGTGGAGATGATTCCATTGTATTGGACATAAAAATCGAACTTATCCAAACGTTACGCTTAATCTGCTCTTCAGAGAAGTTGGCATAGATATTGAAAAAAAAAAGAAATTCGAACTGAGCAAAGTAAAATAATTTTTTTTTTACTTCTTATGCCGAAGGTTTGAGTTTTAAGACTTTTAAGTCATTCTTCTTCCTAGCTATCCAAGTAGACATGGGCTTCTTTTTCTATCCTGCTCCAATGGTCAGGTAATGCGTCGACATCTAACTTAAGTTTGGGGCACCTAAATAGGTGCTCTTTGTCATGAGGTTCTAATCCACATAATTTGCAGGTTGCTGGCTCTTTTATTTATTTTCTGAAAAATTAATTTTAATATTTGTGAAAGTTAAATATTTTTTTATAAGACACAGTTTATAACATGGTTTAGGACTTACGTCTCAAAAAACCTTCGCCAGTGTTGCACAGGAGCTCCACACTACATTATAGTCAATGTAACTGCCAAACCTAATCACCCCGACCTCACATATTATTATTATTCTTTATTAAAATAAATGTTTTGGTACCGATCTCCATGTTGAGGTCGAGAATCATTTAGAAAATATAAACCAAAACCCTGTCGTAATGATGGCTAGAATATTTAACTCCTTCTCAGTAGATGTTAAAATGATTGTTGATTAAAATGAGTTTATTTGTAAAATTAGAGAAATTGTATTATAAATATCAGTATTATAATATGAATGAATTTTTCATCTGTAACTGTATGAAATGTAAATGACGTATTTGTCGTATTTCAAAAGTTGTCAATGCGTTGATAATTTAACGAAATAAAAATGATTCTTATTCTGTTTTGAGTTATGAGTTGTCGCCACCATGACGTATTGCGGCAATCTCCATTTACAAATAAATAAAAAAAAACCAAAGATTTATTTTTCACGTTTCAACGGTTCACCGCGAACGGGTGTCGGGTGTACGTGTGGAGCTAAAAATAACAAGCCAGACAGCATGTTTATTAAAAGACTGGAGCTGTTAATCCATATATTTTTTTATTTACTTCAATTTTAATTACGGCGTATATTGGTTTCAGATAAGCTTTTTCCTTCACCTGAACAGCGAAAACCCAACCGGCCACCGCCATGGACGCAATCAAGAAGAAAATGCAAGCGATGAAGCTTGAAAAGGACACAGCACAAGACAAAGCTGATACCTGTGAACAGCAAGCCAGAGAAGCTAACCTTCGCGCTGACAAGGTGAGAATAGCAACAGTAACATAATGAAATTTTGTACATGTACAATTATTTATTTATTTATTATTTATTTATTCTACTCAAGTCATACAAAAAAAAACTTGAAATTGGAAAAATGAGCAGAAAGGGTATCACAACTAGCAGAGGTCTAGTTCAATTCAATATTCAACAAAGAGGATGATGACACCTTAGGGCAGCATAATCATCCTCAAAAACTAATAGTTGGGACAATAGGGATCATTTATATAACAAGAATATTGGAGGTCACCCCATAATTATTTGAGAAAAACGCATTTGAAATTATCATGGCTCGCTTGTGTAAAATTTTCACTAAAATCGTTTGATTGCATTTTCAGTCAACAATATTGCCTTTGGCCTTTGGCAAGGGTTTATTTTGTGACCCACCAGCATGTTCCTTGACAACCCTGCTAAAATTTGGCACCAGAAAATTGGGCGTAAATATTGACCCAATTGAAATGTGCATAAGTAACAACCAATGACATATTATAAATTTAATTCAAAGGCAATGAACCTTTGTAAAAAATTTACAATTTGCCATACACTACTGGCTAGTCATAATGTTATACTTGGAGAATAATGGTTCTGGCACTGACTTTTTTTTATCGACTCTTAATATTTTTTCTTTCGGGAAACTCCTCTCGAACAACAGAATTAACTTGGACATCAGTTTCTCACACATTAAATCAACATTGCTACATGCATAGATCTCATTCCAGCCTTCAATACTAAGAGAATACAAAAACTAGCCAATTCCTTTCAGAAAATCTTCAAACCATTCTAAAATATTCTTTCACAAGAAAGATTATTTTAGAATAGGAATTTCAAAATTAACAGTAACTGCATCATGGTCACTAAATGAAATATTTGCGACAGATGAGGAAGAGGCGCAATTCAATGTGCTAAAGACATGGTCAATTAAAGTTTGAGATGTGTCAGCAACTCTTGTAAACATACCGCTATTTTTCAGGGATAACTCGTAGTCACCCATTAGATCAAAAAATTTAATTACTTCAGGGTTCGAACGTTTCGGGTCCAAGTTTACATTCAAGTTGCCTAATATAATAAGTTCACCCTCAGGGTCCAGAAACTGCTCTATAGTACTTTCCATATTACTAAGAAATTGGTCCATGCACAAGTTATCAGGATTACTTGGACGATAAATAGCAATAATCCAAATTTTCAATTTCTCTGCCTGGTAGAGCAATTTGTTTTTGGAATAAAAACAATTTTTCTGCAACGAAGAAAAGCCCGATCTCTTCATTTCCACCATTTCCACAATATTTTATAATATATCTTTTAGGTCGGAGAGGACGTGCAGGATCTGAAAAAGAAGCTTACCCAGGTTGAGAATGATCTTATAAGATTCAAAAACGACCTTGTCAGTGCCAACAAGGAGCTAGAGGACAAAGAGAAAGCTCTCACAAACGTAAAAGAAATTTCGAGAAAAAAGGAAAGGAATAAAGTTTTGAAATGCAGGCTGAGAGCGAAATGGCCACCCTCAACAGGAAAGTCCAGCAAATTGAGGAGGATCTTGAGCGCTCTGAGGAGCGTTCTGCTACAGCCCAACAGAAGCTGAAGGAGGCCTCCGAGGCTGCTGACGATGCCGGCCGGTTATTTCATTTCTTAAGAATGAAACATATTATTTATGATTTAAATTTAGATTAAATAAATTCGATTCTGAATAATATAAAATTTAAAAAAATCCTCCTTCAGTTCATAAAAAAGATTTTGATTTTATTTCAGTATGTGCAAAGTATTGGAGAACAGGAGTCAGCAGGATGAGGAGAGGATGGAGCAGCTAAACAATCAGCTTAAGGAAGCCCGTCTCCTTGCTGAAGACGCTGACGGCAAGTCCGACGAGGTATGCTCTCTACACGATAGAAACGTCAACCTTCTCCAATACTAACAAAGACCATATAAAACCCAAAGGTTTCCCGCAAGCTGGCCTTTGTTGAAGATGAGCTTGAGGTAGCTGAGGACCGTGTCAAGACCGGTGACAGCAAGATCATGGAGCTTGAGGAAGAGTTGAAGGTCGTGGGTAACAGCTTGAAATCTCTGGAGGTTTCAGAAGAGAAGGTGACATATCGAGTGACAAACATGAGATATAAATGTTTAAATTTTCTTTGAATTTTCAAGGCCAACCAGCGAGTCGAGGAGTACAAGCGCCAAATCAAGACCCTGACCGTCAAGCTAAAAGAGGTGTGTTGACACACAGTTTTTTAAATTCAGAATAATATTTTTGTCATTCGTCGCTAGGCTGAGGCTCGTGCTGAGTATGCGGAGAAGTCGGTCAAGAAATTGCAAAAGGAGGTTGACAGGCTGGAAGGTAAAATTTACCAATTTTCTAAGCTAGAATATTCCTCGCAAGCTTTGCAATTGCCAAAAATATTTCTTGCTCTTCTCTTTTTAAGAAGAAACTTCTGCAATTCCAAATACTTGTGGACCTAATTGAGGTTTCAGGACTTTTTAATTGAATTATTCCATTTTTTTTTCACAAATTGTCGACAGACTGGATTAACTTTAGCATGCATGATTAAAAAAAACACGCAAAATGTACTTTTTAATAACTCTGCCGGCGTTCTTCCACAATTAGAATTTAACACCTCCACTTTCGCTTACTTCGTAAAAAAGACATTGGGGGATATTCACATGCTAACTTTCTTGCTGGTGCTAAATAACTTAGCATGTGAATATCCTTCATTATTTCATCATGGAAATTAATGCATATTAAATTCCTAACAATTACGCATAATATACTCTTGACAAAGACTTGATTTTTTTTCCATCGAGTCATTTCAAATTTTGTGTGATTGTCTAACTTCCTTGCTGATTATAAAAATTCAAAGAAAATATTTTTAACACGCTCGTTGTGCTAGAAAAGTAGCAAACGCACAGCCCAAACACAATAACTTTCCCACAATATTTTTGCCAGGAATTTGGTCACGTCATATTATTAAAGTTTGCAAAACGGAAACAAGAGTCTGAATCATGAGTATGTGCCTTAATTCAAATTTCTATCTTTCTCACTTTGCTCTAATAATAATAATTAATCATTGATGTGTTTTTAACCCTCTCTTTACAGACGATCTCTTCCATGAGAAGGAGAAATACAAGTCAATCTGTGATGATCTCGACCAGACCTTCTCTGAACTTACTGGCTACTAAATTCGCATATGTTGAGCGAAAATTACTCAACAAATATAAATCAACTCCCTTAAAATGATATCGACCCTACATTTTATTATTATTAAGCACACACAGCCTTTAATATTATGCATCACAGTTTTCGCTGCTGCCGACTACTTTTTAAAATGCCACGACGACATTATACTTCTTATTAAAAAATTTGTTTGACTCGGCACTCCTGACTGTTTTTGTCACACAAAAATACTACCTTCTCTTCCTGTCTCCTCACCAAATTCTTTGTCTCTTTTCTTTCTATCGATTAATTTATTAATTAACAAATCGATCAACATTACTTATTACAAACAGTCACTGCTAAGGTGATTTGAAATAATTCATTTTTTCTTTATTATTAATTGCTTGTTTTTCGCAATTATAACGTACATCTGATTTTTTCATAACACATTCCTAATTCTCGTGAATATGCGTTCTCACGCTTTTTAAACGTTCATTAATTTGTAATCAATTTGGAATTTTCACGTTTAAACAATCTCACATTAGAAAAAATGTTGAATATATCAAGCCACAAAATTGACATGCCATTTCTATCTAATCTGAAAATTCATTGTTAAATTTGAGGATGCTCAAATCAATGGTTTTTTGCTTTTCTCTATTTCTAGATGAGTTGGGAACCAACAAGGACAGATACAAGTCTATGGCCGATGAAATGGATAGCACTTTTGCTGAGCTTGCTGGATATTAATTTTAAAGAAAATTGCTATTGCCGATTGCCGTAATAGAAAGTTCTTTCTGCAAAAAAAAACTGCACCTCTTTTTCCTGGCTCTCTTTAATTTTAAAAAGGGTGTATTTCTGATCTACATTTGAATGCTGAAACCCATTTTATAAATTTAATGTGCCATTTTTCTTGTTCGTATCATCAATTCAATTCAATTTTATTGTTATTCTGTTAGACAAGAATATTAACAGTAGTCTTTAACACATGTCAGGTCTAAAATTAAAATTTAGAGAAAAAAACCCGTTGCTCAGGGCAAAGGGAAAAAACTGTAAGATTAGCGTGAGAAATTTCACTTGTCAAAATTGCACAGTAGGTATTCGTGGATGTCATAGAAGTTGTGTTCACTTAGCACTTGTTTCAGTTTCAGGGTGAATGTCTTTTGACTCTGAATTCTTTGCGAGTTGAAAGTTTATTGATGTCTTAACGCCCAGTTGGAATGAAGAAAAACATGTAAAATAAAACGAAAAATACCTAAAGTTTGTTTGACGCACCTATCTAACATCAAAGCACTGCTTTTCTCCAGCAGAGTATCAAATGAAAAAATTTTTGATCTTATTTTGTTTTTCTTTTAGGGTCAGGCCAAGACAAAGTCTTGTCGGCCTGTGCCCTTTATCTTTATTGGTGGTACAGAAGGCACCACCCAATTTTTTTTTATTCTTTATTAATAAGAAAAATTATTAATTAATTTGACATTTTGCAACCTCATCCGCCGCCGCGCATTCGGGTGGCTCGTCGGCGGACACCCTTACCAGCTCTGGTGTGGAAAAATTTATAATTTAAATTTATTCATTTTTTCCAATTTCTTATTGACGGAGGCTGTGGCGCCGGCCACCACTGCCACTATAAAACTTGTTTTTTTTTTCTCCTTACAATTAATATCTTTTATTCATTCAATTTTGGGCTTCCAGGGTGTGGGCTCACCGCGACGGCCGAGTCTCTTTTGATGTCGGGCGTTTTAGCAGGCATCTGCCAGTTGTTTAATTCTCTTTTCTCTTCTTCCAATTTAAAATTTCCGTATTAAAAGAATAAAATAATAATAAAAAAGCAAAGTCGTTCGAGCTTGTGCTCGTGAATTTATAAATAGAAAATGAAGATCAAATTCTTTAGTTAAGTACTGATATGTCTGTATAAACTGTTCTATAGATCATACAAAAGACAGTTTAACATATAATGTTAACTCAAAATTGTAACTTAACTGCTGTTAGTCACTTTTTTGTTGTTGCTGGGTCGGCATCGTGCACCTCTCGCTGCTGTGCGAGTAAGTATTGAAATTATCACATCCAGGCCATCCAGCGGAACCACTTATCGTTACTCAAAGAAGGCGACTACTTTTCATTACAGATAATTCCTTTTTGTCTATGAAGACTTCGGGCTGAATTTCTTATTTCATATTTCAAAACTTTATTTGTTAAGCATTAAAATGCAATAGCAATTAACACTTTTTAAAATAAGTCAAAATACATATATTTATTTATTTATTTATTCTCCATTCGATACAGTCATGTCATGAATACAGCAAAAAAAAAAAAAACTATACAGAAAAAGTACAGAAAAAGCTGAAAATACATTTTAAAGAGACATACTGTTAATAAGGGGTGAAGGGTGAATGGAGAAATGGCTTTTCGCTAGCAAACAACTTGCTAAAGCACAGGACCCTCTCCTTCGAAAGAGAGCGTACCGGCCGCTAGAGCCATAAAAAAGGGGGGGGGGGAATATTACTACATACTAAAATATAGATAGATAGAGTATTTATTGAACACAACTAGGTGTACAACGGGTGTCTAAAGCTAATTTGTCTTCCTAAAATTAATTTTACAATTAAGCTTGTTTCGATAATTATTACAAAGTACAAAATTAGTTAATTTTGATTTTTGCAGCCTCTCTTAGGCTTAGTTTTCGTTCATTACATTCAAGAATATGATATTGTGAACATTTCTTACCGCAGTGCTTGCATTCACAATCTATTGTCGCTTGAGAATGAAAATTTTTATTCTTACAAAATAAATAGTGGTACCCGTGACAGGCAAATCTCGTAAACACTTGGCGATCACTGAACATTGCACATTGCCAATTTTTATTCTTCATAGTTTCTGTCTCGTAGAACTCATCACATATCTCAAGTTTGTTTAAATATTTAGACACACAAAATTTCTGGAATGCTTCAGTTTCAGTTAGAGAATATTTTACCTGTAAGTCCGATACAAAGAGATCAGTGTCAACTAATTCATACACAAATCTAGATCTAATATACTTGGACAGTCCTAAAACTCTTTTTAAATATCTTGTTTTGACTTTTTCAAGATTTTCAAAATCAGTCTTTGTTAGGAAAGGCCATATTTCTTCAATGCCGTAGGACGCAATTGGGGAAATTTTTAGATCAAATAGCTTGTGTGCTGTTTCAATGGATAATTGTTTTAGTTCTCGTATATTATAAGTGGCCAGCAATGCAGCTCTTGTTCTTTTTTCAATGTGCTTTCCAAAAGAGATTCCTGATGGTTGAAAAGTAACTCCTAAATATGTAAACTCAGCAACTCTCTCTATTTCAATTCCACCTAAATCTAGGCGGTCACTTAATGCATATTTTCCTAGACCCTTATTTCTAAATTTCATGAATTTGCACTTTTCCAAGTTAAGTTTCAAACTGCGTTTTAACAAAAATTCTTTCATTCTGGCTAAAGCAATTTTCAAGTCACTTAATTTTTCTGAGGTTAAAACAATATCATCTGCATAATAAATGGCTTTCACGTTTGGCAAATCTCGTAGAATATTATTTATATCAGCTAAAGAGTAATTGAACAGAAATGGGGACGTGCATCCCCCCTGTCTTACCCCATTTGATTGTGTAATAAGTTTTGATACTGTTACTCCATCTACTATTCTCAAGAAATTTAAGTCTAAGTTGTGAGCTAAATAATTTAACTCCGTGAACGTTAGCTTCTTGCTTTCTATTAACTTCTTAAAAATAAACGCCCTATCTATTGAGTCAAAAGCTTTACTTACATCCAAAAATAAGGCATATAAGGGTGATTTCTTCTTATAAACTGTCTCTTGAATGTTATTAACTAAGGACTTAATTGCCTGTAAAGTGGATTTTCCTTTCACAAAACCATATTGATTGCCTGGAATCTCGTGAATCAAAGATGAGTAGATACGTGCATGCAGTACACGATCTAACAGATTGTAAAAAGCCGAACTAATACATATTCCTCTATATGAATTTGTATTTTCCGCGTCCCCTTTTCCCTTATACAAGAGTTTTAGATTTGACTGCCTCCATTCCTCTGGACATGTTCCTAGCTCCAAGCATTTGGTGAAAAATTGCGTTATTTCGGGGAGTAAGGATTCAACAAGTAGTTTAATATTTTCATTCTTCACTTTGTCAGGTCCAGGGGATTTCCCGTTTTTCATTTTCTTTAATGCTAACAAAACTTCTTCTTCCATAATAGGTGAAAAATTTATATCATTTCTGTAATCTACTATCATCTCTTTCAGATTTAAAGATTCATTTTCACTCAATTTTTTCTCGTTGAAAATTTTTTCAAAATTGCACTCCCATTCATCCATCATTATATTGTTTGTATTGTAAAAACTTTTGCTCAACTTGAGAATTTTATAGCACTTATTCTGCTCCGCCTCTTTTAAAATGTCCAACTCCTTCATTTGCACAAAAGCGTTCTTCTTCATTTCACACACATTTTTGTAATTTCTTTTTATTGCGGTATAGTGCGGTAATAGAATCTTGATTATACTAGTTACATTTAAACTTTCAGCCACTTCCAAGCACTCTCTCCATTCGTTCAATTTCTGTTTTAATTCGTAGCATTCAGAATCAAACCACGGTTGACTAATCCGTTCAGTTTGCCTACGAGGAATGTCGGCCTCTTTCATAATATTTATCATATTTTTATAAAATATAGCAATTATTTAAACGGTAAAATTCATTTAAGTCATAGAACTGATGTTGCAGTACAAATGCCTTCACTTCTTTAACAAGTACCTTGTTGTTTTCGAGGGTTTTCAAGTTTCTAGGTCTCAGTGACACTTATGAAGACCCTACGTTTTCACATTTTTTGAAATGAATTCTAAGTCGTATATTTATTGGTATCGATACATGTCGATTTTTAAAATCGGACTTTGAATAATAAAATTTAAAATATAAGGTACTTGCTACTTTAAAAAATTTTTTTTGTACTTTTTGAATAGGTCTCAGTGACACTTATGAAGACCCTACTTTTTCACATTTTTTGAAATGAATTCTAAGTCGTATATTTATTGGTACTTGACGATACATGTCGATTTTTAATATCGAACTTAGAATAAAAAAATTTAAAATAAGAGGTACTTGCTACTTAAAAATATTTTTTTTGACTTTCTGAATAGGTCTCAGTGACACTTATGAAGACCCTACGTTTTCACATTTTTTGAAATGAATTCTAAGTCGTATATTTATTGGTATCGATACATGTCGATTTTTAAAATCGGACTTTGATTAATAAAATTTAAAATATGAGGTACTTGCTACTTAAAAATATTTTTTTTGTACTTTTTGAATAGGTCTCAGTGACACTTATGAAGACCCTACTTTTTCACATTTTTTGAAATGAATTCTAAGTCGTATATTTATTGGTACTTGACGATACATGTCGATTTTTAATATCGAACTTTAAATAATAAAATTTTAAATATGAGGTACTTGCTACTTAAAAATATTTTTTTTTACTTTCTGATATTATTATTTAAAGTCCGATATTAAAAATCGATATGTATCGATACCATTAATTATACGACTTAGAATTCATTTCAAAAAATGTGAAAACGTAGGGTCTTCATAAGTGTCACTGAGACCTATTCAGAATGTAAAAAAAAATATTTTTAAGAAGCAATTTCCTTATATTTTAATTTTTTTTTATTCTAAGTCCGATATTAAAAATCGACATGTATCGATACCAATAATTATACGACTTAGAATTCATTTAAAAAAATGTGAAAACGTAGGGTCTTCATAAGTGTCACTGAGACCTATTCAGAAAGTAAAAAAAAATATTTTTAAGTAGCAAGTACCTTTTATTGTTTTTTTAACAATTATAATTTAATTAATTTAAATAAATTTAATTTATAAAATATATTTCAATTTTTAATAATTAAAAAAAAACCTCATCAGCTTGTGAATTGAGCCTGTGAATTCACTAGCTGCTGGCAATTATTTTTTTTTTTTAAATTTCAAATTAAAAGTTAAATAATTTAAATTAATTTTTTTATAAATTAAATTTCAATTTTTAATAATTTTGAAAAATAAAAAAAAACCTCATCAGCTTGTGAATTGAGCTAGTGAATTCACCAGCTGAATTAACCAGCTTAATTCACCAGCTGGTGAATTGAGCTGGTAAATTGTGCTTTTTAATTCAAATGGCGAATTCTCCAGCTGGTGACAATTATTTTTTTTTTAAATTTACCAATTTAAACAAATTTAAATTGAGTATATTAATATTAATTTTATTTATAAAATAATTATAAAATTACACCTTTTTTTAATTTTAAGAATTAAAATTAAATCAAATTAAATTAATTTTATTCACAAATTATATATTAAATTTCAATTTATAAAAATTTTAACAAAAAAAAAAAAAACATCAACCGCTGGTGAATTTAGCTCTTGATTTCACCAGCTGGTGACAATTAATTTTTTTTAATACTCTAATTTAAATAAATTTATTTTAATTTATATTAATTAAGTATAAATTAATTAATATTAATTTCATGTGTAAAATATTTACAAAATCAATCCTGTTTAACAAAATGAACATTGGAAATTTTTTAAGGGGCACGCGAGTACGTTGAAACCAAGGATCTTTCGATGGGTAACCAAGTCAAGGAGGGGTAATTCCCCGGTCTAGGGTGTTCCAAAGCAAACTTTGAAATCTTTTGAAAGTTTTCAAGGCTTTTACAAACCAAGGGGTCCACGCGGGTTCCCCAAGGCCCCGGGTTGAATGCCCACTACAGGGTGTTCCAATGCTGACTCTGAGGTTTTTTGATTACATTCAAGATAACTTTCTCCCGAGGGTGTCCCGCGCGGTTTGAAGGTTCCCGCGGGTTGTAGCGCCTGTGTAGGGTGTTCCAATGCCAACTTTGAGGGGGTTTTGATTACGTTGGAGACGACTACCCCCCGTAGTTTCCCGCCCTTTTTGCACCAAGCCGACGCTTCGTTAACTACTACAGAAGGTTCGGCGGCCTAAACTCTGGCCGATTTCGAAACTTTCGGGCCGATTCGACTCGCGCGGGTTTCCCGCGCGTCCCCTGACCTTCCACCCTTCAACTTATAGCCTACAGGGTGTTCCACATTGATTCTTTACGCTGATTTTTACCTTTTTTCTCGTTTTTCTCTTTTTTAAACATTATTTTTCACATTCTCTGCAATTAAATTTAGATTAAAAAGAAATTAACTTTATACAGTCCCACAAAACCAGTCCAAAAATGCTTGCGTTTAACGCAAGCGCTTTAGCGCTTGTTAATTAATATTAATTTCATGTGTAAAATATTTACAAAATCAATCCTGTTTAAAATTTTTTAAAAATAAAATATAATCAGTTTAAAATAATTTTATTTATTAATTATATTTCATATTTTGGAAATTTTAAAAAATAAAAAATAACCAGCTGGTGAATTTGCTTGTGAATTCACCAGTTGAATTCAACAGCAGGTGACAAATATTTTTTTTTAATTCTCAAATATAAAAAAATTTAATTTTAATTTATTAATACTAATTTTATTTATAAAATATTTATAAAATTAATCCCTTTTTTTAATTTTCTAAAAATTGAATTTAATTTATTTACAATAATTTTATTTATAAAAATTATATCTCATTTTTTAAAATTTTTAGAAAATTAAAAAAACATCACCAGCTGGTGAATTTAGCTGGTGAATTCACCAGCTGGTGCAAATTTTTTTTTTAAATTTTCAAATTTAAAAAAATTAGAATTTAATTTATGAATATTAATTTTATTTCTAAAATTTTTATAAAATAATATAATTAAAATAATTTATTTATAAATTAAATTACATTTTTTAAAATATTTAAAAAAAATATAAAACCAGCTGGTGACAATTTTTTTTTTAAAATTTAAAAAAATTTAAATTTAACCACTTGACACACCTGAATCTTCCTTCACAGCTTTCAGAAATCTTCTCTTCTTTTATTCTCCCAACTCCCGAGTATCACTCAGAACCTCTCAGCTCCTTTCTGCACACCCTACGCAGTCACGTGACGGGTCAGCGGCTTCTGATTCGCTGGCGGGTCTCGCGGCTGGCATATAATAATGGTACGGGGGTACGGGGTGTGTTTCTTTTTGTTTTGGCCAACTTCGCAAAGAATCCCCATTTTTGGGGTGGGGGAACTTGGCCAGCGCATTAAAAAAACAGCCGCCAGAAGTTATTGCGAGCGCCACCAAAATTCCAGAAGAAAGTACTTCTGTAGCCTACTTGACAAGCCAGCAGCTAAATTTATTTTAAATTTTTTTATGTTCATTGAGATAGATTAATTTTATTTACTCAGATGGTTTATAAAAAAGCTAGTTTCATATTTTATTTCTCTAATTATTTTCAATCATTAAACTCACTCGACTAACAAAAAAAAAATTTGAAAATTAGAGTTTATAGCAACCTGTCAAAATTGATGCAAGTTTTAATTAATTTAATTATTTAACATCTTAAAGGTAAAAGGCGAAGAAAATTGTTCCGTCAACAAGCAAGGGGAAGGGGGCGTGGTTCCCTCCCCTACAGAGAGCAGGTCCCCCATCAACAGGAAACACGGAACGAACGCGGAACGAAACGAACTGCTGCGAAATGAAAACAAGGAAAAGCAGGCAGCACGCCGACGATGCGCACCAAAAGGAAGCCCCACGACGAAGAAAAGCGTGAGGTAAGGGTAATTTATGGCCCCGAATGTCGGAAAATCGAGGAAAAAGGGGGTGTGGTCTTTATTTTGTGGGCTACATCGGGGTAAACGGGGGCGGCCGTTATTTTGGGGTCGAATTAGTCGGGAATTCGAGGGGGCAAAAGTGGCCGTTAATTTGGGGTTGAATTTTAGTCGGAAAAAGGGGGCGTGGTCTTTTAATTGTCGCCTAATGGGGGTTAACGAGGGTGGCCGTTAATTTGGGGTCGAATTAGTCGGGTATTCGAGGGGGGTAATTCTATTTACACGGACGGTCCGTGCAAATTAGCAAAAAAGTGCTATAAAAGCTATTTGCACGGACGGTCCGTGAGCAAATCCACGACACTATAAACTATTAGCACGGACGGTCTGTGCAAGAAATGGAGTCACGACACTATTGAACTATTTGCACGGACAAAGGGAAAATGTGAAAAGGGGTGGGTACGTGGCTGCGCAGCTGCCTGTTTCCCGCCGAAATGCGCAATACCAGTCAGCTGGCAGCAAAAAAAATTCATAACGAGAAATCGACGCGTATTATAGCAAAGGCAGAAATTGAGGATGCGGAGCAATGTAAATATAGATCTGAGTAGTACATAAATTCTTAATAGCAGGCGAGAAGCACAGCAGTACGAAGTACGATTGGAAAGTGCGGAGAGCGAGGGTGCGGTACATACGAACCCGCGAGGCCAGGCACGCTGCTGGTAAGGTAGCTGCAAGCCGCGAGCTCTGGCCACCATCGCTGGCAAAAATTGACAAAGCAGCAATGAAAAAGTGTGATTAAAAACGTAAACCAAATACAAATAATTAATTGCAGAATTCTCTTGCAGGATTGGGCGTTTGCCTAGGGTCAGCGAGCGCCCCAGACGAGACGAGCCAGTGTGTGGGACGAGCCAAGTGACCACATTGCACTGATAACCACCCCAGCAGGAAAAGCAGCTGCGAGCAGTGGCCACCGACGCTGGCAAAATTTGACAAAGAAGCGATGAAAAAGTGAGATTAAAAACGTGAATCAACGACAAATAATTAATTGCAGAATTCTCTTGCAGGATTGGGCAGTTGCCTAGGGTCAGCGAGCGCCCCAGATGAGACGAGCCAGTGTGTGGGACGAGCCAAGTGACCACATTGCACTGATAACCACCCCAGCAGGAAAAGCAGCTGCGAGCAGTGGCCACCGACGCTGGCAAAATTTGACAAAGCAGCAATGAAAAAGTGAGATTAAAAACGTAAATCAACAACAAATAATTAATTGCAGAATTCTCTTGCAGGATTGGACTGTTGCCTAGGGTAAGCGAGCGCCCCAGATGAGACGAGCCAGTGTGTGTGACGAGCCAAGTGACCACATTGCACTGATAACCACCCCAGCAGGAAAAGCAGCTGCGAGCAGTGGCCACCGACGCTGGCAAAATTTGACAAAGCAGCAATGAAAAAGTGTGATTAAAAACGTAAACCAAATACAAATAATTAATTGCAGAATTCTCTTGCAGGATTAGGCAGTTGCCTAGGGTCAGCGAGCGCCCCAGATGAGACGAGCCAGTGTGTGGGACGAGCCAAGTGACCACATTGCACTGATAACCACCCCAGCAGGAAAAGCAGCTGCGAGCAGTGGCCACCGACGCTGGCAAAATTTGACAAAGCAGCAATGAAAAAGTGTGATTAAAAACGTAAATCAATGACAAATAATTAATTGCAGAATTCTCTTGCAGGATTGGGCAGTTGCCTAGGGTCAGTGAGCGCCCCAGATGAGACGAGCTAGTGTGTGGGACGAGCCAAGTGACCACATTGCACTGATAACCACCCCAGCAGGAAAAGCAGCTGCGAGCAGTGGCCACCGACGCTGGCAAAATTTGACAAAGCAGCAATGAAAAGTGTGATTAAAAACGTAAACCAAATACAAATAATTAATTGCAGAATTCTCTTGCAGGATTGGGCAGTTTCCTAGGGTCAGTGAGCGCCCTAGATGAGACGAGCCAGTGTGTGGGACGAGCCAAGTGACCACATTGCACTGATAACCACCCCAGCAGGAAAAGCAGCTGCGAGCAGTGGCCACTGACGCTGGCAAAATTTGACAAAGCAGCAATGAAAAAGTGAGATTAAAAACGTAAATCAACGACAAATAATTAATTGCAGAATTCTCTTGCAGGATTGGGCAGTTTCCTAGGGTCAGCGAGCGCCCCAGATGAGACGAGCTAGTGTGTGGGACAAGCCAAGTGACCACATTGCACTGATAACCACCCCAGCAGGAAAAGCAGCTGCGAGCAGTGGCCACCGACGCTGGCAAAATTTGACAAAGCAGCCATGAAAAAGTGAGATTAAAAACGTAAATCAACAACAAATAATTAATTGCAGAATTCTCTTGCAGGATTGGGCAGTTTCCTAGGGTCAGCGAGCGCCCCAGATGAGACGAGCCAGTGTGTGGGACGAGCCAAGTGACCACATTGCACTGATAACCACCCCAGCAGGAAAAGCAGCTGCGAGCAGTGGCCACTGACGCTGGCAAAATTTGACAAAGCAGCAATGAAAAAGTGAGATTAAAAACGTAAATCAACGACAAATAATTAATTGCAGAATTCTCTAGCAGGATTGGGCAGTTTCCTAGGGTCAGCGAGCGCCCTAGATGAGACGAGCCAGTGTGTGGGACGAGCCAAGTGACCACATTGCACTGATAACCACCCCAGCAGGAAAAGCAGCTGCGAGCAGTGGCCACTGACGCTGGCAAAATTTGACAAAGCAGCAATGAAAAAGTGAGATTAAAAACGTAAATCAACGACAAATAATTAATTGCAGAATTCTCTTGCAGGATTGGGCAGTTTCCTAGGGTCAGCGAGCGCCCCAGATGAGACGAGCCAGTGTGTGGGACGAGCCAAGTGACCACATTGCACTGATAACCAACCCAGCAGGAAAAGCAGCTGCGAGCAGTGGCCACCGACGCTGGCAAAATTTGACAAAGCAGCAATGGAAAAGTGTGATTAAAAACGTAAACCAAATGCAAATAATTAATTGCAGAATTCTCTTGCAGGATTGGGCAGTTGCCTACACGCATAGTGAACACTTCGCCGGCGCTGCTGCCGACTTTTCCGCCGATTTTTCAGCGGACTGAACTCTACTGCAGCGCTGATCACCTTGTGAATGTTCGCAGGAGGTCCTGATGCTTCACTCGTCGAGTTTGATGGCCGCAAACTTACTCATCGGCTCCCTCGCTGATTCGCTGGAAGATCTGCGCCGGCCTTCTGCTGGACGATCGGTCGGCTGTTACCTTGGCTCCTCCTCCTTGGCTGGCTGGTGATCTACATGGAGAAAGAAAGGTTAGTTAGCATCGGGATTTTATTTCTCCGACCGAACGTAACGCGTGGCCCAATAAATCGAAACGATTTATAGAGCCTGCGTATACTGCCAATAGCCGGAGCATGCAAAATTTAATTTAATTTATTTTTATTAAGTTTAATTGTATACTTTTTATTGAATTAATCCCTTTTTATATTTTTTAAAAATTAAAATTTTATTACATTAATTTTATTTATTACATATGTTTAAATTTATAAAAATATTAAAACAGAAAAAAAACCTCATCATCTAGTGAATTGACCAGTTGGTGACAATTTTTTTTTTATTTTCAAATTTAAAAAAATTTATTTTAATTTAATAATATTAATTTTATTTATAAAATTAATCCTTTTTTTAAATTTTTATTAAGAGAATTTTAATAAATTTAATTTCTATTTTATTTTTTGAATTAAATTTCTATATTAAAAATTTAAAAAACAAAAAGAAACATCACCAGCTTGTGAATGCACCAGCTGGTGGCAATTATTTTTATTATAAATTTTCTGATTTATTTAAAAAATTTGAATTAAATTTATGAATATTAATTTTATTTATAAAATTAAGCCCTTATTTTAATTTTTTAAAAATTTAAATTTTATTAATTTAAATAAATTTTATTTATATTTTATATTTCGATTTTAAAAAATTAAAAAAAAAACATTACCAGCTGGTTAGATTAGATTAGATTAGATCAAAATTTATTGCATTAGACATATGTAATACATCACCAATTTGTCTTTTCAACAAGTCAATAAAATAGCAAAATAAAACCTCCAAAAAATTTTAACTATAACATTCAATAAGTGAGTAATTGAGGGAGCGATTGAGGGAGCTCGCACGCCATTGATAATTTGGCGGGGGTGGGCAAGCATTTGACTAACCCTCCTCAAATACTGCAGGGGAAAACCACCCCCGAAAACCCTGCAGCTGAGTCTCACTCTTCCAAATTTAGGCATTCAAATTTACATGTCCAATATTCATTCATATCATAGTATTGACACTTCAGCATTACAAATTTGACACTTTTAACAAAGTTGCCATAGTCAGATATTTCTTTCAGTACATTAGGTAGTTTATTATATACTCTAGCAATCATTATCTCCGGACTCTCATTTACGCAATTTAGTGAGCTTGGCCTTACAAACAAATCAGTGTCGACGTAGCTGGTAGCACGCGTAGTTCGCACTACTACACCTGGAACATCCCGATTCAGTTTAAACTTTTCAGGAAATTTACGCACAAACTTAACGCACTCCAAAATATATAATGAATAGACTGTAAGAACTCCAAATTTCACAAATAGTGGTCTACATGAGTCTAGCGCCGAGTTACTTCTCCAGTATTGAACACCAGCCATCCATTTCAGCTCTTTCTGTACTTTTTCTGTAAATAAATAATAATAATAAATTTAATTAATATTAATTAATTTTATTTTTAAATAAAATTTTAATTTTTATAAATTAAAAAAAAACATTACCAGCTGGTGGATTTAGCTGGTGGATTCACCAGCTAGTGACAATTATTTTTTTTAAATTTACAAATTAAAAAAAATTTAAATTTAATTTATATAAATTTATTTTATTTATAAAATAATAATAAAATTCCCCCTTTTTTTAATTATTAGAACTACAATTTAATTAAATTAAACTAATTATATTTATAATTTATATATTAAATTTAATTTTATAAAGATTTAAAAAAAAAATAAAAAAAAACATCACCCGCTGGTTAATTTAGCTCTTGAATTCACCAGTTGGTGACAATTTTTTTTTTTTTAAATTCTCAAATATAAAAAAATTTATTTTTATTTATATTAATGAAGTATTAATTAAGTAATATTAGTTTTATGTGTAAAATATTTATAAAATTAATCCCGTTTTTTAAAATTTTATATAATTAAAATTTAATTAAATGAAAATAATTTTATTTATAAATTACCTTTCATTTTTTGGAAATTTAAAAAAATTAAAAATAACCAGCTGGTGAATTCACCAACTGAATTCAACAGCAGGTGACAATTTTTTTTTTAAATTCTCAAAAATAAAAAAAATTTAATTCATTAATACTAATTTTATTTATAAAATATCTCTAAAATTAATTCTTTTTTTTAATTTTTTAAAAAAATTAATTTTAATTTATGAACAATATTTTTATTTATAAATTATATTTCATTTTTAAAAATTTTTAGAAAAAAAAACATCACCAGCTGGCGCAAATTTTTTTTAAAAAATTTTCAAATTTTAAAAAATTAGAATTAAATTAATGAATATTAATTTTATTTCTAAAATATTTATAAAATTTATCCCTTTTTTCAAATTTTTTTTAAATTTATAATTTAACATAATGAAAATAACTTTACTATAAATTAAATTATATTTTTTTATAAATCTAATTGAAGTCATTAATATAAACTATATTTATAAAATTTTTATAAAATTAATCCCTTTTTTTAAAAATTAAAATTTAAATATTTTAAAATAATTTTATTGATAAAATATATTTCATTTTTTAAAATTTTAAAAAAATAAAAAAAGATCACCTGCTGGTGTATTTAGCTGTGAATTCACCACCTTAATTAACCAGCTTAATTCACCAGCTAAATTCAGCTGGTAAATTGAGCGTTTTTATTCTAATGGTTAATTGAGCTGGTGAATCCACCAGCTGGTGACTATAATTTTTTTTTATTTTTTAATTAAAAAAAATTAATTTAATTAATTATTATTAAGTTTATTTATATAATATTTATAATATTAATCCCTTTTATTGTTTTTTAACAATTAAAATTTAATTAATTTCAATAAATTTTATTTATAAATTATATTTCAATTTTTAATAATTACAAAAAAAAACTCATCAGCTTGTGAATTGAGCCTGTGAATTCACCAGCTGTTGACAATTTTTTTTTTTAAATTTCAAATTAAAAATTAAAAGTTAATTAATTTAAATTAATTTATTTTTAAATTAAATTTCAATTTTTAATAATTTTGAATAATAAAAAAAACCTCATCAGCTGGCTTAATTGAGCTGGTAAATTGAGCTTTATAATTCAAATGGTGAATTGAGCTGGTGAATTCTCCAGCTGGTGACAATTTTTTTTTTTAATTTACAAATTTAAATTTAGTATATTAATATTAATTCTATTTATAAAATATTTATAAAATTACACCTTTTCTAATTTTAAGAATTAAAATTAAATTAATTTTATTTACAAATTATATATTAAATTTCAATTTATAAAAATTTTAACAAAAAAAAAAAAACATCAACCGCTGGTGAATTTAGCTCTTGATTTCACCAGCTGGTGACAATTAATTTTTTCTTAATACTCTAATTTAAATAAATTTATTTTAATTTATATTTATTAAGTATAAATTAATTAATATTAATTTTATGTGTAAAAATATTTACAAAATCAATCCCATTTTTTAAATTTTTTAGAACTAAAATTTAATTAATACTAATTATTTTTATTTTTAAATTAAATTTCAATTTTTATAAATTTAAAAAAAACATTGTTAAAACAAATTGAAGATCAAAAGACATTCACCCTGAAACTGAAACAAGTGCTAAGTGAACACAGATTCAGATTCAGATAATATTTATTCCGTATAGATCAACATATGTACAGAAATAATCTTTGGAATAGGTCACTGGTCACTGTAATACAGCTATATCTCAATATAACTATAATACAGCTTACTAAATTTAAAATACAGTTCACACAATTTTACACAAAAAATATTCATGCACGTCATAGAACATTTTGTCGTAGAATATTAATTCCAATTCCTTCTTAAACACTTGATAACTATCAATGCTTTTGATTCTATCGGGAAGATGATTGAAAATTCTAGGGATCATGATGTGAGGGGACTGCGCAGTCAGCAACAGTCTGTTTGGTTTGACAAATAAGTCTTGCTCCGCTATAGGTTTATTTCGAGTACTGCGATTCTGGTGCTCCTTGCTTTCAGAATTTTTGAGGAACAATTCAGGATACTTTTTGTAAAATTTAACACATTCAAAGGCGTACACAGAGAAAGCTGGCAGGATCTGAAATTCTTCAAAAAGTGGTCGGCAAGACTCGACAGGTGTCAATGCCTTCCAGTATCTTTTACCTGCCATCGCACGGATAACTCTCTTTTGAGCAATGAAAACCTTTTCCAACATAGGCGACCCACCCCAAATTACAATTGAGTATAGTAAGTGACTTTGAACATGGGCGAAATATACATCTCTTAGCAATTTAGTTTGAATGCGCTGCCTTAATTTAACAAAAAGGTACGTGGTACTTCTCAGTTTCGCTACAACCTGATCGCATTGGGTGCTCCAGTTCATTGTATCAGAGAGCATTACACCAAGTATTTTTGCTTGATTTACCACTTCAATTTCAGCGTCGTTAATTCTTATCACAGGCGGTTCCAATTTACTAGTTTGAGCAGTATGCATTTGCAGCACCTGAGTTTTCTTTTCGTTCAATCTTAAGCGGTTATTACTGGCAAAATCAATCATTTTGTCATTAGCCACAGCAGTTTTTTCGTTCAAGGCTTTGTAGTTTCTAGCCTTTACAATAAAAGATGAATCATCTGCGAACAAGATAAGAGCGGCGACAATGATTTTTAAGGGCATATCATTACCGTAGGAAGAATACCCAATACTGTTCCTTGTGGTACGCCAATCGAAACATTTTCCATTGTTGACTCAAATAATTTTTGCTCGCCATTTTCACCCACACCGAAAAGTTGAACAAGTTGTTTTCTATCAGTAAGAAAGGACTTTAACCAAAGGAGGGATACATCATCAATTCCAAATTTTTTCAGTTTTGCAAGCAGTATTTCGGGAACGACACACCCAAAGGCATTAGAAAAGTCATACAGAATCACATTGTTTTTTTCTCTATTTTCCAACGAATCGTAGATTTCGGACACTAACTTAAAAAGTGCAGTCACTGTTTAGATTAGATTAGATTAGATCAAAATTTATT